CATTAAAGTATTTATTATTAATCTTTATATTAATATTTTTACTATTATTAGTAAATATAATATCTATAAATAGATTATAGATATAGTTTATAACTAATATATAGTTAATTCTTTATATTATTTTATTTCTAATATTATTAAATTATATTATAAAAGAAATAATTAATAATATTAAAATAAAGCTTTGTAGTAATAAAATTATATTAACTAATATAATTTATTTATTAGATTTGCAAATAAATCTTATTTTATAATCTTAACTCTTCTAAAAGAATATTATTATTAAATTCTAAATAAAAAAATTAATCTTATATTATATTAATAATAAGATCTTTATTATAGAGATTAAAAAAGATTTAAATTAAATCTTTAATATTAAAAGAATAATATATAATAATAAAAATATATCCAACTATATAATCCTAATATTAAAAATATAAAAAATTATTACTTTAATATAAATTAACATTATTTATAATAATTTTTAATTCAATTTAATCCCTAATGTTAAACTCATCTTTATTATTAAATTATTATTAATTAATCTAGTAAAACTCTAACTTAATAAAAAGAAGGTTAATTTTAATATATAGTATTAATAATTATATTATTATAGAAGTACTATAATATAATTAATTTCTTATACTATTATTAAAATTAATATTAAAAGTTTATTAGTTTTTAAATAATTCTATATATATTATTTAATTAGAAAAACTTAATTAATATTTAAATATATTCTAGTCTTACATTATTCTACTAAAACTAATAATTTAATCTATTTAGACTTTGATAATAGTAATAAGATATTTTAAAGCTAGAAAGAATATATAAGATATTAATTACTTATAATTAATAACTTTAATAAATAAAAAGATATTAAATTTATAGCTTTTAAAAATAAAATATTTAAAAAAATAAATATAATCTTGTAAGAAGTGCCGACTTCATACAAGGTGAATACGGTTCGACGGGTATTAGCAAAGGATGATCGCCTACCTGATCATACTAGCACCCTTCTTGCAGTATAAAAGGAAGGCCTTCTCGGGACCTTACCCTTCTGCAAGAATCAGTTTTGAATACTATTATGCCCATTGTGGAAATACTTCTGGATTCTTACTCCCTTACCTACGATAATCGAATCGCCCACGATTCGATAGTGATCCCCCTTCTAGTCTACTACCGGGTTGACAGGTGGTACGCCTGTGTCTGTACACCCATTACCAATCTATAAATAATATATATATAAATATAAAATCAAAATTAAAGGATTTATTACTTCAAAAGATCTACTAATTCTTTTTATTAGAAAATAAATTAATATAATATAATCTAATAATAAAAGTAAATTTAAAAACTATAAATAAAGAATTAGATTAAAAATCATTATATAAAATAATATTATATTATAGTTTATATCTATAGTCAAATTAATAAAATAGAATATATTATATATATTATATAGAAACATATTGAGACTATCTTTAATAATATAGATTTATTAGAATACTTCTAAGTAAAAATTATATATACTATTATAATAATAAGAAATCTAAATCTATATAATTTTTAATAATAAAAAATAAATAATAATATTATTCTAAAATCATTCTATAAACTATAATTTAAAAAAAAGCTTAATATTAATTTCTTATAAATTAATAAATTAAATATCTAAGCTATATATTATTTAAAAAAGATTACTATTGTTATTAAAATAAATGTAAATAAATGTCTTTAACTACAAATTTAATTAGAAAGATTAATTGACTATAATAGTTTATATAATTTATTTTATTAGATTTAAAAGTTAAATTTTAATAGAACAAATAATAAGATTATTATTTAGGAAAATATTTTATTTAATAAAGATAATAATTAAACTATTTATAATAATTCTAATCTATTGAAACTATTATTCTTAGAAAAAAATATAAGATCTAAATCTTATTTTTTAATTCTAATTCCTAAATTAAGATATACTTCTATTAAGTATAGTTTTAAGAATATCCTTATAGAATATAATTTTAGGAATAATCCTATTAAATATAATAAATATATTTCATAAAAGTATATATTTAGTATTAAAATATCTTCTATAGAAAGTAATTCCAAAGATAATCTAATATTATATAACTTAAAGATTATTTATATTAATAATAATATTGTTTTTGTCGATAATAATATTATTTCTAAAGAAATAATTAAAGAAGTATCTAATAAGGATATGATTTAGTTTATTAAAGAAACTTTCTTTAATAAGAATAATAGTAATAATAATAATAATTATATTCTTTTAATAATATATAAATTAAATAAATTAAATAAATTAAATAAATTAAATAAATTAAATAAATATATTTAGATTAATATTAATAATCGCCGAATTAGGGGGGCGGTAAATAATGGCACTAGTGCCTAATTGGGATGAATACGATACAATACACCGCGCTAGTGGATAACCTGCATGCATATTCTTATATGCGTTTGACAAATGTTGCGTGGTATGTAGTATTAAAATTAAAAACTTTAAAACTATAGGAATTTAATTATATATTATATTAAAACTATTTAATTATATACTTATTAATAAATGAATCTTTAAATTAAAGATTAAAACTAATAACTATTCTACTAAATTTAAAATATAATAAATAATATATAACTTCTAATAAGTAGAAGATTTTAATTATAATAAGACTTTTACTTTTATTAATTAATATAAAATTTTATAATTATTATTTATAATAATATATATTAGAATACTAATTATTATATATATTAATATTTATATAATATATTTAAATATATCCTTTAAAAAATATATTCTTATATATTATTTTAATAATATTAAAGGATTAAAAAAAAAGTTTATTTTTTTTATTAATTTATTTATAGTTTAAAATAAATAATCTTTAATTAATTTAAAATATTAAATAAATTTCTATTAAATCTAAGATTTATTAAATCTTAAAATAATCTTTATTTATATATTTATAAAAAAAAAGAATAATATTACTATTATTTTTATATATATTAATAATATACTTATTATAATCTCTTTAATTAATTTAATTAATACTATTAAAATAAAGATCTTTAAATAATAAAGTTTTATTAATATAAACTTTCTTTTCTATTATTTATTAATAAAAATCATTTATAAATAATAATCTAATATTTTTATAATCTTTTAGAAAGTATATATTAAATATTTAATAAATAAAATCTTAAAAATAATTTTAAATTTATTATATTAATAAATAAGATTTTTTAATATAATAATTCTTATTAAATAATAAAATAAAAGACTAAAAAATATTAATTAATAATAGAATCTTTAAATTATATTAAAATTATTAATTAATCTAATCTCTCTATTATATTAAATATATTTAATTAATTTCTAATAAATCCTATATTCTAATAAATAAATATAATTAAATAAATAATTAAATAATTATCTATTAAAATAATAATGATCAAAATTTATTTAATTATATTAATACTTCTTTTATTTTTACTAATAATAAATAAAACCATACTAAATATATATTCTTTTATAAAGAAATATCTATACTATAGAAATTATAGTAGTAAACGAATACTATAAAATCTAACATAAAAATAAAATATATAATTCTCTTAATTATAAATAAAGAAGTAATCTAGTTTATTAGATTATTTACTAAAATAAAATATCTTCTAAATATAGCAATATTGATTGATTATAATTCTATAACTACAATTTTATAATAAAGAATATAAAAATATCTATTTATATAAAATATATCAATATATATTAGTATTAAATTAGAAAATAGATTTAAAAGAAAACTATCTTTTTCTACTATATATCTAAAATTAAAAATATCATTAATAGAATAATTAAGCTACTTCTTAATTTATTATTTAAACTCTTTATTAAAAGATTTGATAATAAATATACTAAATTACTACAAAAACTAATTTCAGAAAAATCAGAAATCAGTTATTTAATTTGGAAATAAAGAGTATTTACACTCCAATTATTTTACCTTTAGAAAACTAGATAATCTCACCAAAGCAGAAAGAATATTTATACTCCTAATACTACAAATTATTAGAGACTATTATAAAACTTCCAGCAAAAGAGATCTAATATTATAGAACCTCCAAAACTAAAGATGTCTATACTCCTTATTTATTTCTTTAAATAAAGAATACTTACACCCCAAAACTACCTTCTCTACGTATATACGCTAATTCGATCGCTTCCTTAATTAAAAGGATATGTTGAATTCCTTTTTGCTTTTATACTATAATATAACATAAGCTATATAGTAGCTCAACAAAGAATTCTTAGCAATATATCCTCAAGTAGTCTATTTAGTCCTAAAACAACTTCAATTAATAAAACTATATACTTCTACAGAATAAAAGAAGCCTGGATTTGTACGAATTACACAAATATAGTCTACCACTGAATTCTAGTAGAAGCTATCTCTAAATTCTAGTAGAAGCTATTTCTGCAGTAAATTACTTCTAGCCCTTATTCGAATCAACCAGGATTCATTATTCGAGTGAATTTTATCAGTTTCCTATAGAAAAGCATAAATAGAGCCTATTCTCTGATTGGGAGCAAATACACAATACAATTTTCATACGTTTAAATCACTATTCTGTCATCATTCCCTTACTCAATTCCTTGGAAGCTTTTACATACTGAGTGAGCATCACCTCATTCAACAGTTTTTACTAAGAATAATTATCGGCTTGATCATAATACAAATGAAGCAAGCACACATCCATGAGTATATGACCAAGAAAGGAAGCAAAACGATGATGACGATAGGAAAATGCTCATCATATGCATAGCTTTCTGCCCTCCATCTGTATGTGGACTTGGAGATAACTCTTCATACTCATATAAGACTTGCTTGATTCTCATTCGGCGAAACTGCTAATTGGAAAGCTGAGATGCTTAGTAGCATAGCGCTGACTTTTTGTTCAGCAGATCATTAAATTGGAGACCTCCCAGATTCTTTGGCTGACATGATCTCTAGAATGAGTGATTCGTTGCGTAAAGCCTCCTTCGCAGCTTCGTCGCCTGCAGCTGCTTTGCTCAAGCCCTGACCAGATCCAAGAAGTTGTTTGTTCCACCCCCAACCTGTAAGATAAACGGCAATGAAGAACGTCTGCGTTCCCCCTTTATGCTGTACCGAAGGACGGGCCTCGATGTAGTCTAACTTCACATTTTTACCCATGATCTTCTTGGCCAAGGCCTCCTTGGAGCGGAGCTCCCCGGTCTGGTGGCCCAGGCGGTTGATGACCGGCATCCACAACCCGGTCAGCCAAGTCTCGGCGGATTGATATCCAGTGACAGGATCGGAGAGTACGACCGCAGCGACATAAGCCTCGAATACGTCGCCTTTTGTCTTGGTCCATCGCTTCGATGGGGTATTATAATTCGGTGGAACAGAAACCTTGCGGTCGAACTCAAAGGTTTCTGCGAAGCCCGCAAGCGTTTCATTTTTAACAAGAATCTCTCGAATTTGGGACATTCTACCCGCTGGTATCTTTGGAAATTTATCCCAGATGATTTTGGTCGCAATCAGCTCAATGTATGCATCGCCAAGAACCTCGAGCCGGTCGTACGTCATGGTGTTATTATTGCTCATAGCCGGGTGGGTAAAGACGGCACGTTCAAGCTTATTGTCCAGGATGGAGGGTGGCGAAGGCGTACCAGATGAAGTAGTTGAATTTTTGTTTGAATGAGTCCCAATGGAAGCTGTGACCGACAAGGGCTCTGTGGTCTGGCAAAATGCCTTGTCTAGCCCTGAAATTGCGCGCACAACCTCGGAATCAGCACCAGCAAAGTCCTCTTCATTAGATATCTCCCGCACCAGTCGTTGGAGAAGAAGGAGTCGAGAGCTGCTGCTTGTATATTTTGTATTTGCACTGGTAGGAAGACATGGATCAGACTCAGAAGTTGAGCGAGCATGCTTCACAGATGGTTAGCCGCTTCAACAACATAATGACAGTTTGAAGGAAATTATATACCTTCGGTCTCTTGTGGAAGTCATTGGTCATACCGGCGACGGATGCTGGTCTTTTCATATCTGCCCTCCTTGTTAACCCACGTGGGTCTCTTGCAGGGGTTTGCTCCATTGGGTCCTGTCTCTGTGATACTTCTGGATGCCTTTCATGGAGACCAGAGCATGTGTATGAAGTAAAAAAGTGAAATATTAAAAAAGTAGAGAAGTAGATCGATGAAATCCAACATATGTTTTCCTTCAGGAAGGCGGTGTCTCCACCACGTGACCTACACAAACTTCGCTATCGTCGATAAGATCCGAGCTGTTGTCAACGAATTGCCTCACTTTCCCCCCTTGGTGCATGGTTTGCTCATCCACCTGAGAAATAATGGCACAAAGTCGGATCTGGGACCTTGTCAAGGTGAGAATCGCTGTCCTCCAATGACAACATGACGACAATGGCTGACCACTGTACTCCACAGACCCAATGCCGCATCTTCTCTCTCAACTACAATCCAGACCGCTTGCGACTGGGAAACAAGGTCCTTAGACAGCGCCTACGTGGCCCTACTCTTGCATCATGGTATCCCAAGCAGACCGTGTCCTTCCGCCAGTTGCAAAACAGCTATAAACAATTCGGATTGACGACCTTTGATGAAGCCGAAGACGACAGAGAAGAGGCAATTCAAGTGTATGTATACTTTTCTCACCCAGCTGGAGGCTCTACTGAACATCATGCACAGTGCCAAGATGAGAGGAAAGGGTCGACCCAAGAAGAAGCGAACCGCCGCAGGTAAGTTACATTCTTTCTTTCTGGCACCAAAATTATCATCTAATCCATGAACAGAATCGAGATCTGCCAAAAAGAAGAAATGATCTATTGCTTCAGCGCTAGCCAATCCATGTCATTCAGACGGGTATTGGTGTTCATCAACTATGCATTCTTCTGTGCTGGGCCTGTATAGTACGCACAACATACTGCTTTGGGTCGTCGCAGCTTTGTTGATTCTCCTGTTTCTGTTCTCTCATCTTGCCACCCAGTTGGCCATTACACCAAACATATCCCATTCTGTACAATATGATTTCTCTATTTCAAGCCAACTGACCTATCCTCATCAGCCTCCAAACTCCCACCATGTATTGTGGGAAGTGCTGGCTATGGTCCCTAGCTATACAGTAGTTTGACTATGAAAGAAAAGAGAAAACATACTCTGTACTCTTGATTCAGTACCGAGGTACTCTGTAGCTGATCAACTTTTGTGACAGCAGAAAGAAAGGCGGTGTGGCACGTGACTGAAGCTTGCGGGAATACTTGCGCGCTGGTTATTCTCATGTATTTCGACTCGTCAGTTTGTCTAATCCCACCAGGCTTTAACAACTGCCACTTGATTCAACCCCCCCAGCGCTCACTTTGCCAAGCATTGATTGTCCACCCCTTCTCCTCAGACTGTCACGCTGTAGGCGTGACTGTCAGTCCTCAAAGTTATCATGAACCCCAGCAAGAGCAAGAATCAGCTCAGACGCGCAAAGAAGAAAGCCCAGAAGTCTGAGGTAAGAATGAAACCTCATAGCCCATGGGAAACTATTTCTGACCTAAATTCTAACATGCGCACAGGCTTCTTTACCGGTTGAAAAAAAGGAATCCCCTAAGCCGCTCCCACCAGCCTCTACCTCTAAGGATACACCAGCCGACAAGGATACACTAGCTGATTCCAACCATGAGCTGATCCTTGACCCTAGCAATCCTCTATGGGAGTCTTACGCGGCAATTGCTGGCAGATTTGACGAAACTGCGACCGATAGTTTGACAAAGAACTCTGAGAGACCTGAGGTCTTTTTCGATGACGGTGATGACATCCCTGACGAAGACCAGGACACTGAACCGAAAATCTCCAAAAAGAAGCGCAAGGAAATGAACAAGCTTTCCGTTGCTGAGCTCAAGGCAATGGTTCGGAAACCCGAAATCGTTGAATGGACAGACACATCTGGCAGCGATCCTCGGCTTCTGATCCGTATCAAAGGTCACCGCAATGTGGTTCCTGTGCCCGCCCATTGGTCACTTAAACGAGAGTATCTTTCTTCCAAACGAGGAGTGGAAAAAGCGCCATTTGCGTTGCCGAAGTTCATCCAGGAGACTGGAATCTCTGAGATGCGCGATGCTGCGTTGGAGAAACAGGAGCAATCATCCTTGAAGCAGAAGCAACGAGAAAGAGTTCAACCGAAAATGGGCAAATTGGATATTGATTATCATAAGCTTTACGAGGCATTTTTCCGACATCAAACCAAGCCGGCGCTGACTCGCCATGGAGAGATTTACTACGAAGGTAAAGAGTATGAGACAAACCTCAAGCATCTTCGCCCTGGTGAATATAGCGACGACCTGAGGGAAGCTCTGGGTATGACTCTCGGAGGACCTCCCCCATGGCTTGTGAACCAGCAACGACTGGGTCCCCCGCCATCCTACCCTGCTCTCAAAGTTCCCGGCTTGAACGCGCCTCCCCCTCCCGGATCGATGTGGGGTTACCATCCCGGAGGGTACGGCAAGCCACCGGTTGATGAACACAACCGTCCACTGTATGGGGGTGACATCTTCGGTGTCCTCCAACCCCAACAACAAGCCCAGCAAGGAGAACCAGTCGAGAAAGATCCGTGGGGTGAATTGCAAGAACCAGAGGAGTCGGAAGCCGAGAGTGAAGCCGAGGAGGAGGATGAGGATGATGAAGAGGAAGATGACGAAGAAGCGGAGGCAGAGCCTCGTTCTCCTAGGTTGGCAAGTACCAGCGGGATGGACTCAGCAGCACCATCTGAGTTTATTGGGGCCGAGAACGTTTCCGGGGAATTCGACGTTCGTAAACCTCATCGTGGAACCGAAACTGAAGACCCGGGCCATCCCCGAAGTGCGTATCAAGTGATTCCAGAGCGACAAACCAATGTGGAGGGATTCTTTGGTGGTGACCGCGCATACGATCTAAGTGGATCCGCATCCAAACATCCAGTTCTCGGTGCGGATGAACAGAATCGAAAACGCAAGAAGCCTGGGGATGTTGAGGTCTCAGTCGACTTGGACGCTGTTCAATCTGGCGATGGAATCAGCAAGGAGAGCCTCCAAAACATGTACGAGGCGCAGAGGCAACAACAAAACCAGCCAAGTTGGGGCTTCCAGGAGGATCTCAGTGACATGATCGCACAGGAGAGCCGCAAGAGACTACGCAAAGAAGAAGAGAGACGTACCAAGTCTTGATCAATGATGGTTTTCATGGGCATGGGCGTTGACATGATTTTTCACTCGAAACTATGATCTCTGTACTTCGTACGGAGTAATGTATGATAAGCTTGCACCTAGGGGAAAATGAGACCTTGATAGGATAATTCTCTTGGAGTAACGATCAGATTGATATCCATAACCCGGCAGTATTTCCTATTGCTTCGCCAGTACTCCGTATACTCTGTATACCTCGGACACGGAAGAACATTTGAACGATAGATATGCTTGGCGTTCCCAAAAAGGTTTAGTTCATCTTCAACTATCGGGGTCTTCAACTCCTTGTGAAAGTCTACCACTTCGACATCAATTTGTCCACTTGGGATTTCTGAGTGTTTTCGACTGTTCCTGGGCCTTCATCGGTCTCCTATTTCTCCCCTCCGTCATTATACCCCCTCCCCCCCTTTACCTCCGTGGGTATCATGGACTGGGATCGCAGAAGGTTTGTCGCAAACGGAACATTGAAAACCCCGAATTCTTCTGATAGATTTGTTTTTCCAAAACCACAGATTTGAAGATCGGAGAGGAGGAGAAAGTTATCGCCCTGCTGAAAGACCTGGCCGCTCACCCTCCCGTGCATATGACAATCGTCGACGCTCGCCACCACGCACTCGTTCTCCTCGACCCCGAAGTCGGTCTCGACCACAGGCTGATACCTGGGTTCCGCCATCCAGCAGAAGCTATGGACGTCCGCGGAGTCGCTCTCCGCTACCATATCGGCGCCGCTCGCGCACTCCACCAGCACGAAACTTTGGTCCCACTCCTTATGAAAGAAGGAGATCTCCCCCAAGAAGGTTTTCACCCAGAAGAGACGACAGGATAAGATCACCGCCCCAATCTTGGCGCTCGAAATCGCCATACAGTGATGGGAGATCGCGCGATGTATCCTGCGCTCGCACCAGCCCAAGGCGGCCTCGCGATACAACTCCCGGTAGCCAGGCCCTCCGATCTGCCAGGCGAGATGCGCCCACAGCTTTTGGTTCCGAAAAGTTTCCGAAGCCCTCGTCTCCGCGAGCACAACCAGATACTTCCTTCCCACAGAGCCCATCTCATGCTGCTCCCCGCCGAGAACCCCCGTTGGAGGGGACAAGCCACAACAGGGTTGTTACGCCATCGAGACCGACCTCGCCTCCACCAACCATGCCCGGTAGAGCATCACGCCGCTCATCTCCAGCCGCAGAGAAGGCGGTTTTCCCATCCCAAGGGAACCGCAACCGGTCGCCAATTCATCCAGCACCCTCGCAACGCTTCTCGAAACCCTTAGGCCGATCCCCCTACCGGGATCCTCCCAACGATACGGATTCCTCTACCCCTCTAAAGCGATCCGAACACCAGGATCGGGTACCCGATGTGCCTACTTCCCCTGCTTTAGGTTCCGACAAAATGCACCAAGATCAGCCTCAGTTCAGCAGTCCCAGACTCAGCGGAAATATCCCCACGCAACCGAAGAATCATAGCGCCAGTCCACTTTCGCAAACCCCCTCTGGGCCCTACCAGGGACCACGACCACCTCATCACCAGCACCGAGGATCTCAGAACATTTCTCTACTGGCGGCGCCGACGCGCCCTCGCCGTGGACCTGGTTCGCGCGACCCTTGGCCAGGACCACCCTCGGCACGCCGTGGGTCGGCTGCTCCATCACATGGCCCTCCCGTGGGCCCTCGTGCGTCATTCTCGCCGCCTACCGCCGGTGGGGGAGGATTCCGACAGTCGATTTCCCGCCAACCCAGCACTTCCTCTACAGCCCAGCCCTCAGTACACAAAGGAACGAACTATCTAGCAGGGATTGGCGCTCTCATACCGGAAGGAAAGTGTCTCTCGTCCTTCCTGGATCCCGCTGCCGAGAAGCGGTTGTCTCAACTTGAGGCCGATAAAGAAAAGCTCCTCGAACAAATCGCAGAAACGCAAAGAACCAAACGAGCGGAGCTTCGTGATTGGGACCGATTGGACCGGGAGAGTGCAATTTGTGCGCTCAAAAGTGAGTTGGCTGAAGGACATCTGCAACGAATGGCCGATGAGAGCATTGGAGGCGGGATCCTGTTCTAAAGCCCCTGTTTCACCTTGTTTCAAGTATTACGACCTGATGAACTGTAGTTTTAATCAATATTTCATGTCAATCGATGTACTTCGTGCATGACCTGTCGGCATGTGGTGAGGAATCTAGCACAAGTAAGAAAGTACAACGGTATACATTGGACGAAGTATTGTTCCTTATCAGATAGGGCACCGCGGTACCTCGACCGAGGTATCTACGGGTACAGGTAAATACAGTGTACATGTCGCGTACCTGATCTGCAAGTAATTTAACCCTTCCGCCTTTTCTGCCTCCGTGTCAACAACTACATACTCCGCAACCTCCAGTTTACCACTTTCACCTCTCTCACATCCATCATGAATCTCTTTCGGCTCATGGGTATGAATTGGATCCTCTCTTACAGGCGAAATACTAATCCATCTTAGCCGATTTCTCCCACTTGGCGTCGATCTTCATGCTGCTGCAGAAGATGAAGACGTCAAGCGTATGTCCTTCCCCCTCGGCTTAGTGTCGCGTACCATGGCTAACGAGATGCGCAGAGCTGCTCTGGGTTGTCATTCAAATCACAAGTCCTCTACCTCCTCGTTTTCGTCACTCGTTATCTGGGTACGTTCCCAATGATCGATTGGTATACATGCTTGCTGACCCTCTCCCAGACCTCTTCTGGACCTTCACCGAGTCTCTTTACCTTACCACCTTCAAGCTTCTCTTCATTGGCTCCTCTGCCTACGTGATCTACCTGATGCTCAACGACTACAAGCCAACGCATGACCCCAACATCGATACCTTCAAGGTCCAGTACCTTTTGGGAATCAGCGCGGTGCTTGCGATTCTATTCCCCCACGATTATCGTGTTTCCGAGGTAAATGCACTTGCGACCCCTTCGCGCCGACCTCGCGCTAATGTCATTCAGATCCTTTGGACCTTCTCAATCTGGTTGGAATCGGTTGCAATTTTGCCACAGCTGTTCATGCTCCAACGAACCGGCGAGGCTGATACGATTACCACCCATTACCTGTTTGCCCTGGGTCTCTACCGCGCCCTTTACATTCCCAACTGGATGTTCCGGTACTTCACCGAAGCTTCGTTCCAACGCTCTTTCCAGCCCGTTCCAATCCTGGCAGGAATCATCCAAACCCTGCTTTACTCCGACTTCTTCTATATCTACTATAACAAGTAAGCGCCCTGGGATGAATATATGGAGAAGCAGCACTAACCACGCTTTTAGAGTTTTGAAAGGCAAGAAGTTCTCGCTTCCCGTCTAGACACTTTGTCCTTGGAGGAGAAAGCAGGAAAGCAAGAACGGAAACAAAAAAAGAAACACCAAGACGTCCAAGAATTCACGAGATATTGTCATTGCGCAGCATGGGAGTGTGGCTTCCCATTTGACAATGGTTCGCAGATTTCCTACACTCGATCCGTCCAGGTCACACCAAGCACCAGCCATAGCTCTGGACTATTTGAGCTATTCTGCAGCGCTTAAGATCGACGACAATTTGCTGCATACACGTGTATGATACGATGTCCTGTGCCTCGCCACTGCCCGAACACGCAGATCATGAGTTGGCACCACATGTTGGGTTGGAAATTCGGCAGACTTGTGTTTTGTGTCCTTGTGCTCCCGGTTGTATGTGTCCAAGCCTAGATATGATAAATTGACTTGAATTGCCCAATTGCGCTCTTATAGATCGACAGTACAAAGTATTTTTGACCAGTGTTTGTATAATGCAAAATATTGAAATTTATAGATATATGTATTGTCAAGATGTGCTCTTGCAAATGTTTTTTTGTCCAGCGCACACATATGCGTTTACCAGGACGTGCAATAACTCCTTAAGGCACTTTTGTGGAGTACAGATTATACCCCCGAAGAAGCAAGAAACACAGCGCCATCAATAGTCTCTCTGGGATGGAGTATGGGGAACATAGCCGTTGTAGCTCAACTGCGATGGAGGAATGGATAGATCGGCGGCGAAAGGGTCCAATGTGCTCGCGATGGAGTGGGAGAGACTGCCCATCGAGCCCTGGTAGGATCGACCATTGCCAAGAGCTGAGCGACCTTGGATGCCTGGATGACTGTCCATCCAGCCATTATGGCCGTGGATATGACTGAAGAAGTCCGCTGTCCGATCCAGCGGCATCTGGCCGCTGAAGGTGGACTCTCGCCGCGAAATGGGAGGTGAGGGAAGCTTGGGAGATCGAGGGACCATGTCAAGTCTGGGTGAGCTTTTTCGTGAGTTGGGCGGCGTCAAACGCGAGCCTCCACGTCGTACCTGGCAAGTTGGACAGATCTTGACAAAGCGAGAGATCAGCTCCTTGGGAACCCTAACTTATGTTAACGGGGTCTCTCTCTCTCCCATCGATGCGAGTCTTTACCATGAATAGATTCTTCGGACCTGAGCGGAAGTCTTGTCTCTGCCACCATGCTGACATTGTTGATGGGCTTTGGTGAGAATCTTGAACAGTTTCTCCCGAATTGCAACTGGTTTGCCCTCATGACAGATCATCTTTCTGTTCTATTGCAAGATCAGCATCGGATTGATTATCACTTTCGAAGAGTCCCTTACATCTGATGCACCAATGCCCACTGCTTGTAATTTGAACATTTTCTTGACCCAGAACCTGAGTGATTTAGCAAAAGACTCCAACGGACCCGTAAGGCCTCATACCGAAATTGAGCCGACTCGACCGCAGTGTCCTTGGGGTCGATCAGGACGGTCCGGATATTGCGGGCTCTTTTAGCATAGATCAAGGCTTTATCTTGCTTTTTGACGGAGAGTTCGTCCACATAACTGAAGCAAGGGAAACCTAGTTAGAATCAAGGTCAGGAGAAGAGCACCGAGGATCTCACTTTTGCATTAGTTGATCAAACTCCTTCACATCCGGGAAGCCACTGAGAGGAGGCACTACCGCTTCAGACAGTAATGTAGCTTCGTTACGGGATTCTTGACTTTCGATCTCGGTGTCCCCCAGTGGATCGCGTGGCAGATATCTAGAGGCCTGGAGGTATCGTGATTGAGTCACATACTGCGGGGAATGGAGTCGAGGATCGTCTGGCGTGGTCATAGATGGAATTGAATGCTCTGTGGTGTATTGGATTTGATGCAATCCATGAGTCAGACCTGGGTGTGGACCGTAGGGCTGGCCAAATTGAGAGCCGTATGGGTTGAAAGAATGCTGGGGAAAGTGGTATGAGTTGGATCCCGGTGCATTGAAGTCATGACTCTCTTGCTTGAAGTCCTGACCTTCCTGGCCATAGGATCCAGGGACTGCGATTTGATGACCCATGAGGTATGCATCATTCCCCTCGTTGCGTCTGGCAAAGCTACTCATGATGGGTTTCAAAATGGAAATGAAAACACTCTCAGTCAGTCCAGGTCTCAAGTGGCTGCAAGATGAAGGAGATCCAAGGTATCACGGCTGTTTGAATGGAATGACAGGGAGGATGATTGACAACGACCGCAAACCCGAGGATACAAAATAATGGAGGTCACCGAGAAACAATGCCCACGGTATCCTGACACAAGAGAAGCTTGTTCAAGACCACGGCTTGGGAGGGGGGGAAGAGAAGAGAAGTAAGTCACTGAAGACCCATCTAGAAATGGGATAGTAATTCTATTAAAAAGACCGGACAAATGTTGCAGGACTGACATGGCGGATGCCCAAGTGCACGAGACCATGTCGAAACCGAGATGGACAGAAACAACGGAGGGCATCCCTGGAAGACGAACAGCAAATATGCCACAGAGAAAAAGAAATGGAGCCAGACGAGTCGAGCAAAAGCTCTGTAAGGTACGGAAGCAAGTGTATTACCAAAGCTTGCAGGGGAGGGAATGACCAGGGTCCTGGGAAGCGGGTGAATTAAAAAAAGAAAAGAAAAAAAAAGGGAGGAAAAAAAAAAGGACGTAGAAGCAGGAGCAGACGCAGAAGCGCCAGAAGGCAAGCAAGCAGAGCAAGCAAGCAAGCAAGAGAGAGAGAAAGGGTAAGAGAGAGAGAGAGAGAGCAAGAGAATTGACTAGGATTCGTGGTCCATTCTTTCCGACCCGCCGAGGGTAAAGGGAGTAGACTGATACGACAGCGCACAGGTGATACGGATTCCTGCCTCGATGCCCTGGAGATCGCCACCATTTGCTTCAGAGTAGTGGATAACCTATTCGAGGCACCCTATCGGAGACTGAAAGCACGTCCAGGGGGGGAGTAAAACATTCGCCTTGGTTTGATCGAAAGTACGGGGGGCAACGGTGGCTCTCCCCGACATTTGCCCTTCGATGAGGATCTGGAATCTCTTTGTCTCTGCACGTTTGCCTGTCAAACAAAGTGAGAACAAAAGAGAGAGAATCTGCAGGTAGCCGTGCCAGTAACATGGATTTGGAGCTGAGAAAAAGCCAGAGAGTATACAATCCAATGCAATCCAATGCAATCACCCTGAAGAATGAGAAATGAATAGAAATTCAATGCAAAAAAATCAATGAAAATAATAGAAAAAGGGAAAAATGAAGCCAAAAAAAGCAAAAAAAAAGGAAAACAATCCTGGTCGCATGTCCCACAGCTTCACTGTTCCAGATACCAGTGAGCATCCGTTTCGTGTGTTTCGGGAAATTTGACGTGGCCATCAGAAGGCAAGTGGCATGTCAGCCAAGAGAAGGAGGACGGTGGTTGGATGAATTGACCTGACAGACGCATTAGAGGGGGGCAATGCATATCGGGACGGCAGGATTACCTGCGTGTGGTCCGAAGGTGAGACACTCAATAGGTTCGGACCCTCGCAGCAATCGTAATTCAGTCCAAGGGGGTGATCTTGCCGGTGTCACTCTGTTGCTTCCCGATCTTCTGCATATCCGAGTCCGAGGTGTTTGGTCATGGATATTCCTGGAGAAGAGAGGGGATGGAAGAGAAATGAGGAAAAGTGAAGAGAAATGAGGAAAAGTGAAGAGAAGAGAAAAGAGAAGAGAAGAGAAAAAAAGAGAAAAAGAAAAGAAAAGAAAAGAGAAAAAGGATTCAACATTAAACAGTATGTACTCAAACAAAAGTATAGTTACAAAAGCCAAATGCTTCAAACGTAAAATTCATGACATTGGCCGAATCATCACGGCCAGTCGTTCGTAAGTTCGTGCTCATGGATGGCTAAAGCCCACTAGATCGCGGATGATCCATCTCCAATTCACTTCGTCGCGATCAAAACCAACCCACCCGTCAACTTTGCGTCGCCATTTTTCTTCTTCGGCCCGTTGTCGCCGGATGAACTCGGGCCCAACGTCAAATTCCTCGGTCATAGGTCCTTCATCCGAGGAGTCCCCACCACTGACATCCTCGGTCACTTGGCTAGGATCCTCAAATGTCCCAGACTTGCGCCCGTGGATGGTGCTGTTGGTGACTCGGTCTTCCAGGTCATCAAGCCCCGCGAAAACATCAACTTCATCGGCCTCGACGCTGGCAGCCTTGAGCCAGCACATTCGATGCGGATCGAAGACCATTCCACCCACCGTTTGAACGTTTTGCATCGTCCCGACGTTGGTAATGAGAGCCGGTGCTGGTTTGGGGGATTTGGGTCCACTGATCTCGAAATCGGGGATCTGGTTTTCGTTTCCCTCCCATCGGAAATTACGAGGGTTGTAACGCATACCCCCAACAGCTGGAGAAGTGAGAACGGAAAATGTGAGCAGTGCACCTTGGAAGGTCCGCCCCGGGAGTAGGAGGTTTGACTTACATTTCGCATCGTGGACACCAGAGCCCATGGGCTTGATCAGGTGAGGTTTAGTCGCCGGTTTAGAATGGGATTTACTTTTCCGACTTCGGATGGGCGCAGAGGCGGGTGGAATTCTGGAAATAGGTTGCGGTTTCCAGTTGGAATTGAGGCTTGATAGGGAGTTGGTCTCTCGGGCTTTCGAGCTTAATTCCCGGGCCTTGGAGCTGAGAGCCAGGGAGGCAATGCGTTGTTCTCTAGCATTTCGAGACGCGTTGGTGTCTTGGGCAAATCTAGGTGTCGGGCTGCGCAACCTGGAAGTAGATGGGGATATCGATGGCTGAGGAGGTAATTCATCATTAGGGCCGACCCGGCCCTGGCTGAGCTTGTTACGGACAGTTCTCGGGGCGCCTCGTCCCGTGGGGGTTTTGATGAATTTGTTTTCAGTCAGAGCTGATGTAGATAGGTCATCGAAGGACTCCAACTCGGATCCATCCCCAAAATTGCGTCTCTTGGTAGGTCGTGTGATAGTTCGTTTTGCGTAGTGGCCAGAAGAAGAATTACCTGCCTCGCCAAGCCCATTGCGAAGGGGTTCGTTTTGCGTAGACCGAGTCAGCCGAGAAAATGTGTTCGGTGGACTGAGAAGCCCGCCAGAGCTGTCAGAATTAGTACGCCGCGAGGAACGATACCCCTTGACACTGGCATGGTGCGACTGGGACTCTGAAACACCGGCAGGCATGAACGGAGCTTGATTTCTACGACCGAGTGATCGTCCATCGTTAATGACACGATCAACTGGCGTCTTAGGTCTGGCAGTGGGCAGGCGAATGGGGCGATCAACTGCTGGTCGCTGAGAGGTCTGCACCGAGGTATTTGAAGCCATGCCCCGTATTGACGGCAGAGAGCGCTTGGGTTTCAAACGTCTAGCCGCAGTGTTGATCTCGCCGGCCAAGGGCGAGTCTCTAGGGTTTCGTGTCCCCAGAATTCGTCGAGTAGAGAGGGAAGGTGTTGGTGAGATTGTGCCGGTACTAGATACCGGAAGGCTTGAAGTGGAGGACTGCGAGGAATGCCCAAGACGCGATTGCGATGTCCTAAATTTGAATAGAGGAGCACCACTTTCCGACACAGTCTCAAGATGAGTCGAATGCGTGCGCTCATGAGTCGTTAATTGCGGGATACGAGTTCGTGGAGAGCCCGTCGTGCTAGTGAATGTAAGGGATGTGGCTGATCGACGAGTGGGACTGGGTGGTTGCTCTGTTTTGTGCTTGATGTTGGGATTCAAGTCAGGTTTTCCAAATGAGAATGCTTTCTCATTGTCGACTTCAATTCCAGAGAAGAAATCATCGTCAGGGTAACCATGAAGATTCTTACTCTCCTTCGCGTCGGTGTTTTCATCTTGCGCGGTTTGCCGTCTTTGTAGAGAAGCATTGAAATCTAGAGGGCCTTCAGGAATGACAATGCCATCCAGTCCATCGTCTCCACTGTCTGCCGTCAGGCAGCTTGAAACACTGGGGCTGGCGACAGACATGGAAGAACTAGGAAGCGACCGACCATCTCTAGCAGTACCCCCGACTCGTACACCAATGCTTCCTTCAGACCACTCGAGGTCGAAATCTTCCAAGGTGGGAGTCGAAGCGCCGTGTGTATCTTTTCTGTGAGAGAGTTCCAGAGGTTGGTGATTAGGAGGAAGTTCAAAGTCTTCGTTGAAGTCATCATCTGTCTCTTGGTGGACTGGGTCGAGAATTATCTTTTGGGGCGATCGAGGAGTTACAGCTTTTAGCGTCGGGACGTCCGGGAAATCAAGACCATCAGTCTCTCCTTCAAAGTCTCCAAATGACCCCAGGGCAGATTGGAGGCGTGTCGAGACCTCGGGACTCCACAAGGGCGAAGCAGTAGATTTTACCGGACTGGTCACCGTGGAACTTGGCAGTCCAATCGAATCCGGGAACACTGTTCCAGAAGTTTGCAACTTCAAGACGGTCTCGGGGCCAGGAAGTTCAACATCTTCTGACCAGTCGTCCACAAAGGTTTTCCTGGTTTTTCGACTTGACAGGCGCTTGATTGTGCCCCCAATCAGAGCTGACTTTGGGATATTCGGTGGGATGGGAATTCCTGCGGTGTTGGCCGACGCGATAGCGTCCTCCTTGGCGAACTCATCATTCTCGTACAGCGGAACCTGCCAGTCCTCATCACCGGCGTTGGACTCTATATCGGAGCGGGCCGAGCGTCTTGAAGATATCGAGTCTCGGTGACCAGAGGGACGAAAGGAGGAGTTTGTGATAGACCCTGCACTCGATGCAGTGCGGAATTGGATTTCGTCGTTGAATTGCAAGTCGTCGTCGTCGTCCCAGCATTCAATCGACTCCTCAGCGTCCGGTCGTAATTGTTTCTGAATTAGGTCCATGGCGAAAGGAACGGCCTTGGGGGGCAAAGGCGTACAAGGCGTACTCGGCTGCGGGCAAGGTCAAAATAGGTGCAAATGTGCCGAAGCAGCCCTGCTTCAAGAAGAGGGCTCAAGGCTTTGCGACGCTGATGAATATCCAGGGGGCGCGAACATGAACGTCATTCCGGGGCGGGTTGTGGACTGGGGGAAGTAAAGCGGTAGTCCGGCGTGAGAAGTGACGGTAGAAAATGTGCGTGAAAGTGCTCGTCAGACGACTGAGTACTCAGTTAGTGTAGTATCTCTGGATAGGTTTGCCAGACGAGAGCTCAGGTAGGCCAATATGATCGAATCCAGCCCCGACAACATCGAACAATTCAGCATTGAGGACGAAAGAGCCCTAGTAGTTGGTTTAGCTGCCCTTCTCCCGTCAGATCCTCAGTTTCGCAAAGCAGCCTTGGAGTTGGCGTGAAGAGAGAAAAAGGGTAGTGGCTGGCTCGTGGAGAAGGAACGTGACGGGTATTGGTAATATATCTGGGTATTCCCAATACACATTCCTCAGGAGTACTTACATCTATAGATCTCCTCCGTACATAATTAATAACTAATAATCGAGTATTGACTTATTGACCATGAGTATGGACTAGTATGCAGCAGAAGTATAGGGGCTGGCTCATATATAAGCTTGACCTGCAATGACTATTGACTAGTTCACTAGTTCTGCAAGGCAAGTCGGAGTGTCTAGATCGTATAATCTATAAATACCAGGAACCGTATTGTACAGATCTAGGTAACTTTGGCTCTTGTTGCCTACGAACACCTTTTCTCTTCGAATGTAACCAGTCATTTCCCCCTTTTCAAGCAATATGTCGAGAGTGCTCCGGTTCGAAAGATCCGACGAACCGGGCTTTGTCTTAGTACAAGTCTCACGCAATGGTCCTGCGCCACTGGATCTAACACTCACTGCGACGGAGGGGGAGGCGCCCTATGTGAGCTTGGGTGGGTCTTGACTTCCGTACATATCTCAGAGGCTCATGTCGCGCAGTGAAACAGGCCCGCCTGAAAGACCTTCGAGCAAAAAGTTACCAAGGCTCCGAAGATGAATGGCGTCAAATCCTGACCTTTTTCTTGGGTCAGTCTGCACAGTCAGAGACTCCGGAATGTGTCACAGGACTGGAGGCTTCAGCAACCATATCCAACTCGGATCAAGACAAAACCCTGAACATTACCATACGCAAGCGCGTGCAGACTATCACGGTTAGTGTTTCATGAGGCGATTTCTTGAATCACCCTGAAACTGACTTCAAAACAGCAACGGATTGGGACACTGAAGCTGCAACAAAATGACGAACAGTCCATCGAACTCTTGGATTGGGCCGGCGTTTCCACGGCTCGAGCCGATGAGCTTCAACTTCAAGTGTCCAGCCTGGCGAGTCGGTACAGTCGGGCGGAAGATACCATCCGTGACTTGAGCCAACAGCTAGAGGAGCTGATGCAGGCAAAAGCCCAGCATGAAACCCAACTGGTGGCGAATTTTGTGCAAATTCTCAATGAAAAAAAGCTGAAGGTCCGGAACCAACAGCGCCTGTTAGCGGCGGCAACAGTGAATCCATCGAGAAGTAGGTGTCATTCACCATCAAACCATACAATGCGAGGTTGACTGACCACCTGCAGTGTCCGAGATACAAGCTCACATCCCTGCAGAGCCACCTGCAACCACTGGAAGATCTTACCAGGCAAAGAGGAGCGCAGGAAGCTTGAGTGACACAGATGCTTCGGACGATTTCGAGCGAATGGATATTGATCGATCAAAATCCGATCGGGGACCTGCCAGCGGTCAGGGGTCAATTGGCGCAGGACACTCGACTCCTCAGTCCCCAGAAGAACAGGTCACAAGCTCCACCGATGATGATTCATCGCAAGATCAACCTACCCAGCAGCCTCCGCGAGTGGTCCCAGGGGACGACACTGCCCCTCCTCAGCGTGTGCTTCCATTTACCAAAAGGACCAGTGGCGTTACTCGGAGCACTGTTGCTGCTGCAGCCCAAGATGATTCGGGAGCAACTGGGGGTGAAACGGATGATGATGAACTTTAGGCCAACCCTGGATTTTTTTAAGAAACAAATAATGACCTTAAGTCATATTATACCACTGGTTTACAAGAAGCAATGTTTCACCATCCTCAACGCCCATGGATTCAGAATTTTAGGGGTTCAGTCCTTTTATGTACAAATCAACCACTGCCAATTGAATCCAGACGACGCCACAAGGCAGCGAAGAGGTCAACGGGAACCGGGAAGGTGTTCGAGACGACAGGGGGGAAAAACATGGAAGATGGAAGAAAAAAAAAACGGGAGACAGTACATCGATAGGGAAATTTAAGATGTAGTACAAAAGAAACGCCAGCAACCATTAAAGAAACACAGAATGCGGTCATGGATGAACCGCGATCTTAACCGTACAGAGCCTGGGGAGACATCTCTCCGGCAGCCATGAAGTTGGTCTCGGGGTTTCCAGTGGCCTTGGCAGCAGAGGCGCGGGCCATGGTAGGTGAGCTAAAAGAAAACAGTTAGTGGATGCGAAACAACCAAATATCAACAAAAGACTAACCTTCGGGAGATGGCGTCGGTGAAGAAGAAGTCTTCAATGACCTTCTTGAAGGGCGCACCAGTGGTCACGGATCCCTTGTTCTGGTCTACGAGCTGGACCTTGCTCAATGAAGCAACGGAAGTGGGCTCAACAATGTCGTAGCGACGCATGACAGGGCTGATTTCCTCCATGCGGTCGCGGAGAGCCTCAATGTCATCATAAGGCAGGGGAGCGTTGAGGAACTCACTGGTAGCACGGATGATCTTCCAATCATCGCGAGCTGCGCCAGGGAGAGAGGTGGCAGCACGGGTGACCTGCACTCGACCTTCGGTGTTGATGTAGGTGCCAGACTTCTCAGTGTAGGCAGCACCGGGGAGAACAACGTCCGCAAGCTGGGCACCGCGGTCACCGTGGTGTCCCTGGTAGATGACAAACGCCTCCTTAGGGATCTCGCTCTGAGCAATCTCATCGGCACCCAGGAGCCACACCATCTTGGGGGTGGTTTGTGAAACTTGGGTAGAGGGAGCGGTGAAACCGACTTCGTAGGCACCGGCGCGAGAGGCAGCGCGCTGAAGGACGTTGTATCCTTGCCACTCAGGGGTAGTGAAGGTGCTGGCATGCTTCTCCACGAAGCCACCGATAGTCTCAAAGATTCCCTTGGCGTCGGCGTGCTCGGCAGCGGCGCTACCGACAATGATCATGGGTCGCTCGGCAGCGGCAAGCTTCTTGCCAAACTCGCCGGACAAAGCACTCTTCAAGGAAGAGATGTCAGCACCAAGGTGGTCGAAGTCGAAGGTGCTCTCGAACTCCTCGCCAACAAGACCAATCTCAAGATCAGATCGGAGATATTGCTTGCGAATGCGGGCGTTAAGAACGGCAGCCTCGTGGCGGGGGTTTGTGGCAACCAGGAGAATGGCGTCGGCCTCTTCAATTCCGTAGATCTTGGAGTTGAAAAGGTAGTTGGAACGAACATCAATACCGTGGGCAATGGGAGCACTGCCACCGGGCTGATCGAGGGCAAGGTTGTCAGAGCCAAGCTTGTTAGCCAGGTCCTTCATGGCGACGAGCGACTCGGCATCGACCAAGTGTCCAGCAACAGCCTTGAACTCATTGGCCTGGGGCTGCAGCTTCTCGTGGGCGGCAGAAATCTCCAAGAGAGCCTGTTCCCAAGTAGCAGGAACGAACTTGCCCTCCCGGCGAATAAGGGGAGTGGTAAGACGCTGAGTCTTCAATCCATCGCAGGCAAAACGCGACTTGTCGTTGATCCATTCTTCGTTAACATCATCATTCAATCGGGGAACGACCCGCATGACTTCCAATCCTCGGCTGTCGATGCGAATGTTAGAGCCAAGTGCATCGAGCACGTCAATCGATTCGGTGTGCTTCAGTTCCCAAGGACGTGCGCGGAAAGCGTAGGGCTTTGAGGTCAGGGCACCGACAGGGCAAAGATCAATGACGTTTCCAGAAAGTTCGGAGTTGAGGTTCTGCTCGAGGTAGGTACCGATCTGCATGTCGTTTCCGCGGCCGGCGGTTCCCAGTTCCGGGGCGCCAGCAACGTCGTTCATGAATCGGACACAGCGGGTACAGTGAATACAACGGTTCATGGAAGTCTTGACCAAGGGGCCAATGTTCTTATCCTCTACGGCACGCTTGCCGCCTTCTTCGTGGAAACGACCCCGATCAGCACCGTAGCGCATCGATTGATCCTGAAGATCACACTCTCCTCCTTGGTCGCAAACTGGGCAATCGAGGGGGTGGTTGGCGAGAAGGAATTCCATAACACCCTCTCGGGCCTTGTGGACGAGCGGCGAGTTGGTCTTCACAACCATACCAGGCTGGACGGGCCAGGCACAAGAGGCGACCGGCTTCGGGGCACGTTCGACTTCGACGAGACACATACGACCTGTCTTTTTGATTAGTAGGTTCATCTCAGTAGCATTGGTGAAGAGCGGATTATTGTACTTACAATTTCCGGCAACCAAAAGTTTTCTTAGGTGACTTGGGTTAGCAAAACAGACCATATATCACTTGACATAGGGGACATACTCGTGGTAGCAGTATCTGTAAGATGTTAGTTACCAGTGCTCAAGGGCGATTGGAACAGCATTCGTCATACCTGGGGACTGTGGCACCTGCTTGTTCACAGGCTTGGATGAGAGCCGAGCCGGCTGTTCAATGATGTGAGCAGAGAATCCCAATTCAACGTCTAGTGACGAAAATTACCTTCAACTGACACCTTCTTGCCATCTATGACATTCTCAGGTTAGTTATCAACTCAAGTTGGATGGTATGACGGATCCAATGCATACCAATGGTCAGTTCCACCTCGGCCGCGCGAGGGACTGTCGTCGCGAAGGTCCTGGGTGTGACCTTGGGAGCCCGGAGTGACCGAGCGGCCGCCCGGAACAGCTGCGGCCGCATCATTGCAAAGAGGCAGATTTCGAGGGGTGGGAGATAGAGTGGAGGAGGGCGAGGGGGTGGGAACTGGTTACTTGGGGGGAGTTCAGAGAGCACTTTGCACCGGAATCTGCGGTTACATAATGGGACTTGCTGACCATCCCTAATGCTGACTCATCCAAAAACGGAAATGGCCTCACGCGGATTGGTTCGGTTATAGGCCTCACCGCCTCGGATATAAACACGACAGAATCTCTTTAGGCGGTGAGGCAGACTCCCTTAAAACGCGGGTGACCGCAGGCAGCTTCTTCTCTTCTTTTCTTACTAATTAAATTGTTTCACGGGCATCTTTTATTGTAGGAAACAGGCTGTTCCTGTTCCTCTTTCCTCTACAGTATGTCCCAAGAGCAGAATTGCGCCGTAGCTGGAGCTGTCAAGGGTTCGCCTGATGATGACTTTGTTCCTTACCGACGGTAGCTACATCCCTTGGATATGACTTTGGTCGTGCTGGTATTTAGATCAAATGAAGAGAAATTTGCAATACATATACATGTTCATATAAGGTGTTCACAAAGCCAGACACAACGTACTGTGTAATCTCTGTATTGCAATGTCTATCGAGACTGCATTTTGACTATTGTACACCCACTGACGGGGATCAGCATAACGCTGCTACACCAAAGGGAAATCTTGGGAACTATTTCAAGATACTTCATAAACAAAACAGAATATTAACGTAAAGCTTCTGTCACGCAACGCCATGATATCATACACTGAGCTAAGGACCACAAGCTGCCCCTAGCCCGCTGTTTGCGAGTCATTGGCTTGCCATGTAGATTCTTGTTTGGTTCCGGGCAACCAAGTGCGAGAAATACTGGCACCTCTGGGTCGAACATAGCCGGGCCGATCGTCTTCTTTTTTGGAGCTATTCCCTGCCAGATGAGGTCCAATGTTGCCTCCGTCAACATTCCTGCCCCCAGGAAATGCGTAGCCGTTGGAGTCCCATGGCCGGCTTGAATGACGGACGTTCATTGGGAGAATGGACTTTTGGGCGCGGAAGTGGTCCGCATTGGCTCTTTGGTCGGCTACATCGTCGTGGCTGTTCCGGTCGTAGAGGTAAAGACCAACAAACGTGAGGGCAATGCCAACTGCCTGGATTGAAGTGGTGGAGCTACCAAACCAGACAATTGCCACCACGATCACGAACACCCGCTTGACCAAGGATGCCACCGAGTACGACACGGGGGAGATCATTGACAAGAGAACAAATGCCAGAATATTTTGGGCAAAGTGAGAGATTCCGTTGAAAACAAATTCCACCACAAGCGCACCATGGTCCAAGGACCCTTGTTTACCTGAAAGTGAGATGACCCCGTCATTGATGAAATCAGCGACCATTGGGTATCCTTCAGTCACAAACCAAAGGGGCAGAGTTAGGAAGAAAGCCAACCCGGAGCAATAACACAGCAAATTAAGTTTGTCCAACTTCCGTCGTGCTGGGTTCTGCATTTCGACTTCAGCCCGATCTGCCTCGTTGAATAACTTCTTGGAGAAAATGTTCTGCGAGACAAACACCAGAGCTGCCCCGAATGCGCAAAAGATTCCAAAGAAATTGGTTGAGACGTCGGTCGAGCATGCAAGCATCACTCCCAGAGTCAGTGGGATAAGGGATAGATAGGTTTCCTTTGCGTATCGAATGCGGAACAGAACCCGATATGCGAAAACGGTGAAGAGGGGCGAGAGACCCTTGATGGTATGAACCAAAGACACGGGGATCTGGGCAGTCGCCATGGAACTGAGGATGTGACCGGCCAGTTGGAACACCGCCAAGGGTAAGGCGGTAGAAATCACATCCCGGGATGGATAGCGAATCCCGTGTTGTAGGATTGGGACACTTTGTCGTAACCGAGGAATGATTGTGGAAAGATACACCAGTAGCAAGCACCAGAACGAGACAAATGCAAATTGAATCATGGTCAGCGTTATAGGCATGGGAAGAGCGTTCAGGATCGATTTCGAGGAGGTGTTTGTGACGGCCGATGTCAGATACCAAACGACACAGAGGGCCTTGACGAGAAGTTAGCAAGTGTGCTCGGGGGGTTTGTTGATATCGACGTTTCCTCGGGACCGGAATGAACGTACTGTGAGTCGGTAGGAGACCGGCGCACGGAGTGCTTCGGCCAGCTCCTGGGCGTTGGCGCTCATGCTACCATTGCGAGTCCGAATGGTCGAAATGGCTTCGCTAATGCTTTTCCGAGGACGATGTTTGGGGTTCCTCAATGTCCCGTTCGCATGCTCGCGCGAGTAGAAGCTCGCTTTCCGGGGTTCCCACAACTCATTGGCGCCGTACTTTACGGAGGGGCTTCGATTGGAGCGAGTGGCCCCGACGGTCTCGGTTGTGTCTTCGTAGGCCGGAAACTTGTCTATGGGACTGCTTGTCGGTTGCGGGTCTGAGGGCTTGGATGGAATTTGCAATTCTGGTTGGCGCATGGAGGAACGTCGCCCGTGGCCGGTCACGGTGGTTGTTGCCATATCAAGACTATGCAGGTCAGTTCAGCCCAAGTCTCTCAATGCTTCCACGACGTGTGTCCAGGACGCTGAAAAGGGCCGGGACGATGACGAATCCCCGGGAGCGAATGAGCGTCGAGTATGGCGACCACACGTGAACTTCCATTCGTTTTGGGAATTGTCTCTTCTTCTCTTCTTCTTTTCTTCTCGTCTTTTCTTGTTGTCTTCTTGCCTTCTCTCTGTATATTTGAAGAGTCTGAATCATGGAGAACCATTTCCACCTGTTACGGAGTATACTTACATTACGGGTCACCGGTCCGTAATGTCATCTATACAACTCCCTCTCTCTCTCCCTCTCTCCACATTGATCAGGTATTCTATGTTCTATGTTGTATTCCACACAGAGTACACTGTGCTGGAATTGAAGCCAACATTACGGCACTATCGTGGAGCCATGACTTTATACGAGTATCAGCACTGGAGCTGTCACTACATATATGTAGTCTCTCCTAAAGCCTGAGCTTTAGGCTTGGAAAGCCTTCAAGAATGAACATATCTAGGTACTGATGATAGTCCCTAGAAATACTTGCGAAAGTGTATCTTTGTATATATAAATGTATACAGGGATACCTAGGTCCATGTATACACGGTATAGATCCAACTTGCCTAATCGGGAATGCTCTTTCCTGAACTCGAACTTGTCCTTGTCCCCTTCCTGTTCATCGCCTCCTTCGTCTTCTCTTATGCCCCCTTCTCACCAATTGCTTCATGTTTACCATCTAGTCAGATCTGCAAACCCTTCATGTAAACTTACTTGGTCTCCAAGCCCGTTTACACTCATCTTTCAAAGCCATCGTGCCTTTTTCTTGTCTGTCTCAGTCTTTGTTCTTGAATCTCTGCCAGTTGAAGATATGTCTACCCTAAGCGGGCCTCCAACAGTTGGTCGCATGGGAAAAGCTGCACGGTTTATCCCCAATGATGGCATGGATGTACGAAATCTATCTTTTGGACAGGAGTCGTCGGTATGTGCTGGCCAGAACCGGGGAACTGTGGGACTAACATGGCCATGATAGGGTCTTACAAGTTCGACAACCCATTACCACCTCTCCGAGGCGGAGGCTACTCAGCAAGGAAGCCGACAGGTCATGTCTACGGAGGGATCGGAGCATTCATCAAGCAAGGTGTGCACTCCCATTGACAGTCACCCTGGGGGGCTTGCCTTCTCACAATCCCAGAAGCAGAAGCTAGATCATATCAAAATTGAGCCTTCATCAGATATCGAAAAAATATTGGCAAAACTTGCCCCTCAGTCAATTCCCCTTCGGTCCGAAACCGATCGATCTTCTGTTTCGTCGCAGATCACGTCGGTCAACCCACACACATCTTCAGAACTCCCCAAAGCGACTCAGCCTGGTGCCCACGAGGACAAAACAGGAGAGTTGCTGCGACTCCAACAAGAATTGCTCGCTGCAAAATCGAAGATCGCCCTACAAGAACAAGAGCTTGCCCAGACCCGGGTCATCAAACACACCCTAGACCAAGCCCTCGGTACTCCGTCAGAGGTAGAGATCGGAAGTCGTGAATTCACAGATCAGACCATCAGCCATTTACAAAATGCCTTCAATGCCTCAAACTCGGCTTTCAATCAACTCCAAGAGGCCTGGAATGCTCATGACGATTCGCGATCTGATAGCTCAGACCAATTGCCTTCCGGCGTCTCCAACAAGTCTCGTGGGCTCTGGGTCCACCACGAGCCATCTGTGGACCGAGAATATAGAGGATCTCCGGGTACCGGCAGCTCTGCGGTTCTGAACGCCCATCGATACTGGGGACTTTCCAATTCATACCAGTCTTTGACTGGACAGCCTTCTGTACAGCCTCAAAGGGTATTTTCGGGGCCATCAACCAGTCCATGTGGGTTCTACCCACGCCCTGTTGGGGAGCAAATGCGATACACACCCGGCTCGGTCCCCGCAGCTCGTCCTTCGATGGACCAGAGCCACCGAGCTGGGTCCCTTATCTCAATCCAACCTACTCCATGGGGTGAACTGGCTTCGGGGCCATCTGGCGAGCAAACCCTCCACCCGCCTGCATCACCCATGAAGAGGCCACCAAGTATCTTTCAACAGACTGGAGCATACCCTGTTCCCGCTTACCTACCCCGGCCAATTGGGAGTCCACTTTCACCAACTGCCACTGAATTCACCGGCTCAAACACAAACGAAGGCACATGGAATCCCTCGGTGGGTTTCATACCTTCAAATCTTTTTCATTTGACCCCAATCTAACCTCTGACTTTCTTTCTAGATTGGCTCCTCGCAAACCTACATGTCAACACTCGAGCCGATGAATTATCGGCGGTTACTTGACAAGAACATGTCGTGTGATTGGAAGTACATTGTGGACAAAATAGTTTGCAACAATGATCAGCAAGCCTCGATCTTCCTACAACAAAAGCTCAAAGTGGGAACCTCGGAGCAAAAGTACGACATCATTGAGGCAATTGTGCATCAAGCGTATTCACTCATGGTCAATCGATTCGGAAACTTCCTCGTACAGCGTTGCTTTGAACATGGAACGCCGGATCAAGTTGTTGCCATCGCAAATGCCATCAGAGGCAACACGCTGAGCCTGAGCATGGACCCGTTTGGTTGCCATGTTATCCAAAAGGCGTTCGACTGCGTTCCAGAGGAACACAAGGCTGTCATGGTTCACGAGCTTCTCCGCCGAATCCCAGAGACGGTAGTTCACCGGTATGCATGCCATGTTTGGCAGAAACTCTTTGAACTTCGCTGGAGTGGTGATCCGCCCCAGATCATGACCCAAGTCAACGAGGCACTCCACGGAATGTGGGATGAGGTCGCTTTGGGTGAAACCGGGAGCTTGGTGGTTCAAAATATCTTTGAAAACTGTGTTGAGGGGGAAAAGGTGAGAATTTCCGCAGCCCAAACCTGAGTCCGGGCTTGCATTCCGTGTCTGATCATTGATTGGGGTAACTTTGAACTATGCTAACAATATATATCAGCGGCCGGCCATTGAAGAGGTGATTGCGAAAATCGACGTGCTCGCTCATGGTCAGTTCGGGAACTGGTGTATTCAGCACATCTGCGAACACGGTGCACCCCATGACAAGAATCGTGCTGTTGAACATGTAGTCCACCGAGCTGTGGACTACAGTGTAGATCAGTTCGCTTCCAAGATTGTGGAAAAATGTCTCAAGATTGGTGGTACAAACTTCATGGACCGTTATCTTGATCGTGTCTGCACCGGCCGCTCTGACCGACCTCGTATGCCCTTGATCGATAGTAAGTTGTCTTGTTCACTTCACAAGATCCCTCTTTACTCACCTTTCTGCAAGTTGCGGGAGATCAGTATGGCAATTATCTGATCCAATGGATTCTGATGAATGCTGAGACGCATCAACGAGATCTTGTGGCCGGTCACATTCGGTAGGATGCGCGATGCTTTCTTCCCCGGCGACAATTGGAACTGACCTTGTCACCAGGAAACACATGGTCTCTCTTCGTGGCTCCAAATTTGGCTCACGGGTGGCGATGCTTTGCTGCAACCCGTCTCATGCTACGCGTCCCGGTCCCGGTGCTGGGATGCCAATTGGCCGGTACAACAACTTCAACGATGAAAAGTTCCCTACTGCAAATTCATCTGGTCGATATAGCCGTGGGGGTGCATGGCCACCCAGCTATGGACCATCCCGTTGAGCGTAACTGATTGCCGTGATATCATTATCCTGTCGCGTTCTCACCAAGTCCTCCACAAGGGACACCCCCAAAAGGAAAAAACAAAACAAAACAAAACAACAGTATCACTTATGGAGTGTGGCGATCACCTCTCTTTCGCTGCTGAGCATTGGCTTTGGCCATTAAGCTGGCAGGTCTTTCATCTGTATTCCTACTTCGCAATCCACCTCCCCAAGATCATTTCTGAATTGCAATCTTCTAATCATCACTGCTTGCCGATTTATTCACTTGGCTTGCTATCCTCACTGTGCCCAGATTCTCCTGAGTTCCTGACTCTGAAGTCCCCAGTGTCAATTTAACAAGACAATGATAATGATATCTTTACTATTCCAATGCCAATACTATCCTCTCTATTATCCCATCGTAGACATGATTTTACGGGGCAGCACTTGCGGTCTCCGCCGGACTATCCCCCTCATCTTTCTCCCAGGGCTTCCGTCGCCGGGGTTTCTCGCTGGCGAGGTCATGGCCTGTCAACACAGTGTCCGGAATTTCTTGGATGCCGGGAATTGGTTGTCCTGTCGTGATGAGCTCCACGATGTGCGCAAAGGAGGACGGGTACGCCGGCTCGGCATTGGAGCCGTTGCCGTCGCCTGGTGCGTTGGGTGACTCGGTTGATGTTTGCACGCTCTCTGTGGTATTTTTTCCCAACCAAGACTTGAACGCGGCAAAGTCAACGGGGGAAGAGAGCTGCTCTTTTCTGCTCCTCGGTTAGTATTTGATAGAGTACAGATATTTCCCCAGCATACCGCGCATAAAAGAAGCACTTTGCGTGCAGCACGAGGTCATCATCCCGATTCATCTCGGCCTCGGAGGCCGGGGTTTCGGGATGACCGAGGACGAAGGCGAGGCCATTTGCAAATTCCGGGTCTGCTCCAAAGGCATAGGCCTGGATGCGCTCAAAGAGTTGTGTGTCGGCCATGTTGTATGAAGTTGGGGATATGCGGAGAGAGGACGTGGGGCTACTAGCCGAGGCTCAGTACATCGTCTATTTAGTACGGGACTGGCCTTAGTTCTTAGTCTCTCATGTTTTTTTATATTCATTTTGTATTCGGTTTTGTTCAATCGTCAGGAAGCTTTGGAATAAATTCAGGGATATCGTACGCCAGCCCATGCAATGTTATATATGTTTTACTCGCGACCCGAAAAGGTTACTCGGCACTTTTGCTCTGGCAGCCCGGACAGTTGTGAACAACCTCATGGGCAAAGAGATCACAGTCGATGCAGAAGTGGCTATGGCACGCAGTACACTCATAGCGACTGCTTACACTCATCCCCTTGGTTTGGCTCTCTGCGACTTGCCATTGATCCTCTGGCGGAACGGGCGGGAAAGAAATCCCACAGGCAAAGCAAGCAGAGCTGCGAGAAGCGCGACGCCAGGGCACCTCGACCCAATTGATCAAGGGGAACAGGTGATGATACGATCTCGCCAAATGAGTCGACAGGATCAGCGTGAGGCCACATGACGGGCACTCGGCAGGAAGATTACACACTTTGCTGTTGCATCGGGAGCAAAGATAGCCTCCTCGCGAGGGGTTGGAATGGCACGCGCAGAGGGAGGGAGTGGCCTCCACGGTCCGGGATGGGAATCCCATCATTAGCAACGAGCTTGCGGATTCCTTCTCGGAATAGGCAGCTGGGGGTGTGGTCACATCCATCATCAACTCCCTAAAGTGTTGCTCGTTCAGCGCGACTCCATATGCCGTTTCATCGCCACCATTTGTCTTGGTACAAAGTTCCCGACAGATGGCGACTTGCGCGGCAAGACCAACGACCCTTACCCGGACCTTGTCGCTGATCAGAGTCCCTATCGTTTGGTGAATATCTCCGGGGTCCGAAGACAGTAGGGATCCGAATATTATGAGAACCTCCCGGGTACCGTGACTGGGGGTATGGCTGTATCCTTTGGGTTAACTTTCAGAGGTTCGAGGTTGCGCGTGGGTTGATAGGAGACCTACAAAAGGGCACCACGTGCCATCTCCAGTCCATTCTGAAGACTAGGGAGACCCTTTGGATCTTGCGTTTTGAGAGCTTGAATGGCCGTAAGATGTTCCGTTGGGTTTCCACTCATGTCACTCACCCGGAGGGCAAGACCATCTCTCAGGCCCAGGACCCCGAGCTGGGAGATGGGATTTTGTTCAAAGAATTCCCTTACGAATTCCTGCGCATATCGGAGGGTCAACAAGTATCGTGTGGGTCGTACGTCTTTCTCGGACATGGATTGTGAAAGGTCGATAATGAGGATGAGATGTCGAATGATACCGCGCTGGAGTGGTGTCGTATCCTTCAAGAGCCTAAGACCGAAACAATGAGTCCACAATTTCAATAGTTCAAAGCACTATTTCCAGTGTAGAGTGTACCTTTTGCGCTTATTGGCCTCCAGTAGCCCTTCGACAGTCGAACTGATGGTGCCATCGGCTCCTTCAACGAGTGTCTCCCAGGTTCTGGAGAGCTCCCACTCTGCGCCTCCTCGCTGCTTTCTCTTTTTGGCTCGAGGGTTGTCTCCTCGAGTAACCTGAAGATCATCCTCGTCTTCTGTCACATCACCCACATATTCTTCGTCGGAGTCCGCCATGATTGATTGAAGGGAGATACTAAAACAGAAGAAGAGAGTCTAAGGGCGGAAAATGGTCCAAGCTTCCGACGGAGCTCCGGAGCTGAACTGCCCTTTCTGTCTCTCTCTCTCTTTCTCCTCTGAGATGCGATCAAATTTCCTTTCAATATAGAGAAAGGGAGAGAAAGAAAAAAAAAGAAAGAAAAAAAAAAGGACGAATAAAACAAAACGTCCGAGGGTAGCCGTAGACTCGATGTGGGGAAGGTCGATTGCCAGAGCTGGCCGAGTTGGCCGAGTAGCTTGTCCTGTCCGTCCTGTCCGCCCTGCCCCTCTTCGCACTATATACTTGGTCTCGCGCTCTCGACCTCGTTCACTTCCTCTAAGGACTCTTCCTGCTTTGAAAGCTCTCACTCCTGTCAGACATTGTTCCGCTGAAGTCCGCATGATGGCTTCCCAAGAAAGAGAGACACTGCCGGAGGTGTAAGTCATGGCGGGGTTTGTTTGCTGAAGCTCCATTTTTGCTAATACAGTCAACAGGGCCAAGCCTATCAACTACCACGTCTCTCTCTTCGACCTACAGCTCGGTGGCTCGTGGGGATATAAGGGTGCCTTGAAGATCGATCTTAAAGTCACCAGTGCTACAAAGGAGATTGTGCTCAACTCCAAGGAAATCGACGTGCAAAATGCCGAAGTCCTAGGCAAGGATGGTACGTGTGAGCCTATATACCGTGGGCCTGGGAAACATGAGACTGACCGTCCTCGCAGGAAGTCAATTGGCCAAAGCAACCGGAATCACCTATGATAAGACGTCGGAGCGAGTGGCCCTGGTGTTCTCACAGGAAATTGCGCCAGCAGACGTTGTTCTATCCATCAACTTCACCGGTACCATGAACAATGCTATGTGCGGTTTCTATCGATCAAAATATAAGCCTACTGGGGAGGTATCGGCCGACACCCCCAAGGAAGATGACTTCCACTATATGCTGAGCACTCAATTCGAGTCCTGTGATGCCCGGAGGGCCTTCCCTTGTTTTGATGAGCCGAATCTGAAGTCCACCTTTGATTTTGAAATTGAGGTCCCCAAGGGACAGACGGCCCTTAGCAACATGCCGGTGCTTTCGGAAAGAGAGGGTAGCACGCCGGGTCTGAAGTTTGTGACTTTCGAAAAGACCCCGGTGATGAGCACCTATGTGAGTTGAATGGAAAGATCCCATGTCTTGTGCGCGCTAACCTGGGCTTCCTTATAGCTCCTGGCATGGGCGGTTGGTGACTTCGAATACGTCGAGGCAATGACCGAACGCAAATATAAGGGCAAGAGCATTCCTGTTCGTGTCTATACTACTCGTGGCCTTCAAAACCAGGCTCGCTTTGCGCTTGAATGCGCTCACCGCACCGTTGATTACTTCTCGGAAGTGTTCGAGATCGAGTATCCGCTTCCTAAGGCTGATTTGCTCGCCGTTCACGAATTTGTAAGCGACCACACCTGGACCTGACCTGTCTAAGCTGATCATATATTAGGCCATGGGTGCCATGGAAAACTGGGGTCTTGTTACCTACCGGACCACTGCCGTGCTCTTCGATGAGGGCAAGTCGGACAACCGCTATAAGAACCGCATTGCCTATGTGGTGGCCCACGGTAAGTCCTCACAACCACAGATCGGGTCTATAGGAGCCCCGCGAACAACTTGAGCGATCACTAACGTTCCCTCAACAGAACTGGCTCACCAATGGTTTGGTAACCTCGTCACTATGGACTGGTGGAATGAGTTGTGGCTCAACGAGGGATTCGCAACCTGGGTCGGTTGGCTTGCCGTCGACCATTTCTATCCAGGTAAAATCCCGTTCCATCTCGCTTGGATTTATTCAGTTCTAACATACAAGCAGAATGGAATGTCTGGTCTCAGTTTGTCGTACGCAATTCCCGAGGTAAAATGACTCCCCAGGAAAACCAACATTGACGTTATCATAGGCTGAAGGTGTGCAACAAGCATTCCATCTCGACTCGCTGCGCGCTTCCCACCCTATCGAGGTCCCCGTGAAGAATGCCCTCGAGGTTGATCAAATTTTCGACCATATCAGCTACCTGAAGGGAAGTTCCGTTATTCGTATGCTCAGCGTTCACCTTGGCAGAGAGACATTCCTGCGGGGAGTTGCGGACTATCTCAAATCGCACGCCTATGGTAAGAAGATAATTGAATGAGCCAAGCGGAATGATCAACTAACACCGGTTACAGGGAATGCCACTACTAATGATCTGTGGTCTGCCTTGAGTAAAGCTTCCGGCCAGGACGTTCACTCTTTCATGGTACGTTTCCCAACGAACGATCACGATGACCCCAGTGACCGGGATATTGGTCAAACCATTGATCTAACTCAATCTAGGACCCTTGGATTCGCAAGATCGGCTTCCCGGTTGTCACTGTGGCGGAAGAGCCTGGCCAGATCACCGTCAAGCAAAATCGCTTCCTGTCCACCGGTGATGCGAAGCCCGAGGAAGATGAGACGAAATGGTGGATCCCTCTTGGGATCAAATCTGGTCCTCAACTAGCCACCTTTGATACCCGTGCTCTCACTCTCAAGTCCGACACCGTCCCAGGAGTTGGCGAGGACTCTTTCTACAAGATCAACAAAGACCTTTCCGGCTTCTACCGGACCAACTATCCTCCCCCGCATTTGGCTAAGCTGGGCCAATCTCTGGATCTTCTCAGCACCGAGGACAAGATCGGCCTCTTGGGAGATGCGTCTGCCCTCGCCGTTTCCGGTGAAGGCACCACGCCTGCCCTCTTGACTCTTTTGGAGGGATTCAAGAACGAGCAAAATTACCTGTAAGGAATCATGCCTTCTTCCTCATGTCTTTTGGTCTCAGATCTAACACCGGATATAATAGTGTTTGGTCCCAGGTTTCCGCTTCTCTGGCAAACCTTCGATCGGTCTTCTCGCAGAACGAGAAAGTAGCTGAGGGCCTGAAGCAATTCACTCTCCGATTGGCTACCCCTGCGGCGGAACGCATTGGATGGGAGTTCCAGCCTGGTGAAGACTATCTAGTTGTGCAGCTGCGCAAGCTTCTGATTTCCATGGCCTGTAATGCAGGCCACGAAGGGTAAGTCTTTTATTGTCTGTGACGAGGCAGCCGCTAACGATGCCATCTCCTTACAGATTTGTCACGGAAGCCAAGCGTCGCTTCGATCTCTGGGCCACCGGTAAGGATGTGAATGCCGTCCACACTAACTTGCGATCGGTGATCTTCGGCATCAATGTGTCGGAAGGCAGCCGTGAAGCGTTCGAGACTGTGAAGGCCGAGTACCTTCGCACGGACTCTGTGGATGGCAAGGAAATCTGCCTGTCTGCCCTTGGACGCACCAAGGACGCCGCACTGGTGAAGGAATATCTGAACTTTGTGTTCTCTGACAAGGTGGCTGTTCAGGATCTCCACAGCGGTGCTGTGTCCTTGGCCAGCAACTCCAAGGTCCGTCATCTGCTTTGGGAGTACATCAAGGAGAACTGGGATGCCGTTTCCACCCGCTTGTCATTTAACAACGTTGTTTTCGAGCGCTTTGTCCGCATGGGTCTGTCCAAGTTTGCCGACCACCAGATCAGTGAGGACATTGCGGCCTTCTTCCAGGACAAAAACACTGTGGCTTACGACCGCGCCCTCGTGATTGTCGCCGATAACATTCGGACCAATGCATCCTACAAAGAGCGTGATGCGGCGTTGGTTCTCGAGTGGCTGCAGGCTCATGGCTATGTTTAAGGTATAGTTCTACTCAGGTGGATTTAATGAATCAAGATTGTCTCCAAAGACCAACTTTCCTCAACATGCACTAGTCATTGGATAACGTGCCAAGTGCACGGGACATGATCGACTCAGGTGATCTCCGAGATCATCGACTGTCAAGTGTCGCAGTCAGGTAATAGGGTGATCTCTTCTAATTCTCCTGTAGGTCCTCTAGCCAAGTAATCTTTCGATCCCAGGTGTCTCGAGATTGGATCCCCTTGCATGGTATTTCATAGTAGATGTACCTCTCTCTCACATCGAAACCTTAGGTTAGATATTTCCCACCGATAGGCTTAGATAGTACACAGGGTACTCAGAGTACTCAGAATCCATTTCAATCATGTTCAAGATCAAATATGGAGAGTACAGAGAAAAGTAATTAAAGGAGTCGAAGAGCGGTGACGTGAAACAAACTTGCACATCAGGTGCGTCTGGCCACCTGCACCTCCTATCATTTCAGGCGACTATTCCATCGTCCCCTCCCCCGACTTCCCACTCTCATCACTTTGTATCTTTGGAACTTGTGTGGTATTGAATCTTTGACTTCACTGTTCCTCATCATGAACCCCGAGTGGTGAGCCGATCCCAACTCCCCAACTCCCCCGACTCTGCGTTGTCGGCGCTGCATTTAACCTCCTCCCCGTGGCTTCTTTGACTGATCTGTGTTGCCTTTTAGAGTACATACGTGTTGGACGCTTCGTTTCTACCCGAAATACAGCACCATTTTGGCCGAAATCCGGTTGCCTAACCATCATAGATACGATTATCTTTTCAAGCTTCTCCTCATCGGTGACTCCGGTGTAGGAAAGTCTTGCTTGCTGCTTCGTTTCGCCGATGATACCTACACTGAAAGTTACATCTCCACAATCGGTGTGGACTTCGTATGTCGTGGATCCTGCGGGGCATTTGGGTCCGCAAGTGAAAGGAGGTGCTGACATCGCGACCTTGATAGAAAATCCGCACAATCGAACTCGATGGCAAGACTGTGAAGCTTCAGATTGTACGGTGATTTCGAGCCCCAGATCCGCATGAGAAAGCTAACAGACTCCAGTGGGATACCGCCGGCCAAGAACGTTTCCGTACCATCACCTCTTCTTACTACCGCGGCGCCCATGGCATCTGTGTGGTTTACGATGTCACCGACATGGATTCCTTCAACAACGTGAAGCAGTGGCTCCAGGAGATTGACCGATACGCCACCGAGGGTGTCAACAAGTTGCTTGTTGGTAACAAGAGCGATATGGAGGACAAGAAGGTCGTGGAATACACCGTTGCCAAGGTAGGTTCATGGATGAGATGAATGTGGAATCTGCACGATGCGATGGGCATGCTGATGTTTGATATCTATATAGGAATTCGCCGATAGTCTCGGAATCCCCTTCCTCGAGACCTCCGCCAAGAACGCCTCCAATGTTGAGCAGGCATTCTTGACCATGGCACGACAGATCAAGGAGCGCATGGGAACGGCCACCGTGAACAACAAGCCTACCGTGCAAGTTGGTCAGGGCCAGGGCGTCCAGTCTGGGTCTGGAGGTGGCTGTTGCTAAACGACATATTCTATTATGGTGCGGTGCTTCCATTTGGCGCAATGTTACATCATGAATGAGGGTTCCCCAGCTGGGGAGTGGTATCTAATTGGCAGGGTTTCCCGGCCCTTTGACAGTCGACATCGGGGGTCAGAGGATACTATTTCACGAAGCTGGCAATCGTTACGATAGTACCATCCGGGTCTGCCTTTCTTCTGCTTTAGACGACCTACGTTTTATCCTCGTCTCTGCGTTTGCGGCACTTCCCGCCGATTTTCTGCGTTCTCATGATCTTCCTGCCTTATTTTCTTTGGCCCATCATCCTGTTCTCTTTTTTTTTTACTATTTTCGCTCTTGTAGGCTGGACTCTTCTTTTTTTTTCTCTCTGAATGGATTAATGGCAAGAAATATGTGGATTCTCCTAGTGTTTTAAATCACATGTCATATAGTGTAGCTCGTACTACGGAGTACTACGGAGTAGACTAGGGAGTATGGAGTATGCAGGTACGGAGACACAGCCTAGGCAATAAAGTCCGGGGCGGGAGCCGAGGCTATCACATTCGGCACGTCATGAGAGTTCTCCTGACTTGTGAACTTCCTTTTTGATTCCTCCCTTTGCTTATTCTCATCTGAGAGATCACATCTACTACTTTCATACTTCCATACTTTCATACTTCTCCGCCTTCTCACTTCCTCGCCTTATCGTCTCCCCGCTTTCCCGCCTTCATCGGATATGTCTCAACCCGACCAACAGAAGATCGCTTCTGCGACTGTGCAGCAGAGTGACAATATTGCGCACGCTTTGGCTGGTGCCGGTGGTGGGGTTCTCTCAATGGTCTTGACGTATGTTTGCCCCGCGTTTGGGGGGAAACCGGGCTAATATCCCCCAGATACCCTCTGATTACTTTGTCCACAAGAGCCCAGGTCGAGTCGAAGCGGGCTCACTCAACTGCCCTGGATGCTGTGCGCCGGATTGTACAGCGAGAGGGTATCTCCGGGCTCTATTCGGGGTTGGAGTCTGCGCTGTTTGGAATCAGCGTCACCAACTTCGTCTACTATTACTGGTATGAGTTTACTCGTTCAGCCTTTGAAAAGGCTGCCACTCAAGGAGGTCGGGCCTCTAAGAAGCTCACCACTGTCGAGTCGATGATTGCGGGCGCCATTGCCGGTAGTGCTACCGTGCTGATCACCAACCCCATTTGGGTCATCAACACCCGCATGACTGCCCGCAATTCCGCGGAGGAGGAGTCTCTCCCTGGGGCTCCCAAGGCCAAGGCCTCGACATTAAGCACCCTTCTGGACCTGCTGAAGCAAGAGGGTCCCAAGGCCTTGTTCGCCGGTGTTCTTCCCGCGCTGGTCCTGGTGATCAACCCAATTCTGCAGTACACCATCTTCGAGCAACTGAAGAATGTGGTGGAGCGCCGCCGCCGCATGACCCCGAAAGATGCGTTCTATTTGGGGGCCCTTGGTAAGATCCTGGCCACCAGTATCACCTACCCTTATATCACCATCAAGAGCCGCATGCATGTGGCCAGCAAGGATGGCCCCAAGGAGAGTTTGAATGGAAGCCTGAAGCGGATCATTCACGAGGAAGGCTGGAAGGGACTTTACAAGGGTAAGTATTTCACCCCCCAGTTCTGACCTGCTGCTGATCCCCTCTAGGTATCGGACCCAAGGTCACACAGAGCGCCATCACCGCGGCCTTCCTCTTTGCGTTCAAGGATGTGCTATATGATACAATGGTGTCTGCTCGTCGTCGACGTCTTACTAAATAAACAAGTCCCATACTGTATGGATGATTCGTTCACCGTGGAGTGCGGGCGACATCAACGCAAGTACGGAGTAGAGGCGACCAGTTTCTCGCTCTCAAATGATACCCCCGCCAATATATGTAGTTTAATAGAACATACTTTTGATATGAAGAAGAGTAGCAATTTGACTTAACTTGACCTTGACAATAAGTAATAGTACTTGTAGACCAGGAGTATACAGGCCTCGATTTTATACAGTTCACCGCCCGGACTTCACCGCCCACTTTCGCCGCGACGCGCGACGCGATTCTGCTTCCCTTCATCTCTGGACGATCTTGCTTTACTCGTCTTTACTTGCCCCCGGGGGACCGGTGGTATGTCTTGTTTTACTGACCACTGTCTGCCAGCGGACGTGAAGCCAGTGTACAAACACTCTTATCCGACAGCGTAAAGGAATTTCTTTCACTACCATTGGCAAAATGTCGCACAGCATATCTGCCTCGAGTCAGGGCATGCTCCCAAATTTTGGTCTTTCGGCGCAATCTATACCGGAAAATCCAGATACTGTGGAGCAGACAAGACGACTGTTGATGCAATTTTGCGCAAGACCTTCGGTGTTCAGTGCCACATATGAACAAAGAAGGGAAATTCCTCGCGGCGAATTTCCCCAGACTGCAAACCAAGCTCCACCAGTATCCTCACCCCGCAACATCATCTCACCCCCGAGGCCCTCTCCTTCACCTCCACCCAAATCTCCCTCTCCGGCTATTCCATATGGGCTTCCCAACATCCCGCCTCGGTCGGGGCCCAGTTCATCGCGCCGTCCTACGCCCTCACCTCAGGTTCCCCCATCGCCCCAACCTGAGCGGGCCATATCCCCTCAACAATCCTCTCCAGCCAGATCTCTTCGTCGGCGCATTCCAAGGGGGAGTGTAGCCACCATACACGCCAACAAAAGTGATGTGATAACGGATTGGGTTCCTTACAAAGGACCGAGGTCGTCATCGTCTTCGCGGCCCATGTCACCTGTTGAATCCAATGTCCCGCGGCGTTCGGTCCGCTCGAGAGCTCAGCCTTTAAACTACTTCGCCCGGGGTCCCCTTGATTTCGACGAGCCGGAAGTGAGCACGCCAGCAACGCCTGTGTATGAACCATGTCCCCCGATGAAACCACAACAGCCTAGCCGCTTGAAACCGCGCAAACCCATAATAGACTTCCTGCATGCTCGCGAACTTGGAGGCAAGCCTTTTGACATGGATGTCACATCAGATCTTAAGCCATGGAAGTCATGGAAAGGTGCCTCGGGTGACATATTTGTTGCGATATGGTCTCCCGATGGTACTCGGTTTGCGGCAGGTGCCGGAGCCAACAACGACGAATACAACAAGTCGAACAACTTTGTCTTGGGAAATCTTCAAACCAGTTGCTTGAAGGAAATTCCTGAGCATCGAATTCCACGACCCAATGCGTCGAGTCTTCAGGACCCACACCTGTATATGAGTGTGACGGACATGCAGTGGACCGGTGATCGTTTGTCTACAGCAAGTTATGACAAGACCGTGAAGATTTGGGACACCTCGATGACTGATCGCATTTCATGTTTGGGATCTTTGAAGCACGACTCTGGTGTGGAGCTGATTGCTGTGTCATCGTTTGACTCGAACATATTGGCGACTGGTTGCGACGTCGGCAGTGATGTGGTTCGAGTCTGGGACACTCGGGACATCGGAAACCCCACGTTCACAGTTCTCCCGATCGATCGACCAAATGCTACGCTCAAGGCAGGTGCACTAGCCTGGGGTGATACCCCCGCGTCAAAGGAGTTTCTTGCTGGTGGCATGTCTGATGAAGGAGTCGACTCCAAGTACAAAGGGTATCTGGGCCTGTGGCGCGCTTGCGAAGACCGTTTCGAGACCATCAAAGTCTCCAAAAACTCCCAAACCGTGCATGATCTGAAATGGCATTCTTCATTGCCACAGTTTATCACTGCCAGCCCGGTAGATCCTCACTATGCGCGTATGATGGGGATTGGCACGTCAAGGTCCATCGTGAGAGTCTTTGATGTCAATGAGGGCATGCGTGTACCCTCCATCATGGAGTTCTCCTGCCCGGCTGACGATGTGAACGAGGTGACATTCTCCCCCGCGGAGGGCAATTATGTGACTGCCAGTTGTACGAATGGCGTGACATATGTTTGGGATGATCGCCGAGGTGATCGAATTCTTCACGAACTTCACCATGGTGATCCAATCAACCCAATAGCGCATGACTCTAACCGCGAAAGTGAAGATGTCGGAGTGAAAGTCGCCTTATGGGGTCTTTCTACCGATCAATTCTTCACCGGTGCTTCCGATGGTGTTTTAAAACGCTGGGACGTCCGCCGATCACCTGAAGATGTGCTTCTTCGGGACATTACCACTATGGACCATGGCTTGTTCTGCGCTTCTTTCAGCCCAGACCAGGCCCATCTTCTGATTGGTGACTCTGGAGGAAGTATTCATGTCTTGTCTTCGGGGCCTTGTGCCGACCCCGACATCACCGATTTCCGCTTTGAATATGCCCCTGAAGTACCCACCGATGGACCAGATCAATCTTCGGAAGTTGGAACCAGCGGAAACTCACACGAAGTCCTGGACGTTAGTATGAGTGGGGTCCTCCCTCCAGAGGTGGTGTCGACCAGGCCATCCGTTCCCTGGCAGCCTTTGCGACCAGACAAAAAAAGGAGAAGATCGGAGAAGCAGCGGCAGAAGCAGAAGCAGAAGCAGAAGGCTGAATCTGAGCTTTTTGTCGATATAGACTCAGATCTCCACGGATCTGACCAGAATGAAGTCAACGACGTCAATAAAGACAAGTCGGTCGTTGGTGAAGGGCAAGAAATTGACATCTCATCAAATGAGACGGAGCCGAGAACACGGGACACCGCAGTGGATTCTCGGCGCATTCGTCGGCGCAAAAAGAGACGATTGGCGCGAATGCAACACATCATCACACACACCGGGAGTATTGACCTCACCTTAGACTCCGATTCCGAGACACCATGTCAATTCCAGATGGAGGAACTCTTAGAGGCCCTTGAAGAAGACCACTGGTTCCCGGAAAGTGGCAGTATTGATCCCAATATCACCGTTGAAACCGTGTGAATGGCCCCTTTCCCTTTCCCTTTTCTTTTTTCCATAGCATGGCGTGCATTTCCCGGGATCTTCGCGTTTGGGCACTTTATGACAGCATTCTAAGGCGCAATATGATCATTTTTGACAAGATACTGAGAGTAGGCTAGGCGATTTAGGCCTATTGTCTGATGGGTAAACGTGAATCAGAAGTATAAGATACCATATAGGTATGGTAGTATTTCAAGTATGGAGTGAATAATCTCATTATATACACATTCTACTCTAAATATACTTAAGTAACTACAAGTACTAGAAAGAACAATGGCCCAACAAGATTACCAAAGTACCTAGTACATCACTTATATTCCGAAGAGTATGAAGTATAGCCTGAGTCTATTTGTATGCAATGTACATAGTGGCTCAGTACAATTATGTGAGTGCCTGTGGAATTACGTCATCCACCGCCACCGAGGCGCAGTATATTCTCCGCTTATCCGCCAAGTACTTCGGTATATATCACTTCCGGTTCTCACTTCTCCATTGTCACACACTTCAAGTACATCAACTCTCTCAGTTACACCATGTCCTCATACGCCCCGCCTCCAGGCCCTCCGCCACCTTCTGTTCCTGAAGGATGGAAAGCACAATACGACGAGAGATATCATGCATGGTGAGTACTCCGGACCCACCAACGCGGTCACATAACTAACAACCGAGTAGGTTCTTCATTGACCTTGCAACGGGAAAATCGCAATGGGAAGCACCCGAAGGACCTCCACAGCGCATGAACGAGCCCCCAGTGCAGTCACCCCCCTCATACAATGCCGGGTCAAGTGACCCCGCAGCTCTAGCAGCAGCCGGGGACAAGAAGCAAATGGGATCCAACAACCCATACAACCAAAGCCAGCACCAGCCCAGTCCCAACACAATAGACGAGGACGCGCGTCTGGCTGCCAAGCTCCAAGCCGAGGAAGACGCTCGTGGTCAGCGGGGAACCCCATCCGCCCCCGCGGGGGACCGTGGCGCCTCAGATGACTACTACAACAATGCACCGCAATCTGGTCCCAGCTATGCGGCAGGTCCATCTCAGAGCCCAATGCCGGAGCAGGAACAGAAGCGCAGCAAAGGTGGTTTCCTCAGTAAGCTTATGGGCAAGAGCTCATCTCGACCCCGCCCACCGCAACAACAGCAGCAGTATGCATCATATGCGCAGCAAGGTCCCCCACCTGGCCACTACGGCGGTTATCCCCAGCCTGGTCCCCAGCCTGGATACGGATACTCCGGTCCCGGGTATGGAGGTGGATATGGAGGATACCCGCAACAGGGCGGGTACTACCAGCAACCACCTCGCAAGCAAGGTGGTGGTGGTATGGGCACAGCAGGAGCAGCTGCTCTTGGTGTTGGAGGTGGATTGCTGGGTGGTATGCTCATTGCCGATGCCATTGAAGACCACCACGATGATGACTATGGCAATGATTACGGCGGTGGTGATGATTATGGTGGTGGTGACGATTTCGGAGGCGACTTCTAAGCACCCGTTGCTTTTTTCACTTTTTCTTTCTGTCCTTTTGTTCTCGGGATGGAGACGGAGATAATCCTCAAGGTTTTAGGCGTTTTGTTTCTGGTTGAGAGGGTTGCTTTGCCCGAACAGTTTTACATGTTTTGGGCCTTCATGAGCTATGAGTTTCCGATAGATAGCTATGTATCATACAATCTGTGATGAGACAAATCCCCTCCAAACGAGAAGTAGATAGAATCACCGTCTATCCTCGCCTCCGAGTCGAACCGCTGGTATCTCTGCCGGATGCGCCACTTTGAGGCGCATCGTTGGCGGCAGGACTCGGAGCAGTTGTACCGGCCATCCAACCGGCCAGGTCGAAGCCACCACCAGCCATGGCATTGCTCGTGGCACCGGTGATGGGAGAGGAGCGAGAGTGCTGCTCGAACTCTGCGCGCATTTCCGGATCCACTAGATAAATTGTGAGCATCCAATTCATCAACTGGAGAAAAAAAGCACTTACTGTTTTCCATGAGCTTGGGCATGACAAACATGAGACCAAGAGCAACCACTGCAAGCAAGACCATAGGGTTCTTGACCAGACTCAATGGAGAGACTAATTTTTTGTTAGCACTTGTTTAGTTCCCGAGACAGAGATCGAAAAGCTCACATTTGGCACGCTCTTCATAGAAGGCCTTGCGGCCCACGACCTTGGCCTCCACGACGACATCATCCGGCTTCTTGCCAGCCACATCCACCACATACTTCTCTGCACCCCGGTTGTCCCACGGGTTTCCCCGGAAAGTCTCCCAGATCCCCAGGACAGATCCATCCGCCGCAACATCCACGCGGTAGGGGGCAAAGACATACCCACCCGCAGAGCGAATGTCGAGGAGATAAGACTCCGCAGTCGCAGAGGTGGGAAGTTCAAAGACAAATGTCGCAGCCCGAGTCAGCGAGGCCGAGAGAATATGGTCTTTCGCAGACGAGGGGAGAGTGGTGAGAGTGGCATGGCTGGTTGCGGGGAGGACGTGCGGGTTAGGCAGAGGGCCGGAGGAGGGGATAGTGATTGTCAAGGAAGCAGAGACCAGACTGCTAATCCCCAGAAGGACAATGGCCGAGAGTGAGAACTGCATGGCGAAATGTGTTGGGGAAAGAGTTGGTACTTGGGGCGAGATGCACAGCTATGATGTTCCACTCACGTGATACACTCCATCATCTCCAACGTTGGACTTCCTCCCGACTTCACCGAACAATGCCTGTCTACTTGATTTCCAGGTACGAGAGACCCCTTTGTGTCTGATCCTTATGCTAATGACTTGATTAGGATCGCGGATCCCGCATTCGCCCTGGCGATGGGCGTCTCTGCTGCCTTTTCTCGCGTCCAACGTGACCAGCGCGAGAAGTTCCCCGAGCGTGCTTCTGAGATCACATACGGAAGCATTGTCCAAACGAGTGGTCGACGCCTACAGAGATGGTGGAATGGCGATTTCCAGAGTGTTGCATGATGCATATGGGCTTGGAGTTCGGACTGTTCCTGTCCAGAGGTGTTGAAATTGAAGCTATTGTACGTTAATGCGAATGGAGACACTGGCCAATTGCCAGCATACTAAGCAGCTATCTATGTGCTTGTAGACAATTTTGTAAGTCGAGGATAGTCGAGGCAGAGCATCACATCGAGTCAAACCTTAGTGGCCAAGGCGTTGGTATAGCTACAAACTACAATGAAATCTACAAAGGAAATGTTTTGAAATTAAAAAATTGAAATTTTGATCTGCTAAGGAATTTTGACCCAGCAAAAGATAACGACGTATCTATGCAATCATGCGCAAAAAGAAACCTTGATATCCCATAAGTTCGTAAAACAAGACGTGAAAGGAAACAAATGCCAACAGGCTAAGAAAGAAGAATTAAGGGCGAGACATTTAGTCAAGCTCCTCGGGCTTCTCCTCAACCTCGTCGGCGGAGCGAGCACCACCCTCAGGGGCGGCACCAGGGGGAGCCTGGCCACCGTAGGCAGCGGAGATAATGGGGTTGGCAATAGCCTCAAGCTCCTTCTGCTGGGACTCGTACTCGTCCTTCTCGGCGGTCTGGTTGCTGTCCAACCAAGTGATGGTCTCGGAGATCTTGTCCTCGACCTTCTTCTTGTCCTCCTCGGAGATCTGGAGCTTGCCCTCACCAAGGGTGTTCTTGAGAGAGTAGGCGTAGGACTCGAGACCGTTCTTGGCCTGGATACGGCCAGCCTCAGCCTCATCCTCCTCCTTGTACTTCTCGGCCTCAGCAAGCATGCGCTCAATCTCCTCCTTGGACAGACGGCCCTTGTCGTTGGTGATGGTAATCTTGTTGGACTTTCCGGTGCCCTTCTCGACAGCGGAGACGTTCATGATACCGTTGGCATCGACATCGAAGGTGACCTCAATCTGGGGGACACCACGGGGGGCAGGGGGGATGCCAGTAAGCTCGAACTTTCCGAGCAGGTTGTTGTCCTTGGTGCGAGCACGCTCACCCTCGAAGACCTGGATCAGGACACCGGGCTGGTTGTCAGAGTAGGTGGAGAAGGTCTCGGACTTCTTGGTGGGGATAGTGGTGTTACGCTTGATGAGAGGAGTCATGACACCACCAGCGGTCTCAATACCGAGAGACAGAGGAGCAACATCGAGAAGCAGGATCTCGTTGGTGGACTTGGAGGACTGGTCACCGGACAGAATGGCGGCCTGGACGGCAGCACCGTAGGCAACAGCCTCATCGGGGTTGATGGACTTGTTGGCATCCTTGTTGAAGAAGTCGGAGACAAGCTTCTGGATCTTGGGGATACGGGTGGATCCACCGACGAGGACAATCTCGTGGACGGAGGACTTGTCGATCTTGGCGTCACGGAGGACACGCTCAACGGGCTCCATGGTACCGCGGAAGAGGTCCTGGCAAAGCTCCTCGAAACGGGCACGGGTGATGGAGGTGTAGAAGTCAACACCCTCGAAGAGAGAGTCGATCTCAATGGAGGTCTGGGCAGCGGAAGAGAGGGTGCGCTTGGCACGCTCGCAAGCGGTGCGGAGACGACGGAGAGCACGGGCGTTGGTGGTCAGGTCCTTCTTGTGCTTGCGCTTGAACTCGTTGACGAAGTGGTTGACGAGACGGTTGTCGAAGTCCTCACCACCCAAGTGAGTGTCACCAGCAGTGGACTTAACCTCGAAGATACCTTCCTCGATGGTCAGGAGAGAGACATCGAAGGTACCACCACCGAGATCGAAGATGAGGACGTTGCGCTCACCCTCGACCTTCTTGTCGAGACCGTAGGCAATGGCAGCAGCGGTAGGCTCGTTGATGATACGGAGGACGTTGAGACCGGCAATGAGACCGGCATCCTTGGTAGCCTGACGCTGGGAGTCGTTGAAGTAGGCGGGGACAGTGATGACAGCGTTGTTGACGGTGCCACCGAGGTAAGCCTCAGCGGTCTCACGCATCTTAACGAGAATCATAGCAGAGATCTCCTCGGGAGTGAACTGCTTGGTCTCACCCTTGAACTCGACCTCGATGACGGGCTTGGTGGCCTTCTCGACGATCTTGAAGGGGAAGTGCTTCATATCAGCCTGAACCTCGGCGTCGTTAAAACGACGACCAATGAGACGCTTGGCATCGAAGACAGTGTGGTGGGGGTTCATAGCGACTTGGTTCTTGGCGGCATCACCGATGAGACGCTCGGTGTCGGTGAAACCGACGAAAGAGGGGGTAGTGCGGTTACCCTGGTCGTTGGCGATGATCTCAATGCGGTCATCACGGAAGACACCCACACAGGAGTAGGTGGTTCCCAGATCGATACCGACGGCGGGGGCCATGGTGTGTGTGTGTGTGTGTAGTATTCGTTAAAAGGGTATGTAAAAGAAAATTCGTGAAGAAGAGTGGAAGGTAGTGTACAGAGTAAGAGGGTATTTGAAAGTGAAGAAGAAAAGAAAGAGAGAGAGAGCAGCGAAAACCTGCTATATAGTGAGCGGTGTATTGTTCAGAAGCTTCTAGACGGGCAGCTTCCACCGACATCCATGGGGTTCCATGACCTTCGATGCCCCAGCAACACCTTTTCCTCCCTGTTTCCGGGCCTCTCCAGCACTTTCTAGGGCCTGGGAGGTCCTGCTTTCTAGATTGATGTATTACATTGGCTCTCCTCCGCCCTTTAGCCTGTCAATTCCCCTTGAACAGGAGTCTTTGCCATCACTGTGTTTTTTTTTTTGGCGGGGCTACGATGATGTAATAGTGGGATGACGATTTAAATTACACTGAAAAATACAGAACGGGTATCCACGGGTATTGGTTGCCCCGGTTCCCTACCTTTCTATCGACGAGAAGAGGGTAGACTTCTTTCTTTCTGCTGTATGGTATGGTCACAGTGGACACCCTCGTCATGGAATCATCATGATGAATTCATGACCCATTGAAAGGGAAAGGAGAATACAGTAGACACTGTGCAAACACTACAAACATCAGAAAAAAAAAGAAAGAGCAAAGGACAAAAGTAACGAAAATAACGAAGAGAAACAAAGGGCACAGCCGCACCTCGAGGTCAGAGGCTATCAAAATTGATACCTAAGGTGTCAGTTGTGGCCACAATATTCAGGTGTCAATTCAGGTATCAATTCAGGTGTCAGGCTGTAGTATCATGTGACCTTTATGCCTCAGGCCGCAATCCACAGTGGAAACCAAGGCTTAGTGTGAACTCCGTAACTTTAATCTTAAGACTGTCGACTACTTTCTATTAACTGTACTCCTTTTACACCGTGGACTCTCTCTTACTACTTTCTAAGCTCTTTTCTATTTCTACTGGTGTTCTACTTTTCTTCTTTCGCTACTTACTCGTACGCTCGGAGTCAAACCTGACCTCGGAGAAATCCCGGAACCAAGCCTTCCAAAAGGCTTGATAACGCCATCCACGCTAAGCATTCGAAACTGACCATGTCCGTTCTTCATAGCGCCCAATTTGGTGCTTGGCCCCGGTGCTTATCGCCCTGGTTCGTCGACGATGGCAGCGGAATGTAACGCCGCCTGGGCCAGCTCCTTCTGGGTCCAATGAGCGCTTGTTGTCGCATGCGGATGCAGAGGGATTCTATTATGTACTTGATTGCGAGATTGTGATCTAGTCTTTTTTTTTTCTTTTTCGCCCTTGCGGACCTGGGATACATATAGTCTCCCCCCCCCCCACCCATAAATTTCATGTGTGCTTTTTACTCTCTATAGATCGGTGGATCTCATCCCTTCCAATGGCTGGATGGAACCTCAAACGGCGCAAGGCGCCGGAGCAGCCTGTCGAGACGGAGAAGACAGAGCCACAGCCAGAACTAGAGCGCGTGCCAAAGAAACCAGATGTCGCAGAGTCCCCGGTGGACGAGGAGAACCTCCATCTCAAGGGGGACACCGCCGCCATCGAACAAGAGACTCAAGAGAACCCCGAAATCGCTGCATTGCCACATACCGTGCGCCAGCTAATCAACCTGACCGATGATCCCACCCTCCCAACCATCACCTTTCGCTACTTTGTGCTCTCCGCCATTTTCGTAATTCCCGGGGCGTTCTTGTCGCAGATGAGCTATTTCCGCACCACCAAGGCCCCATACTCCGTCTTCTTCGTACAGATCGCCTGTCACTATGCCGGTCACTTCATGGCCCGAGTCGTCCCAGCCTGGAATGTCGGCATCCCGGGCACGCGATTCAAATTCAACCTCAATCCGGCTCCGTGGAGTATCAAGGAGCATGTGTTGGTGACACTGACCGCAGCCTCGGGCGCGACATATAACATGGGATATGCTCCAATCGTGCTGGCTGAGCTCTGGTACGGGACCCGAATCAATCCCGGCGTGGCAATCTTCTTCATGTTGTCCATCGTCTGGATCGGGTACTCCTTTGCTGCACTGGCCCGCCAGATCTTATTGCCGGACCCGGAGTACATCTGGCCGCAAGCTCTCATGCAGACGACGTTGTTCGAAACCTTCCGCAAGACGGATAATTCGTCGCCGGTCGCCCGGCGACAGATGAAGGTGTTCTTTTTCGCATTGCTCGGGATGACCCTATGGCAGTTTATCCCAGAATATGTCTTCCCGTTTACCTCGTCATTGGCCTTCCTCTGCTGGGTGGCCCCGCGAAACCCGGTGGCTAACTTCATCGGCTCGGGGATCGGTGGCATGGGCTTCCTCAACCTCTCCCTCGATTGGTCCAACGTCAATTGGAATGGATCCTCAATCATGACCACCCCATTCTGGACGCAGGTCATCCTTTTCTTGGCTTTCGCATTCAATTGCTGGGTCCTCCTTCCTGCAGCGAAGTGGGGGAACCTGGGTTCCTACAAGCATGGCCTCATGTCCAACACCCTTTTTATGGCGAATGGCACCGCATATCCCACCCTGGAGGTGCTGACTCCGAACTACCACCTCAACACGACCGCATTCGAACACTATGGGCCCATGTACATGGGTTTGCAGAATGTGTGGGCGACCTTCTTTGACTACGCCAAACTTCCGGCCGCCGTCACCTGGATTCTCACTTTTGGGTATGCTCAGGTGTCGGGAAATATCCGACGCATCTTGGACTCTCGCAAGGCAGAAAAGAACAAGACAGCCAAAAGCATTCATCACCAGTACCACGATCGCCTCAATGTGATTCAAAGACAGTATAAAGAGATCCCATGGTGGTGGTATGCCACCCTATTCATGGTGGCCTTTGTGATCTTGATCATTTTCCTCGCCCTCGGACACCTATTTATCCCTATCTGGACCTTGTTTGTAGCGCTTGCTAGCGCTGCTGTTTTGGTCATTCCATTCGCCTGGCTCTACGCCATCTCCAATTACCAATTGGAGACCGGATCCTTCAACGAGTTGATGTACGGCTACATGGTCCACACCAAGGCTGGTGAAAATCACCAGCACCCGTGTGGGCCTTCTGTCTATGGGTCGATTGCAGGTGACGCCTGGTACCGTGCTCAGTACATGCTCCAGGACCAAAAGATTGGTCACTACATGCACATTCCGCCTCGGGCTGTGTTCTTCTCGCAAATTTTTGGAACCTGCATGGGAGTTCCCATCAATTATGCTGTCATGCGCTGGATCATGAGCACCAAAGGTGATTTCCTCACTGGCAAGAAGACCGATCCCCTGAACCAGTGGACTGGACAATCGCTGCGAAACTCCAACACCATGGGCATTCAATACGCCGTGCTGGGACCCAAGAAGCTCTTTGCCGAGACCGAAATGTCTATCCTTCCCTGGTCCTTCTTGATCGGAGCCGTGATTCCCCCTATTCTCTTTATTGCCCACCGGTTCTTCCCTCGACTTCGCATTGAATTGTGGAACGTGAGCATCTTCTTTGGTGGACTCGCCATGTTCTACGGTAACATCAGTACCGGATACACCTCTGCCATCATCGGTGGTTACATTGTGATGTACTGGGCTTACCGGAACCACTTTGAGACGTGGAAGCGATACAACTACCTTCTCGCTGCAGCCTTTGATGCTGGATTCAACCTCTGCATGCTGCTCATCTTCTTCTTCTTTGGAGCTGGCAAGCAAGTGAAAATGCCCGAGTGGTGGGGAAACAACAGCACTTCTGTTGAAAGATGCTTTGCTCTTGATAGTTGATTCCCTATGGGCCTGAGTAGTTAGTGATGAACTTCTAGACTTACTCTTTTAAATATACATGATTGATGAAGTGCAGAATCCATAAACGTATATGTACTACATACTAGTATGCTGTAGGAAGTAAGGAGCAGGAAGATCTATAAACTTCGTAAACAGGATCAGGGCACGATTTGTCAGGGGGTTCCACCAATCAGACTCCCATCTCCCGCCCTTACTGTTTTGCTTCTACTTGACCGTCTTTTACCTCTTCCCCTCTCTCCTCTTTTCACCAATCCATCTCTTTTACCCTCTTTAAATCATTTTCACAATGGGTGACCACGCTACTATCTCCAACGAGGACTCCTTCGCCAAGGGCAAGGGTAAGGCCGACCCCACCAACGAAGTGAGCATGGACGAGGACAGCTCTTCTGAGTCTGAGTCCGAGCTGGTGAGTCTTCCATTCCCTCTAGATCCCATTTAGTACTAATCTGAATGCGCCTTTAGCCCGAAAACGGTACATAACCTCCCCCACTCCCCCCTCTCTCCCCGACGCGCGGGGTTCTATGCGCCTCCTCGATTACTTGACTAACCTACAACAGAGGATGACGATGAGGGCCAGGCCCACGGTGATCCCATTGACCAGAGCAACATCATCCAGGGTGGTCGCCGCACCCGTGGCAAGGTCATCGACTACTCCAAGGTTGCTGCCGACGACATGGAAGATGACGATGAGGACGATGAGGAGTATGAGAGCCGTGAAGACAAGAACGATGATGACCAGATGCGCGACTAAATGAATATATGTTATGGGTGGCATGGGATGGGATTTGCTTTACATGACAGGCGCCACGGATCGAGGGGTTTTCCTTTTCTCCCACACATACCCGCGTACTGTGTCTCCAAATGTTGCCCTATGGTGATGACTATGAATCAATGAATACTTTTTTCTTCGGATTCTTTTGGCTTCCAAGTTGATGGTCAACACTTTTGAACTAGTGAACTTATGAACTGGTGAATTGGCTGGACTGGACTGGCTATGATGTAATGTGTAGATGTTTCTGGATTTGTGACTCTCAGGGGATATCTAAGTGCATTGGATGCACACCAGGGACTCAATATCTTAGAGAAAAGTCGTGACAATCAATCTGCTATCACGTGCACGCTATGGCCACTTGGATGTTTTTATCTCCGGAACAAGAACATCCAACTTCTAACTCCCTAACTAATACTACATTATGGCTTCACGGTATGCTGGACTCGATATCTCCACAAACTGCCAGCTAATAGCCCTAGATTCCCACGTCAGCGCGATCCCCGTGCCTCTTCCTCTCTCTTCGATCAATATGGCGGCGACTCCCGCCAAGCGAGCAGATCACCAGCCCAACAGAGCTATGGATATGGAGGATACTCAAGTCCTGCAAATGGATATACAGAAAGCCCTGGTTACCAGAATGCCTCACCAAACAAAAAGTAGGCAAGCTTGAATCCATCTTCCTGCAGGAGCCTAACTTGACCAGGGGTCACTACTCGGACGCTGTACTCTCATCACTAGAGTCGCAAAACGACGCTGAAGTGGAAGGAATCAGCGCCAAAGTCAAGATGCTGAAAGATGTATGACCAATGCCAAGCACCAGGGAGAATGTGCTGACAGGACTAGATCACACTTGCCATTGGAGACGAAATCCGCGATACGACACACATGAGCGAGCTGGAAGATTCCTTCGATAATACACGAGTCCGACTGCGCGGGACTATGAACCGCATGATGCGCATGGCGGATAGCACTGGAGTCGGCTGGCGGGTCTGGCTTGGCTTCTTTGTTGCTGTGTTCCTACTGTTCTTCTACGTGTGGATTTTCTGAGCGATTGCGACAGATCTACCGCATATAGGGCGTCTATACTACTTTTAATTACTGGACCTGGCCTAAGTGCATGTATTGAATGGCTGGACATTTTTAGCATGGGACTGTGATTTGGCGTTTGGGTGACTCGGCTACATGGGCTTGTATGGAGACCTCTTTGTGTACGGTACCTGTGGACTCATTGAGATGCATTTGTCCGAGATCGATGAAGAACATGGATAATCTCTTGCCGGAATATCTTCTGGCTGGCTCCAAGGTTTATTATTTCATGGATATACTATGTTCATACGGTATACAAAAGAGCCAAATTGTACCATTTCATGGCATATCTTGATTATTAAGTGGATTGAATTTCATGGGTATCATAAGTTGCCAGGCACATCTGGAAATCGAATACATGTCGGGCTCTGTAGACTGGCACGTCTAATTCAAACTGTCGCGAGGCCCACCGATGTGTCTCGGTAACCGTCCAAATCCACTGCGTCGACTGCTCTGGCTGGTCACCGAAGCGCGTAGATCCCCATCGCTGTACAGCATGCTGCTGGAGTCGAATGCATCCCCCCCGCCACTCCAGCGATTGATAAAGCGGCTCTGCGCCTCCGTCTCCCGTCCCCGGCGCAAGGTTGGCGGAGGTAACCCGCCCCGACTATTCGGCGTGCTGGTCCGGAAATTAGGTGTGCTGGTTGGAAAGTTTTCTGTGAACCGAGACTGAGCCATTGCCGACTGCATCAGACTGGAATCATCCTCGCTCAGCTCCTCCTCACTATCCGTGTGCTGCCATTCTTCCGGAGAGCCCTCTGCGTCGGGGATCTCATCATCCAAGTCCCGTTCACTTTCCTCAGGGATGTCCGCATCCAAATCAGGCTGGTTATCGAAATCATCGTCGTCATCATCATCATAAAGTCCCGAGCCCTCGTACTCGTCATCCACAAAGCCTTCGGGAATATCATCATCCAAATCCCGCTCCATGTATTCTCCTTCCTCTTCGAGTCCCTCCTCTCCTTCTTCGATGAGACCCGACGGCTCCTCCTCCGCATTGGGAATCTCCTCATCCAGATCCCGCTCCATCCCCTCTTCTTCGGGGTGTGTCGTATCATCCAGGATGCCCCCTTCGGCAGCCTCCATCTCCGCCGCCGCCGCCTGCATCGCCTCTTCGCGCTCTGCCTCCTCTTCTTTCATCCCGAGCATGGTTTTCGCACATCCTGCCGGTCTGATCCAGGAATATCCAAAGGAGGCGATGTGGAGTTTTCGCGCACGCAGCTTGCGTTCTTCTGCGGCGAGCGCAGCCAGTGTGTTCCCCGGGGAGCGGGAGGGGAGGAACGCGCGGTGACTCGGTGAGCCGGCATTGCGGCGTGCAAAGGGATTTGCTGGGTCTGTTGGTTCGGAGTGGGGTTGGGAAGTGCCAAACCAGAGTTCATGGGACTGGGGATGTTAGTTGATGACTGGAGCTTGGGAGATATCCTTACATCGCGTGGTGTGAGTGATGGTAGGGAGAGCATGGTTGCGTTATGTATTCGAGACTGCCGAGGTAGTGCAGCTCCAATGGCAGTTGTGATGTGGTGAAAGAGGATCGCCAACCTTGGGAGCGGAGCAGAAAAACGCCGCCAGCTCTGTAGCCAATCAGCGGACAGAGAGGCTCTTTTCTGCGGGGAGCTACCAACCCTATCTTTACTGTCTACAAAGTAGGTCGAACCTCACTATGTTCTCTACAAACTCGTATATTTCCTCAGTTTCATGACAACAAATTCCATTATTAGTTCTGTACTCACCGTTTCACGCTATGTCTAGATCATTGGTTTGAGAACGTCTTGGCTTGACTAGGAAATGAGTACCCAGGTATGTATTCCGTAATGCAAATTGACAGATGTGCAGTGTAGATCAATAGACTTGGCCTTGCAGCAATCCAGGCCTTCTCTTCAGAGTAGAACGCAGACCGTAGACATTGCATGTACTCCATGACGTCGCTATGGGAGCTGCCCTTAGTACCTGTACAATGGATTCGAACAGAATCCGATACATATTGATGTAGATCGACTTCACTTCCCGGTGCAATTGGTTCCAGATATTCTACCAGGCTACTTCCAAAAAGAGAAGAAGAGTCCCTGTAAGTAGTACCAAGTAAAACATTGGTAAATAATGAAGCACACTGCAGCTTCACCGGTCTTTCACACCGAAATGGCCCGATCTGATTCGCCTTGACTATGGGAGGTCGGAAGAAGTCGGAGCAACTTTTGTTACTTTCACCGAGGCTTTGATTGGTGGACATCATGTGATTCTCTCCGCATATCCACTATGGAGAACCGCAGGTAGTTACGCGGAGTACTCCGTACTGTACCTACATAGTTACCAATTGATCTTATGCAAATGGGAAATATGATGTATCAATTTCCGACAGTGGAGAATGTCTAGGCGAGAAAGGGAGAAGCGATCCTCAATCTTCCGACTTGTTTTGTCTTTCTGAATAGCGGTTATTAGTTCTTATTAGCATCTGTTATGGCTTATCTTCCCAGGTTCCGAGGAACTAGGTCGGAGTACGGAGAAGGTAATATACGAGTACGGGGTATTTCGGGGAAACGGACACACAGCCTTCAATTTGAGGACTCCGGGGTGCACAATGGACCAGTCAGGGGTCTGCTATTGGGAAGCGAACAGTGATCAGCAGAGGGATGCTCGCGAGGAATGAGGACAGACCCGCATGCGGAGGAGGCATGCCCGAAGTCGGGTCTGTGCTAGGGCCAATTAAAGCCCCGTTGTCGGGAACCTTGCCATTGCCATTGCCATCCCCAATTTCTTTCGCTGTAGTACTCCGTAAGTACAGCTAGTGATGAGATGTGGTCTCATACTTCTACACATATCAGTAAAGAGAAAACGAAATCCAAATACCAAAAGAACAAAATACTAAAATACGTGACGTCGCGGATCGTCATATGGGTAAAGGCCGTGCTCTGATTGGTGCAATGCTTATCTATGATTTGCATTTAGTTTACTCCATACTCATACTGTACTTATCCGTACTGTAGGGAGTATACGTTTTCGGTTTTAGATTTTATATGTACGAGTATGTTCCAAGGTATACTGTAGTATCTGTATCTGTATGGTATTATCCTTGGATCCCTGTATTTCCTTTTTCCTCTTTGGGAACAATCCAATCCGGACTTGCTGTCCCGCCGTGATCGCTCGACTTTTTTGTTTCTCCCCCTCTTCTCTTCTTCATTTTTTTTTTTTCAACCTCTCTCCTATTGTTGCTAGATCTCAAAGTCACTGCAATTTGCTCTCTGTGACGCACTGAAGTCCACCCGTGATACTCCATTGCACGCGGTGACGACATTACCTACCCCCATTCGGCGGGGACCTCCTGAAAGAACCCCGCGGCCATCAATTCATTCTCTGTCGGCCCCCGGCGGAAGAATGGGTCTTAACCTGGAAGAGATTTATGGCAAAGATCTAAGCGAGGAGCCTCCCCAGGAATACTCTGAATATGAACCCAAGCAGGGCTATGGCTGGGCCAATGCTCTACCGGAACGACAAGGACTCTACGACCCGGAATATGAAAAGGATGCCTGTGGTGTAGGATTTGCTGCGTGAGTGGAATCCAATCTGCTCCCAATGGCCTTGCCCCTGCAATGCTGACCAGTACTACCAGTCATATCAAGGGCAAAGCGAGTCACAAGATTGTGAGCGATGGTGAGTTTCCAATTGGCGTGCCAAAGCCAACCTCCCTCAGCCCTAAAAGAAGGGGACGCTAACATGGAACCAAACAGCCCGCAATCTCCTGTGTAACATGACCCATCGCGGAGCCGTAGGTTCTGACGCCCGAGACGGCGATGGTGCTGGTGTGATGACCAGCATCCCCCACAAGTTCTTCGTGAAGAACTTCGCCCGGGAGGTTGGGGTCGAACTCCCGCCCCTGGGTCAATATGCAGTCGGAAACCTGTTCTTCAAACCCGACGAAGAAGCACTGAAAAAGTCGATCGAGAGCTTTGAGGAATTGGCGACATCCCTCGGTTTGCGCACACTAGGATGGCGTGAAGTCCCCCGGGATTCGACCATTCTAGGCCCCGCGGCTCTCTCACGAGAGCCTATCATCATGCAGCCGTTTGTGGTGCTACAATCGGCATATGGTGATGGCAGCAAACCGGAGATCACTGACATCGAGAAGTTTGACGAACGAACCTTTGAGCTGCAGCTCTACGTGCTCCGGAAGCGCGCCACGCACGTTATTGGTCTGGGGAACTGGTTCTACTTATGCTCTCTCAGCAACCGAAACATCATTTACAAGGGCCAGCTGTCTCCCGTGCAGGTATACACCTACTACCACGATCTAGTCAACGTGGACTACGAGGGCCATTTTGCTCTGGTACATTCGCGATTCTCCACCAACACATTCCCCTCCTGGGACCGTGCCCAACCTTTACGGTGGGCTGCCCACAATGGTGAAATCAACACCCTGCGAGGTAACAAAAACTGGATGCGCGCACGAGAGGGAGTTCTGCGATCAGAAGTCTTCGGTGATGAGCTGGATCAGCTCTACCCCATTATCGAGGAGGGTGGTTCGGACTCGGCTGCATTCGATAATGTGCTGGAGCTTCTCATGATCAATGGCGTGCTGTCTCTCCCTGAGGCCGTCATGATCATGATCCCAGAGGCCTGGCAAGATAACCCAGCGATGGATCCTGCCAAGTCTGCATTCTACGAGTGGGCGGCCTGTCAGATGGAGCCCTGGGATGGCCCAGCCCTTTTCACTTTCTCTGATGGACGCTACTGCGGTGCTAATCTCGATCGTAATGGACTGCGCCCTTGTCGCTTCTATGTCATGGATGATGATCGTATCGTCTGTGCCTCTGAAGTTGGTGCTATCGATATTGACCCCGAGAGAGTGGTGCAGAAGGGTCGCCTGCAGCCCGGAAAGATGCTGCTGGTCGATACGGTAGCTGGACGCATCATCGACGATGCCGAGCTGAAGCAAACAGTCAGCCGTCGCCAGGACTTTGCCGGGTGGCTGGATAAGGAACTTCTCAAGCTGCCTGCGATCAACAAATTGCTTCTTGATTCCAATGTCGACCTTTCGTTCGCTCTAGACGAAAACACTATCCAAAATGATCCTCGCCTGAGGGCATTTGGATACTCCTTTGAGCAAGTCAGTCTGATTCTTGGCCCAATGGCTGCAGACTCAAAGGAAGCTCTTGGCTCAATGGGTAACGACGCACCCTTGGCCTGTATTTCTCCACAGCCCCATCTTCTCTATGAGTACTTCCGCCAGCTCTTTGCTCAAGTCACCAACCCACCCATCGATCCGATTCGAGAGGCCGTGGTCATGTCCCTCGAATGCTACGTTGGTCCCCAGGGTAACCTACTGGAAATGGAATCTTCGCAGTGCCATCGTCTCCTCCTACCCTCCCCTATCCTGAGCATCCCGGAGTTCAATGCTCTGAAGAATGTCAACTTGGCCCACAAGGATTGGACCGTGTGTACTATCGACATCACATTCGAAAGGAGCAAGGGCACCGCGGGTTACATTGACGCACTGGACAGTATTTGCGATGCTACTACCAGCGCTATTCAGAACGGCGACAAGGTCATTATTTTATCTGACCGTGCAACATCTGCCGATCGTGTTCCCATGTCTGCTTTGTTGGCTACAGGGCTGGTTCACCACCATCTCGTCCGCAACAAGTGGAGATCGCTGGCCGCTATAGCGGTGGAGACGGCCGAAGCCCGTGAAGTTCATCACCACTGTGTTCTGCTGGGATACGGTGCTGATGCCATCAACCCTTACCTTGCGATGGAATGCATTCTCAAGATGAACCGCGAAAACCTGATCCGCAAGGACACACCCGACGAGAGAGTCATTCAGAACTATAAGTCATCTTGCGACGGTGGCATCCTTAAGGTCATGAGTAAGATGGGTATCTCTACTCTCCAATCTTACAAGGGTGCTCAGATTTTCGAGGCTCTCGGTATTGATGATAGTGTCATTGACCGTTGCTTTGCCGGCACTGCTAGTCGTATCCGCGGTATCACATTTGATCTTATTGCCCAGGATACTTTCGCTTTCCACGAGCGCGGGTTCCCCTCCAATCCAATTGTTGAAGTCCCTGGTCTCCCTGAATCTGGCGAATACCACTGGCGTGATGGAGGCGAGGCTCACATCAACGACCCCACAAGCATTGCCAACATCCAGGATGCCGTCCGCACTAAGAACGACAAGTCGTATGAAGCCTATGCCAAGTCCGCGCACGAGCAGATCAAGAATTGCACCCTGCGTGGTATGCTCGATTTTGATTTCGAGCAGCGAACACCCATTCCCATTGACCAGGTCGAGCCCTGGACCGAGATTGTCCGCCGCTTCGTAACTGGTGCCATGTCTTACGGATCTATCTCGATGGAATCCCACTCTACATTGGCTATCGCCATGAATCGCCTGGGAGGAAAGTCCAATACGGGAGAAGGTGGTGAGGACGCCGAGCGCAGTAAGAAGATGGAGAACGGTGACACCATGCGTTCTTCCATCAAGCAAATTGCCTCTGGTCGCTTTGGTGTCACATCGAACTACCTTGCTGACGCCGACGAGCTACAAATCAAAATGGCCCAGGGTGCGAAGCCTGGCGAGGGTGGTGAGCTTCCCGGCCATAAAGTCGTAGGCCCCATTGCTCGTACTCGATTCTCCACCCCGGGTGTTGGTCTCATCTCGCCGCCTCCTCACCACGACATCTACTCGATCGAAGATCTCAAGCAGCTAATTTACGATCTCAAATGCTCCAACCCCCGCGCCAGAGTCTCTGTCAAGCTTGTCTCTGAGGTTGGCGTTGGTATCGTCGCTTCTGGTGTGGCCAAGGCGAAGGCTGATCATATCTTGATCTCTGGTCATGATGGTGGTACCGGTGCTTCCCGATGGACTGGTATCAAATATGCGGGTCTTCCATGGGAGCTAGGTCTTGCCGAGACACACCAAACTCTTGTTCTAAATGATCTGCGAGGTCGGGTCGTTGTTCAGACTGATGGTCAAATCCGTACTGGAAGGGACTTGGCCATTGCCTGTCTCCTCGGTGCCGAGGAATATGGCTTTGCTACAACCCCTTTGATTGCACTTGGATGCATTATGATGAGAAAGGTATTCAAGATCCCCGTCCGTTCTGAAAGTTTGCCCGAGAACTAACTATTCTTCAGTGCCACTTAAACACTTGTCCAGTTGGTATTGCAACTCAGGATCCGGAGCTGCGCAAGAAGTTCCAGGGTACGCCAGAGCATGTGATTAATTTCTTCTACTATGTCGCCAACGAGATGCGGGCTATCATGGCGAAACTGGGTATTCGCTCGGTCAATGAGATGGTTGGCCGTGCTGAATTGCTCAAGGTCCGAGACGATATCCGAAATGAGAAACAGGAGCGCGTTGACCTGTCACTGATTCTAACCCCGGCCCATTCACTTCGACCTGGAGTCGCTACCTACAATGTTCGCAAGCAGGATCACCGTCTCCATGTCCGTCTGGACAACAAATTGATTGCCGAATCAGAACTTGCTTTGGAGAAGGGCCTCCCTTGCCGAATCGAGTGTGATGTCGTCAACACTGACCGTGCCATGGGTGCTACTCTCTCTTACCAGATTAGCAGACGTTACGGTGAAGCTGGTCTACCACAGGACACAGTCCACGCTAACATCAAGGGCTCTGCTGGTCAGTCCTTTGGTGCCTACCTTGCCCCTGGTGTGACTCTTGAGCTGGAGGGTGATGCCAACGATTATGTTGGCAAAGGCCTTTCTGGTGGTCGTCTGATCGTATACCCCCCGCGTGGAGCCGCTTTCAAGGCCGAAGAGAATGTCATTGTCGGCAACACCTGTCTCTACGGTGCTACACGTGGAGCTTGCTACTTCCGCGGTATGGCTGCTGAGCGTTTCGCAGTCCGTAACTCCGGTGCCACTGTCGTCGTTGAGGGTGTCGGTGACCACGGTTGCGAATACATGACCGGTGGCCGCGTCCTCGTTCTGGGTCCCACTGGTCGAAACTTTGCTGCTGGTATGTCTGGTGGTATTGCCTACATTCTCGACAAGAACCAGGACTTCCACTCCAAGGTAAACTTGGAGATGGTTGAAGTCTCTGGTATTGAAGACCCATCTGAAATTGCCTTTGTCCGTGGTCTGATCGAAGATCACCATCATTACACCGGCTCTGAACTAGCTGCTCGAATTCTGCTCGACTTCACCCGTGCTCTTTCGCACTTTGTCAAGGTTCTACCTATTGACTACAAGCGTGTGATGGAAGAGGAGGCTGCCAAGACTGAAGCTGCGAAGAAGACCGAGTTCTCTTTGCCACGCCTTCCCAGCGCGCCTGTGAAGACCGAGAAGCCCAAAGCCGATGATTCGCACAAAGCGGAATTGCTTGATATCGAAGACAGCATCAATGATTCCAAGACCGAGAAGAAGCGATCAGCACTGATCTTGGACAAGACCAGAGGATTCATGAAATACAGCCGTCGCAGCGAAAAGTACCGCAACGCCACTACCCGTACTCGTGACTGGGGTGAGATTTCCAACCGTCTGAGCGAGGATGAGCTCAAGTTCCAGTCTGCTCGTTGTATGGACTGTGGTGTTCCATTCTGTCAATCTGATACAGGCTGCCCTATCTCCAACATCATTCCCAAGTGGAATGAGTTGGTATTCCAAGTAAGTAAAACCTCCCCAACATAACTTTGGAATCAGCTCAGCTTCCATTCCTCCCCACATCGCAATTAAATACTGACCCCATGCCTCTAGAACCAATGGCAGGATGCTCTCAACCGCCTCCTTATGACCAACAACTTCCCCGAGTTCACTGGTCGTGTCTGCCCTGCTCCTTGTGAGGGAGCCTGTGTTTTGGGCATTAATGAAGACCCGGTCGGTATCAAGTCTATTGAATGTGCAATCATCGACCGTGGATTCGAGATGGGCTGGATGGTTCCCAAGCCCCCTAAAATCCGTTCCGGAAAGACCATTGCCATCATTGGATCTGGTCCTGCTGGAATGGCTGCTGCTGATCAGCTCAACCGTGCCGGTCATAGCGTCACCGTTTACGAGCGCGCTGATCGCATCGGCGGTCTTCTCATGTATGGTATTCCCAACATGAAGCTTGACAAGAAGGTTGTACAGCGCCGTGTTGACCTCATGGCTGCCGAAGGGATCAAGTTTGTCACCGGAACTGCCGTTGGTCCTGACTCTGAGGTTACTCTTCAATCCCTTCGCTCGACCAACGACAGTGTCATCATCGCTACGGGTGCCACTGTCGCCCGTGATCTCAAGGTCACTGGTCGTGAGCTAGATGGCGTGCACTTTGCCATGCAATTCCTGCACAAGAACACCAAGTCTCTTCTCGACTCCGGCCTTTCGGATGGCGAGTACATTTCCGCCAAGGACAAGCACGTCGTTGTCATTGGTGGTGGTGATACTGGAAACGACTGCATTGGTACCTCTGTCCGCCACGGTGCCAAATCAGTCACCAACTTCGAGCTGCTGCCTCAGCCACCCTCTGAGCGTGCTAGCGACAACCCGTGGCCTCAATGGCCTCGCATTTACCGCATCGACTACGGCCATTCTGAAGTCAAGACCCACATGGGCAAGGATCCCCGTGAGTTCTGCGTTATGTCAACCGAGTTTGTTGATGATGGAACCGGTCGTGTGAGGGGTATCAACACCGTGCGTGTTGAGTGGACTAAGAGCGCCACTGGTGGCTGGGACATGAAGACCGTGGATGGAAGCGAGCAATTCTTCCCTGCGGACCTTGTTCTTCTATCCATGGGTTTCCTGGGTCCGGAGGATCGTCTCCTTGGTGAAGAAATTGAGCGTGATCCCCGCAAGAATGTCAAGACTCCTCCCGGTCACTACTCAACCAACATTCCCGGTGTCTACGCTGCTGGTGACTGTCGCCGTGGACAGTCATTGATTGTCTGGTGAGTGTTTTATCTACATTTTTATATCCTTGAGGAACAAAAGACCTTACTAATCTCCATCACAGGGGTATCAATGAAGGACGCCAGTGCGCTCGCGAGGTCGATTCTTTCCTCAGCGGGACCAGCTCCCAACTCCCAGTTACCGGTGGTATTGTCCGTCGACCTGCCATCGACTCTGTGCCTCAGGTCACTGAGGTTAGTGCCTAAGTAGGAAGCAGGGATGTTATCATGATTAATGGTTCTGAAATGTCTGGGGAATAAACGGTGGTTTAGACAGGACCGAGTCCTTTGGTTTCAAAAGCATCCGGGGTGGCTGTTCTTTTGTTTCAGCGTTACAATGTATTTAGAGCGTCTGCCGTTTGGTCATCTCTTTATGTTGTACATAGTGTTAATTCTATTCATTACATTCATTGTTAGGTCAAAGTAATGTTGAGCCTCTCAATAGAGGTGACAAAGAGTCGAAAGTGTACAGAGGATACAAAGTATTGAAGGTCTATGTTTTCTTCCCAAATAACAAACAAACAGGCCAGAAAGATCATTGTGAAGATGGCCAGCAGGACGAAAGGAAAAAGAGATGAAGTAAAGAATGTAATTGTCCCGGTGCATTGAAGTAACAGCATAGTACCTGCGTCTAAGTTCATAAGAACAGCTTCTGTATAGGCCTATAAAGTTGTCTAGCCCATTCCATCTTATTGGTCTTGAACTCAAGACATCATATCTTCAAATTACCATGGCCAAAACAGAGAAGAAAAATAACCCCAATGGATTTACTACTGAACGAGAGGTCGATGGCGAGCGTCGATGTGTCCGTCACTATAACGACGGTCGAGTGTCATCCAGGGATAGTTCTCGCCGCCGTATCTCTCCGCCGTCCAGTCCAAATATCTCTCGATGCAGGACCGCGAGAGCTTCCTCTCGGCCTACATCGCATTCTACCTCTCGATCTACATCTCGGGCTTCTTCGGACTCAGGCAGTGCTGGAAGCGTCGAGTTAATCTCTGCCGTTGAAAAACTCGAAATTTCCGATGATCTATCGGTGGAAAAGCTTCACGGTACATCGGATCCTGAACTGACAGCCGGACGAGTTGCCTTGGAAATGTTGGAGTCAACATCTCGACCAGCCTCGGTGAAGTTGAAATCAGGCGACGGCAACACTGTCCTTCACCGTGTAGCGGAGATTGAGACCCAGCTGAATAGGCTGGAGAAGTGTCGTCTCGTCCATATACCTGAAGAGGAAGAAGAACAGTCAGAGCATTGCTGAACATCGCCTTGTACAAAGCATCGAAATATGTTGTGTTGGCAATACACCGAGTAAAGAGACTCGAGCACAGGACAATGGAGATGGTCATATTATACATGAAGAAACAAAAGGGTGTATATCTACATTCGCATCAAAGACAGACAGGGGGTATCATGCAGCCTTTTGTTTCGCTGCTTCCTCTTCCGCCTTTATCTCCTTCTCCAGGGCAGCAAAGTCCCCCTTGAAGGACTCTGTAGCAGGGTCCAATCGTACATCCCACACATCCTCGCTACTGGGGCCGGTTTTGTACTTGATTGCCTTCTTCCGGTTGTGGTCTCGGATTTCCCGCCTGCGCAAGTCCTCGGGCCAAGTGCGAGTCTTCATACACAGCCAAAGATTGTCCCAATGTTCGCTGCAGGACCTGAGTTCACCGTATCGGTAGACGTTCACGAATTGGCCACCGAAGGATTGGCAGAAGAAGGCGTAGTCGAAGGCATTGCGGCAAGACATGGTATCTTGATACAGAGATTCTGGGGCGATGGCTGATTGGGGTGTAGACACGACATTGCCCTCGGGTGTAAGAGTTTGTTTTGATAGTGAGGAATCTTCTGATCTGAGATCGGCTAGGATTTGGCTGAATTCCAGGTCGGCTTGTTCGTCGGGGGTCAAGGTCTTAGGTGGTACATTTTGCTGTGGTGCCTCTGCAATGGTGGGAGGGGTGGGAGTGGGTTGAGAAGTATCTTTAGTAGTGTCCTTAGGACTTGATCCCCATAGCCAGCCCATTTTGTGTTTAGCAGGAAAGTACTCTGTAGAAAGGTGGAATTGTCGTGATCACCGCGAAATCGCGAGGTTCTTTTTCGCGGCTTATCGGGCCTGGCACGTGACTCGGGCGATAAGGCGGCGACGTCATTGGAAACAAGCTGATCTCGCAACTATTCCTCTTTCCTCTTTCCTCGTTCATTTCAGCATGCTGCTATGGCCACAATGAATCAGGCGAGCTTCTCTCGAGGTCTGCTGGCCGCACGGTCATCGGGAGACTTCCGTATCAACACTCTAAGGTGCAGACCTGCGCTTTATGCACGCTCAGCCACACGGTGTAGCTCTTCGATCAAATCAGGGCATATCCCTGTAGGGGAGGATGAAGGTCTCATTTATGTCAATAGTTAGTACAAGATACTTACAAATTTAGAAACTCACCCGCTGACTGACACTAGATATTTTCCCACATCGGTTACAATGGCTGCTGCGCGGACCCCTCAGTCATATCCAGCCCCTCGAGGGGATTTTAAAACGAGTCAACAAGCCTGGAATTGCAGCCGCCGATCCACTCCGTATTGTCGAGCGGGCTCTTCCAAAGGACTTGGAATTTGAGATCAAAGAGGTTGTTACAAGATACAAGGAAGGCGGTGCATTCGTCAAGTATGGGCTGAAGTCGCCCATAACCAACGATAATATCCATGATTCGATTAAAGACCACTTACACAAAAAGCCTCTGACACCTTGGTTCAACCCATTTCAAGAAGTCGATGCGGACCTGGTGCGTGGAACACCCTGGATCGAAGACCTTTACCGCATCCCAAGCCAAACACTCAAGGTGGAATTTTTGTCAACTTCACCGGACAGCCCAGCAGCCGAGTTGACGCAAGAGGCATTGTACTCCCTCTTCCGTCCTTATGGCAAGATTCTGGATATCCAGCCACAGCCCTCGGACTCGAAAGTCGAACCACGATATGCAACTTTGCGGTTTGAGCGGCCTCGGTATGCCGTCATGGCCAGAAATTGTATGCATGGATTCATTGTGTCTGAAGAAGCAGGAGGTGGCAAGTCCGGCACCAGGTTTAAGATCAACTACGAGCGCAAGATAAAGCTCTTTATGATCAAGGACTGGATCCTCAATCATCCACGGCTCGTTATCCCTGCCATCGCGGCGTTGATTGCGACATTCACAGTGATTGTCTTTGATCCAATCCGCACATTCTTCATCACAATTAAGATCAAATCATCGTACCAGGCCGAGGACAACCCTATTGTGAAATGGATTCGCAAACAAGTCAGCAAAGCCAACATGTTCTCTTTTGGAAGTCAGAAGTCTGACCCTCGAGGGCTGGCTGCTATCTGGGAAGACCGACAAAAGGACATCGAGCAGCTGCGAGCGTGGCTGAGCGAAACTGCTGAAACATTCATTGTCATTCACGGCCCTCGGGGCTCAGGAAAACGTGAATTGGTCCTGGAGCAAGCACTGAAAGAGCACAAGTACAAGGTTGTCATTGACTGCAAACAAATCCAGGATGCTCGAGGTGACACAGCCAAAATCTCTCGGGCCGCTGCTCAAGTTGGTTACCGGCCGATCTTCTCTTGGATGAATAGTATCAGCAGTTTCATTGATCTTGCTGCACAGGGCATGATTGGAACTAAAGCTGGCTTTTCCGAAACTCTCGATGCGCAATTGAGCAAGATTTGGCAGAACACTGCCGTTGCTATGAAGCGAGTGGTGTTGGAAGGTAGAAGCAAGGAAGACAAGGATATCAACATGTCCGAGGATGAATACCTGGAGGCCCATCCTGAGAAGAGACCGGTTGTGGTAATTGATAACTTCCTCTATGACGCTGAAGACAGCGTTGTTCTCGACAAACTCACCGAGTGGGCGGCTGGTTTGACGTCAGCGAACATTGCTCATGTCGTTTTCTTGACCACGGACTCCTCTTTCTCGAAACCTTTGAGCAAAGCAATGCCCAATCAGGTATTCCGAACAATTGGACTGGGTGACTGCTCACTCGAAGTTGGTCGACGTTTCGTGTTGAGCCATCTAGACGCCGAGGCCGGCGCCGACAAAGAAGGAAACGCGAGGCGCAAGGAAAAACTGCACGGCTTGGACCCTTGTATCAAAATTCTGGGAGGCCGAGTCACCGACTTGGAATTCATGGCTCATCGCATTGAGGCTGGCGAGACTCCAGAGGGTAAGTGTGATATTTATCCTATCCAACAACGGCGCTAACATTTGGCATAGCTGCGGTCAACCGAATCATCGATCAATCGGCATCGGAAATCCTGAAGATATTCATCCTTGGTGCAGACACTCCATCATCTCAATACAGCCGTGAACAGGCATGGAATTTGATCAAGTCCCTCGCTCAATCCAAGGACGGCACTCTACTGTACAACAAGGTACTACTGGGAGACCTCTTCAAAGACAATGGCGAAGCTGTTTTACGAGCCTTGGAACAATCCGAACTCATCTCTGTTGGGACTGACCACGGATTCCCCCGTTATATCAAGCCTGGAAAGCCCGTGTATCGCGCCGCATTCCAACGCCTGGTCGAGAACAAGAACCTTCAAGGCCGGCTTGATCTCTTGATCCTGGCTCAGTTAATTGGTAATGAGAACTCCAGCATTAGGAAGTATGAGGAGGAGCTTCAGGTTCTGGGCTCATTGCCCAAGTACCCTTGGGAACTCACCTCCCGGATTGAATGGCTGTTGCGTAAGGTTCATGGATCGCAGGCGAAGATCCTGAAGTATGAGAGTGACAGTGCCGCTTTGTCGAAGATTCTGCAGAAGGAAAACTAATGTCCTATTTCATCTCATCTCATTACAATCCCAATCTCAATCTCAATTGTTAATTCTCCAATGTGCCATAAATCTATATAATTCTATACATCGTAGTAATGTCCACCTCAGGCCTGGATGCTGAGTCATCATGGGCTCCGAGCTCGCGTGTTCTTTTCGATTGTTTTGACCTCGACATCTTCGACTTCCTTTTTATTTTGAGATTCACGTTTCTGGTATTGTGTGTGATCTCTTTAAATGGTTTGAATCGCTTTGGTTGGGGAAATGGACGGCTACCATGGAGTACAGTTGGCCCGCGAGAGCTTCTTCAGTATCAACTGGTCAACAGTCTTCGGCATTTTCTTATTAATATGCATCGCAACGCGGATCGTGACGGGACTTCAAAGTCGGAAATCAGCGTCTCTGATAGTACCCTTGGCGCCTTACTGGTTCCCGTGGATTGGACATGGACCTGCCTTTCTGTGGAATCATGTCTCCTTCTTCAAGAGAACTCGGTTGGTCTTGAATCATCATTCTGCGATGCACCTGCTGACAAACGGGCAGGGAATCCATGAATGAGCCGGTCTTTGGCATCTATCTCCAGGGAGTGAAGCACAACGTCGTGGCATCTCCGTCCATGATGAAAGAAGTTCTGGCACTTAAGGATTCTTCCAATCCTGAGGTGCTAGATCAAGCTTTGCAAAATGTCTTTGGTGACCGCAGTCTCATTCGGAATTTGAATCTAGACAGTAATCAAGGAGTCAAAGACACAGCCTTCACGATTCTGAACGACGATTCATTTGTGGCCGGGGCATCGTCTGCAATTTCTCGCTTGGTTCAGCAGAATATGCCAAATTTGGTGAGCTTCTGTCGAAGCGAAGTTGACCAAAATCCCTGGGAACGTGGAATCAGTCAGGTTGAACTTCTCGACGGAAATCAAACAATCTGTGAAGCCAATCTCTTCGTCTTATTGAGCAGTTTCATCGGCCACATCGTCTCTACTTCCCTGATGGGCGAGGCTTTTGTGGAAAACTTCCCTAATCTAGCAGAGGATCTGGGTCGACTTGACGATACCTTTGTGACCTTGTTTGTAGGCACTCCCCGTTGGGCTCCCCACCCAGCAGCTTCAGCTGGTCATGCGGCGAGTGATCGACTTCGCCATATTATGTCGGTGTTTCATCGAGCACTCACTGCTGTGGATGATGGAATTGACCCTGGTATTGAATTGCGTGACCTGGATGATGTGTCTGACTTGGTCAGAGAGAGGATGCAGATGTTCCGCAAGTTGGAGTTATCTGCCGGGGCCAGCGCCGCAGGACATTTGTCTCTCTACTATGATCTGATTGAACATACGACCAAGATCAGCTTCTGGGCGATTACCCACATTTTTGCCGAACCTACGATTCTCGAGCAAGTTCGCAAAGAAATAGCGCCTTACGTGATAGCTTCGCGGGCAACTCGCCAGGAGACAGGGTTCCCATTCGATGAACCCCCTCGGCTCTCTGTTGATATTGAGCAGGTGCTCACCTCGTGTCCTATGTTCAAGGCGTGCTACTATGAAACTGTGCGCCTTCATTCGGCTGGGATCTCATTTAAGAAGCCCACGTCCGACATTACACTTACGGAGTCGGCTGAGGAAGCTGCCTATGGTCTGAGAGAGCCCTGTCAATACCAAATCCCTCGAGGCGAGCGGATCATTGTCCCCCATGGCGCTTACTATCACGATTCGCGGTACTTTTCCAACCCGCATCAGTTTGATCCTCTCCGGTTCCTTGTCACCGTCCCCGAGACCGGTGCTCAGCAAGCCGATCCCAATATTCTTGCTCCATTTGCCGAAGGATTGTACGGATCTACCAACAATGGGTTCACCGAGAGATCTATCTTGACATTCGTTGCCAGTGTTGTGGCCATGTGGGAGATTGAGCCTACGAGCGGGAAGTTGCTCACGATCCCCGGACATAAGACCAGTTGGGGAGCATTCCGACCGACCAAAGATCTGAGAGTGAGGATGAAGACGAGGGTTTAGGGCTCGGCCACAACTTTAGAGAATATATAGTCTTAGGCCGGATATTAATCCGATCGGCGTTTGGCCGATGACACCATCCACTAGGAAGAGGGGAATATATAAGCCCAGCACTTCGGCACTGCCCTTTAGAAATAAGGCGTTATATCTTCAAGTTATTTCGCAATGGAACCTAACGACTACGATCTGACAACTCCCATCACGTCCACATCGGGACTTCGCCAAGGCCTCGCCTCTTATGGAGATCCTCACTTTTCATTGTTTCTTCGGAAAGTGTTTATCAAAGCACTTGGCTATTCAGAAGATGCGCTCTCTCGTCCGATTGTAGGAATCATCAACACATTCTCGGGGTTCAATCCTTGCCATGCCAATGTACCCCAGCTCATAGAAGCCGCCAAGCGTGGCGTGCAGCTTAATGGCGGACTGGCCATCGAGTTTCCTACTATCAGTGTGGCCGAGTCCTTCTCATCTCCCACCAGCATGTTCCTGCGGAACCTCATGAGCATGGACACCGAGGAGATGATCCGGGCACAGCCATTGGATGCATGTATCATGATTGGAGGTGAATATCAACCACACAGTTCCCCCATGTCCCTTAAGAACATTCACTGATGGGCTGCAGGGTGTGATAAGACGGTTCCAGCTCAATTGATGGGTGGTATCTCCGCCAACAAGCCAATCCTCCCGTTGATTACCGGTCCAATGCTACCAGGTAGTCACCGGGGCAAGCGTGTGGGAGCCTGCACTGACTGCCGGAATAACTGGGCAGCTTTTCGCGCGGCTGAAATTGACGTTGAGGAGATCTCGGCGATCAACGAGGAGCTTGCACCGACTGTATGTTTCAAATGTGTTTTTGTATGCCATCCATTGCCTAACCGCGAAATATTTATAGATCGGAACATGTGGTGTGATGGGAACTGCTAGTACCATGGCCTGCGTCACAGCTGCCCTTGGAATGATGCCACTCCGAGGCGCCTCTGCACCTGCGGTCTCCTCGGCGAGATTGCGTATCGCAGAGGAGACCGGCGCCAATGCAGTTGCATTGGCAAAATCACAGAAAAAGCCACAGGAGGTTCTGTCCAAAGAATCATTCTGGAATGCCATCACGGTATTGCAGGCCATTGGAGGCTCAACTAATGCCGTTGTGCATTTGCTGGCTATTGCCAACAGACATCCAGAACTCCAGGGAGTCATCACTTTGGACACGTTTGAGGAGATTGGTCGGAAGACCCCACTCCTCATTGACCTTAAGCCGAGTGGTGATAACTATATGAACGACTTTCATAATGCTGGCGGCATGATGGCGCTCTTACAAGTCCTGCGACCCCTACTCCATCTGTCTGCTGTGACCATCACTGGACAAACCCTGGGCGAAGTTCTTGATGCAGGTCAATCAAAGACACTCTCCTTTTCGCAGAACATCATTCGACCCATGTCAGATCCTCTCTTCCCTGCATCCTCTTTAGCAGTCCTTCGCGGCAATCTTGCCCCAGATGGGGCTGTCCTCAAGGCCTCAGCATCCAAGTATAAGCACCTTCTCACACACTCCGGGCCAGCGATGGTATTTGAGAATTCAGCCGATCTTGCTCGGCGGATTGATGACCCAGACCTACCTGTCACCAAAGACAGCGTGTTGATCCTGAAGAACATCGGTCCGGTCGGCAATCCCGGCATGCCAGAAGCTGGGATGATACCCATCCCCAAGAAGCTGGGAGAAGCCGGTGTCAAAGACATGCTCCGTCTTTCAGATGGAAGAATGTCAGGCACTGCAGGCGGAACCATCATCCTGCACATTTCGCCCGAATCTGCACTGCCCGAGTCACCATTTGGAGTAGTGGAAACGGGTGACTTGATTATTTGCGATATCGAGACCCGAAAACTTCATCTGGATGTCTCTGATGAAATCTTACAGTCTCGAATCGAGAAACGGAAGCAAATCCTAGCGGGTGAGGTGCAGATTAGAAAGCAGAGGAGAGGATACCGGGGGTTGTATGAACGGTCGGTGAATCAGGCTCAGGAGGGTGCGGACTTTGATTTCCTAACAGCTGGAGGAGCTGGCGAAAGATAGATGAAGCTATATAACAGCATGAACAATAAGCATCAAGAGCATCAGAGCAATTCCAGGTCGATTTCAGATTGGCCCTTGCCCTGAGCCCTGAGCCCTATAATGATACCCAATCGGGTTAAATCAAGGCGCGTCGCGGACGCGTCCGACCTCCGAGACCTTGTCGATCCCTAGCCATTTGCGATCTACTACCTTGAGATGCCCCAGAGTTGCACTTTGAAGCATCCACAGGCATCATGAGCTTCGATCCTCTTCGCCCGCGCGGGCGACCAGCCCGTAAGTAACCCGAGACCCTGTTGGCCTTGCACCACTAACAAACCATAGACACGCCCGGCACGACGGTACTGACCTACACACCTGACGGACGACGAATCATCACTGGCGGTTCGAACTCGGCGATTCGCATCTACACTGTTGGCGAAGATGGGGAGCCCAAAACCATTGACGAGGGCGTCGACGGGCACTTTGGTATCTGCGCGACGGTACGTTAGTTCGGAAAGGGTGAAGGGAATCGGCTGACAATGATAGAACCGGTCTTTCATCATGGGCGCCGATGATGGAACGGTGTGGTTGTACGATCTCATGTCGGGTAAAATGCAACAATTGCTTGTCCGCTGTGCTTTGCCAGTGAGAGATATTGCAGTGACCACGGATGGAGAATGGGTTGCTGTTTCCAGCGAGTGAGTGCCTTGGGATGAAAGGCGCAGATTGGATGCTAACATTTGGGCCAAAAGTGAACTCACTGTCAAAATGGTGAAAGTTGATGATATGCACCAGGTTAAGTATCTACGGGAACAATCCAAGGGGACGAAGCACGTCACATTCGACCCCAGCAGCCGATATGCGACAATTTCTGGTACAGATGGAATCCTCTACATCTATTCCCTCGAGGAAGAGGAGCCACAGCTAGTTCATAAACTGGATGGAGCGATTCGACGATTGGAGGCTGAGGCAGAGGCGACATCGAAAGCAGTCTGGCACCCCGATGGGACTGCATTCGCCACTGCAGAAGCGACCCGGGACATCGCCATATACTCAACCTCGGGATGGAAGAAGGAAAAGACATTTGCCGGTGGTCATACTGGGGACATCACAGCCATGGGCTGGGCCCCCAACGGCTCCCTCTTGGCATCTGCAGGAGCTGACGGATACATTGTACTCTGGGAGGCCAAGACACAAAAGATCTTGCAACGATTTGACTTTGGAAATGTCATCAATCTGGCCTGGCATCCGAACAAGAACTCGCTTTCATTTACGACTTCGGATGGAGAGCTCTTCATCTACGATAACTTTGTGCCCAAGGACCACGAGGCGCTATTGCAGAAACCTCTCCAAGCTGCTCCTATTCTCCCTGAACCTCTTGGGGAGATCTCCAACAATGTCGGACGCACGACACTGGCGGACCGGTCCAAGGAGGCCATCCAGCGAGCGGCGAGGAGAGGTAGTCCCGACTCACTGGATGATATTCTCGGCGGGGACGAGGATATGATGGACTTTGTCGATGATGATGATGGAGCTGGCTATGCTGATGAGCAGATCAATGCATTCGGCAAGCGGCCGAATGGTCATCTCGACGATCTCGGTGCTGATTACAAGCGCACCCACTCAAGTGGTCTATCACTCAAAGCTCACCCCCCTATCCAGCCTGGTAGCACCCCCTGGGCTGGAAGCAGAAGATATCTCTGTGCGTATCTAACTCAATCCGTCGGTAATGACATTGCTAACTCGAGCTAGGCCTCAACCTCACTGGAGCTGTCTGGACGGTGGATCAAGAAACACACCATACAGTCACAGTCGAGTTCTATGACCGGGAAGCTCATCGAGACTTCCACTTTACTGACCCATATATGTACGACAAGGCTTGCCTGAGTGAGTTTGGCCCCAGTTTCCGCCTGTATCTTGACTGACCTTGTGTAGATGATAATGGCACATTGTTCGCCAACAACCCTTCGGATGACAGTCCAGCCACCATTTTCTACCGGCCCCATGAGACGTGGACCGCGCGAGCAGATTGGCGGACTCAATTACCAGAGGGAGAGCAGGTTCGAGCACTGGCACTCAGCGATTCTTACATTGTCGCTGTAACATCCAAGGACTACGTCCGGGTCTACACTCTCTTTGGAACTCCCTTCAAGGTGTATCGACAAAAGAGTCAAGCTGTGACCTGCGCAGCGTGGCGCAATTACATTATGAGTATCGGAAATGGACCTGTCGGCCCTGATGGACGCCACACCACATTACGATACACGGTGGAGAACGTCAAGCGGGATGAAATCTGCCAAAACGAAGACACTGTTGCCCTTCCGGAAGGGGCTACACTACAGAGTGTTTTCTTCTCTGATAATGGGGTATGAGACCATGTCAACAGCCTTGTTCCACTCGCTAACCTTTTCTAGGATCCTTGCATCTACGATTCCACCGGTGTTCTCCTTGTACTGCAAGGTTGGCGCACTCCTGGACAAGCCCGATGGGTGCCCCTACTCGACACTAAGCAGATGGCTCGTCTCGCGGGTGGACGAAAGGAGGAAACATACTGGCCCGTCGCCGTGGCCCAAGACAAGTTCCACTGTATCATTCTTAAGGGTGGCGATAAGAACCCCTACTTCCCCCGACCACTCCTGAGTGAATTCGACTTCCAGATCCCACTCTCCAATACGGCAGTGGACAAGGACAGCGAAGAGACCGCCGCCGAAGGAGCTCGATTTGAAGAATCCTTCGTTCGGGGTAATGTTCTTTTGACTCTGTTCCGTGATCTTCTTGCCTCTACAAATGCCACTTCCAGTCAACGATCTGACTTGGCGCGACGAGAGCTCAACCTGGATAAGAATCTGCTACAGATGCTGGCCATTGAATGCAGAGAAGGCGAGGAACGCGGTATGAAGGCGCTTGAACTGGTCGCTTTGATGTCTGATCGCAATGGCAAGATGCTGGAGGCGGCTGCTAAGGTTGCGCAGCGGTATGGCCGGGGTGTGTTGGAAGACAAGATTCGCGATCTGGCCGAGCGGCGAGTGATGGGGATGGGTGATGATGATGAATTGGCTTAGGCTAGATAATGTATTCAGTTTGAAGGCTGACAGAGAATGCCCAAGTGTAGACTCGAGTGTCGAGTGTCGAGAGAAGAGAGTCGATTGTATACTCCCGCGTTGTGATTGGCGATAAGCCTTATCGCCGAACTTCTCCACTTGGAACTTCCGACTTTCCCTTCTCCTCTTCTTTTCTCGTTTTCTCTCTTCTCACACATCTTCAATGCCTTGACAATCCACTCCAGAATGCCAAAGCTGGCATCTCGTATTCCATTCCGACGGGTCACTTCCCGATCTTTTGCCTCAGAGGCGCGACACCGGCTGGCGCAGCCTCGACATGGCCTCCTCACTGAACCCTGGCCCTCTCCAACACCCTCTTTGCCCGCCGCTTATTTCACACCCACTAGGCTTCGGCGGGAGGGAGGGCTAAGCGACCGTAGAGACGACCATAAGCCGCCAGATGAACGAACGCTGAAGCTTGGAAAGAGTATGAGATATACCAGATGTTCCTCGGGCAATACTGACCCCAAAAATTGTAGCTCTCCGAACCCTCTCTCCACTTCTCCCCACTCTTCTCTATAACACACTACCAACCAACATTCTCTCTCCAAGTGTGAACCTCCACCTATTCCCATCCACCCATCCTCACCTCCCCATCGTCAAAGGCCGCACCCTCTACCGCGCAGCGCTATGGACCGTCCCTGTCGCATGGAGCAGCGTCCCACTAGTCGGCAATGTCAAGCTCCAAATCCTCAGCGAGCGGATTGTGCGCTCGGGAACACTTCTTGACCCCACCCATGACGGCAACCACCATGACTGTGGCGATGAGCGTCTCATAGTTCGTTGGAAAACAGAGCCTCGAACAGACAGCAGACCATTCCATGCTCCCTCAACAGCACCAAAACCTCAGACCAGTCATCTCTCCAATTCAGAAGGCACCAACAAAGGTCTGAGTGTTCTTCTGGGTGGAGATGAGCCGATCTTCAAGCTCTCGAAAGAAGAGCAATTCACGGGGATCTTCATCTTTTCTTTCGATGAGGAGGGTCGCATCTTGACTCATACGATTGAACATGCAGATGAGGCGGATGGCTGGGACCGGACTGCGAAATTCGTCACTTTGACGGATTGGCTAATTGGAAAGGCCCGCGGTTCATTGGATCCCAACCCGGAGCTTGCGATACAGTGTCAGAACGAAGTCGCTAGAAGATGATTTTGGACAGCTCTTTCGACTTATCGCCTGTGATGAATGTACGACATCCATTTTCTTCCGCTGTTTTCCACTCTTCGCGTTCATGCTGTTCTCTGTTCACTATTGGGGGACCTATGTCATCACCACTCTTGTACTATACCCTCGCACTCGATTCTTCTAACAGGATTACCTCGAATGTATGTATCTACCACCGGTCGGATTATATCCAGTGTTTTGCTAGTCCATGTCTTGACTTGTACAAAAAAAAAAAAAGAAGAATGATTTCATGTAGCGTGAAGCTAATCCACGGGCTATCACGGCCTAGTGCCGTCTCAAAATAATGACTACCTTCACCCTAACCCTAATTCATGACCGGGAATGTGATGGGAGCGTAACAATACAAAATGCATATCTATAATGCCATGCATAGAATCAGTCAGTCTTTTTGTGCTGAACAGGCGACTTGAGCAATCCAAATGCCGCAATCGCAACAATACACATAGCCGCCCCGCCAGCAGTATAAGCAGCCTCACGACCAGCCCACCAGAACAACGAACAAAACACAATAGGGCCTGTCGCTCGACCAGCCTGTCCCCATCCCCTCAGACGACCCATGACTGCCCCGCGGTCTGCATCTTGCGCCTCAAAGCTGCCCAGGCTGTTCAGCCCTGTAACTACCGTCGCAGTAGTCACAGCCAGCAGCGCACCAGCAGCATACAGACCAGAGGGCGAAGAAACATGAGCGAGACAGAAGAATGAAATTGCGCAGGCCACGATGCCCACGCGCAGGGTAAGCAGCGGGGGTAAACGGCGCACCACAGTGCCTTGCAGGATAGAGGCGACCAATCCCATGAGAGACAGGAGACGGCCGTTCAGAGCGGCCGGGCTAGCCGTTGTTGCAGTTCCAGCATAGAGGGTTGTAGTCAAGAAAGGGAGAGAGAATTCCAGTCCAGAGAAAGGAAGCAGGAACAGGAAGTGAAGAGCATTGAGCAGAGCGGGGTTATTAGTATGAGAGCGCTTGCCAGAGGATGATTTCTTCTTTTCATCCGAAGTCGTTGCACCAGTCTTCTCAGACGCGCCTTCAATTGGGAGCGTCGTCAATTTCGGGTGAGTCTCGGGCAAGCAAGCCCAGAGATAAATTGTTTCAATGAGGATCAGCGCGAAAGACACAATTGCTGCGACGATGAAGGGATTCTCGGCAACGACATCAATTGTGCTCAGCCCCGCGCCTAGCATCGGACCAAAGGTAAATGCAATACTAAAACACACCCCCACCAAAGCCATGGAGGAACCACGATGCTCGACATCTGTGATATCCGCCACGATGGCATTGGCCATTTGCACATTTGCCTCGCTGATACCTCCGACAATGCGACTGGCAAGGAAGGTGCGGAAATCTTTGGCGGACACCCAAAGGATCACACTCATCAGATTTCCCAGCATGGAAATAAGGAGGGCACGACGCCGGCCGTACCGGTCCGACAAGCCGCCAATGATGGGGGCGGCGAACGCTTGGAGGAGGGAGAACAGGGAGCCCAGAGCTCCCCCAAGTAGTACGATATCATAGCGCGAATTGATGGGGCGCGCAAAAGAGTTTTTGTAGGCGTTCAAATAGTGGAAGATGCGGTTGAGCAGGGAGTCTGGAGATGGATCCTGGGTGCGATAGAATGATAGCAGGGAGGGGAAGAGAGGCAGAATGAAAGTGAATGAGATCTGGACTTGTTTAGCGCATCTCTCACTAGTGGGTTTTGAGGGCGATCTTACCAGGTCGATCAGCAATGAGAGCATCAGTACTTTGAGTACCTGCTTCCGTTGGGCGCCAGCGATAGCCATGCTGGCGCCGATGAATATAGTGGGTATAAAGGGTATAAAGTAGAGTGTCAGGGGAAGAGGGGAGAAGAGAGTTCGAGTTCCAGAGCAAGTGGACAGATAAAAGCAAAGGCGCAATCAGTGACGCGAGAGGCTCCACTGTCTTTCGGCACACTAGTCCCCTTGGGGACTAGTGTCGCGGGCGGATACGCGCTGTCACGTGATGTGTATCAAGATGCGGCTCTTTTCGACTTGGGGATATTGAAGTTATTGGAGTTACTGGGAGATAATTGGGAGATTTGGTGTCGCAGTGTGAAGCCGTAGTGCTCTTTAGCTGAGAGTCTGCCCGGAGTGTCTGCCTCCGTTCCTGTATTTCAGCCACACCGTTCCTGATCCTGTTGTAGCTCTTCGAGCTACGTCCTGTCATCATCCTATACTCTATCTGTCTGTCTGCCTGTGTTAGCCCCTAGCCTTATGAAAACCTGATCCCGCTCCGCACCCTGACATAGATTAATGCTGTATCAAGATTCTTTTTGCAAAGAAATATGGAAAAGAGTAGCTAATCTTTATAATTACTAAAAGTTAATCTAGATTTATAATAAAGTATATAGATGGGATTAAAGCAGTAGACTCTCGTCATTTTTGGTCAGGAACATCAAGTGCAGTAACTTCCGAATTGAAATAAAATCCTGCAGCGCAGATAATGATATTACTACTTAGGTACTGTGCCTGTGCGATAGGATGTGACTAAAGATAGAGTAAAAGAAAAAGCACGGGTGGCTGAGAACAGATTGCCAACGGCGACCATGAGAGCAAATACTGTGTGTTGTTATCGTTGATCACTGCGCGCGGTAGGTTCGTTCTTAGGCTGCCAGGAAGCAGCACTAAGATACCACCGAGCACAATGATCAATGGTAGAAACACACAGTATTTGCTCTCACGGTTAGCGTTGCAATCTGTTTTGAAGGGGGTGTGTAGAGCGGAAGAGGTGAAGGGGCATGTTCAGCAGTCCCAGGATTGTTGGGTCCCAGGATTTCGACATTATCGACATCGCCGGCAGTGACATGAGCAGATGTGTCCAGTGAGAAAACGGAGGGATGGTGGTTGCCTCAGAGTCGTTTGCGAGGTTGGCGATTACTTGTGTGAACGCAGGAACAGACTCGGTGAGGTTCGTGGACTTCGAATCACTGTCAGCAAGTTCTCTTGGGTCAAATGTGGAATGGATGGGGTGTCTTACCTCAACGATGAGCCATTTCTCCCCACGATGTGCGATTCAAACATCGATGCGGTTCTCATACAGGTCATTGTTGTGTAGAGAGTTCGCCCAACCCCAAATAGTAGATAGCTCGCAGCCTCTTAGCTTCTCTCTCTCTTCCTTCTTCTCTCCCTCGCAATCAATTCTCGGTTCAGTCTCTCTCTCTCGCCGTGCTCTCTCAACAGTCATTGTGGAAAAAGAAGTGCAGAACGACGGCTAGGACCTCTTTGCTATTAGCCGAATCTCCAAACGTATTGCCCTCACTGTCCAGAGGTACAATTCGGGCTTTCACATTGATGTTTTTACCTTTGTTTCGGTCCTTTGCGTCGATGGGGTTTGTGAAAAGGTCGTCGGTCTCATGCGACCTACCACCTTGTTGCTTGTCATCAGCCATTCTTTTGACTGATGATGTTCTGCAAGGTTAGCAAAATTCAAAATGAAGTGGTCAAGTGACAAACCTGAAGAGGTGGTGAGAGGTGGTGAGAGGTGGTGAGAAATGGTGAGAAGTGGTGAGAGCTGGTGAGAACTAGTAAGAAGTAATAAGAGTGTCAAATCCTATTACTTCTTCCTAGTTCTTATCAGCTCTTACCAGCTTACTACCGTTGACAGATAGATTTAATAATAATGGGGAGAAGAGAAGAAGAGAATTGGGGGGAAGAAGCCTCCTTTTATAGACCTGGGGACTTCCTATTTGGGAACCACATCACACCTGCTCGAGTCGCTACTTCCTCTTTGGGAAGATCATGGACTAATACTTCTGATCCTCGCTCCCCACTGGATACAACCACCTCACTTTGAGCCCTGATCCTTTGCAACCCACGCTATCGATGGCTAAATTTCGAACATACACTTATAGAGCCATAGAGATTAGATCGCATGGAATTTTCAGCATCTCGAGATCTCATCCAGGCGTTGCAAGATCAGAGATTGAAAACTGAACGCTGTTCCAGGTCCCCAAATCACCACTCCTTCCTATCTAGGTCATGCTCTCACTTCTACTTGTTTCGACTCCTCTGTTTTACTTGGATAAAGCCGCTTCGCTAAAAAGAAATCAGTATGCCTGGAATCTTGGAGATATAAGGTGAAATGCTGATTCAAATCTGGTAAGCGTATTATTACACCATACTATCACTTCGGCGTGTATATTTAGCAAGGTACACTCATATAAAGATACCACGCTTTGGATGTCCAAAACCACTTGAGCACGTATACTGGCATTTCCGTCATCTCAACTTACACCATATTGGATGGGATACAACAAATTGCGCTCTTAGGGATAGTAATGAGCCTTCTGATTTGGCGCCCCTAGTACCCCTTGTCTCTTTATTACCGCCAATCATATAACAAGGGCCAAATCAGGCGAATGAGGCCTATATATGCCTAGTAATAAGGGCCAAATCGGACGAATGAGGCCTGGTAACCACGGCCAGATCGCATGCTGTGACAGAATGCTAGGCACCTTTCCCAAAGAAAAGATGCTGATTTTGGATCTCTGTATTTTTGAATGATACGGATGTCTTATGTACGTAGGCAGATAAAGCCAGAGTAGGAGAAAGTGACGTCCCCGCCGACATACACCTGGAAATTGATCTCTTTTGCTATCTCTTCTTCCCTCTTTCCTTCAAACTCTGCCTCTCTAAGTCTCCCACAAATGTCGATCTTGTTCCTTGGCTGTCGCGGTATCGGGATCCCGAGCCTGTATAGACCTCAAAGAGCTCAGGGCAACATCAGAGCTGAGTAGATCAGGTTTGTAAATCGTACACTTAAATATAGAATATTTAGAAATAAGACCCAGTATATATAGATGGGATTAAAGCAGTAGACTCTTGTCATTTTTAGTCAGGAACATCAAGTGCACTCACTTCCGAATTGAAATTAAAATCCTGCAGCGCAGATAACGATATTACTACGTGCCTGTGTGGTAAATTTGTCAAGAGGGTGCCTTTATTCCTATGGTAAGTACTGGCTTGCTAGGTCACGTTCAGGCATGAAAAATGACCAGCGAAATCGTACGAAGTGACAGAAGACCCGGTTAACAAAAGAGACACATTGACAAAGATCGCAGGGGGGGAAGGCTCAAAATGTGACTAAAAATAAAGGAAAAGGAAAAGCCAATTCGCGGCGCAGATAAATGTCGACAGTCGAACTTGTGGCTGAATACAGATGGCAACGGCGACCATGAGAAGGTGATTCTACCATTGAGCATTGTACTCGGTAGTGTCGTTCTCAGCCTCCCAGGAAGTAGCATTGAGATCTGCATCCTTACGCTCGGTAGGGACATGAGAGGGTGCGTCCAGAGTGGCCTTTGCGTTCCGTGATTCGAACCACTTGTGGATTTTCGAAGGAGTCCTATATCCGAATCGCGGAACTGCTTTCAACGTACGCGCGGAACCCACAAGGTAAAAACCGAATCTACCACGGCTGCACGCGACGTTTAAACGACGGAAATCACCCATGAACCCGTGCTGTTTCCCGGCGCGCACATAGTCAAAGATGACAACATCGGCTTCATTGCCCTGGATGGCGTCAATCTTGAGGACTCTAATGCTGCTCCATGCTACATCCTGCTCGGTCTGTGCGAGTTCGTGTAGATCCTTAAGGTATAGACGCCACTGTGCGTCATACCCCACCAAGATGATAATGTCTTTGGCTTTAGAGAGACCGGCGCGAACAAGCTTGTGAGTCAGGTCCAGGACGACTTTTCGGTTTTCGGCATTGGCGAACGATGTACCGATGCGCTCTTCGGTTGCCCATGGAACATCGAGCATGAGGGCATTAGAATCGATTTTGTATTCATCCATGTTCCATGATGCAAGGCGCTGGGCCTTACCCTCTGGGTCGAGAGCGGCGCTTATCATTGCCTTGTCGCCGTAAAACACGTCGCAGGAAAGACGCTGACAATCATCCATCATCCGTCGTTGATGATTCAGGAACACTGCCATATGGCCCGCCGTACTCATTCGTTTCAGAAGAGACATTTGGACCTGTTGGTAGAAGGGGTTCTTGTCTTTACCGGCGGACAAGTATGGTCCGAGCTGTCGACTGTCTCCGAAGAGGCCAAAGCTGATCGGGTTGAACCAAGCAAAGGCGGCATGCAGATCAGTCTCACGGATCATCGAGGCCTCGTCAATGGCGACAAACGAGGGATGCAAGCATGGAAGAATCGTGGGTGCCGTGATCACTGCAGGTGTCCCGATTACAATGTGTGCGATCCTCAGTGCATCTCGTTTGATCCGTCGACAGTCGTTCTGAAAGGCTGCCTCGTCCTCTGCCTCGATTCCGTGCTGACGATCTTTCCAGAAACTGTTAAAATCGTGGTAGGGTCCTAGACCAGAGATGGCCCAGGGGGAACCTGGGATCTTTCCTGCGACACCGAGCATGGCCGCACCGAGGGACGTGCTTATTTCCTTTAGTCTGGGGTCCGACACACCTTCGAATGCAGAAATAGTGTCGGGCCTGGTGACAGAGTAGTGCTGCGTCAGTTTGTTCACGTAATCCGCAGTCGTGCGTAGATCAGTGATGATGGCCCCCATGTCATCGACCTCGTTGCATTCAGACTGATTCGCGATCTTGGGATAAGCCCTTTCCACAACTTGCTTCTCAATATGCACCGCATGGACGCGTATGATCCGAGCCTGCGAATTCGGGAAGATCTTTCGGGACATATCCGTGGCCTTGATGGTGATGTCGTTGGCAACTGAGTTTGTTGCAGCCAGGATGACAACCTGGCGCCTTGTGTTCTCGTTGTACACATTGATGGGTCCGGTTTCTCTCTGGTTGGATTGCCAGTTGGTGAACAGTGAGCTCCATTCGTCCGCGGGGAAGTCCTGACTGTGCACCGGGTACTTGAAGTTAGCGCCACCTAGGTCCATCATGGCGAGCGCCAACATTGCATGGGATTTGCCAGTGCCAGGGGGACCTTCGACAGTGTACAGCGGACCATGCATCGCGCTCACGTTTGCAAGGAGCAGGTCAAAGTCATTGGAAACGATGATGTTGTCCAGCACTCGCTGTATGTGCTTTTGAGGGATTCCTTCCAAGGCGTTTCTGACTGGCAGGAGGCTCGGGTTGGTGCCAAGCAGTGTGTCCATTATGAGCTTGTTGACCGGCTTGACCACCAAATCTCTGTTGACACTGAGGAAGCGGTCGTAAGGTTTCGTGCTCAGGTGAAGCTCGCAAGGTTCCGTGCTCAGGTGAAGTTGGTAACTGATGACATCCCAGTCTTCTGACTCGACGTTCTTCTCCGTGAAGCTGGTCTGATCGCGAGGAAGGGTGATCACACGGGGCTGGGTGGCACCCGGAGTCTCCTTGGAAGGACGACGCAAGATCACCGTCCAGCAGTTTTCCGGACAGAACGAGGCTGGTGAAACGACGGTTGCGGACCATGTGTCCACGGAAGGGTCCGGAGAAAGATCTGTCTGATCCTCTAGGTTCATCTCAGCATCAGAGGGAAGAACAGTGGCATCAGGAGTGTACCATCTGACGTTGAATCTCGCTCCCGTCTGCAAACGCCCGGGGGCATCGGTGTCAATTTCATCGGAAGACTGTAAATCGATAATAGCGAGATATTCGTCATCACGGGTAACGGAATACACTTGGATCCTGCCCTTGAATACGTAGTCGTTGCCGTTGATCTGCGCCTCGGCCTGTTGGTCGAGAATTGCGCCCCAACCGATGACCATGTTGTATTCCTGTACGTCCCGAAGCACGGACTCACACCGTTTCTGGAAGTAACCCTCGAGGTCACTTGGCACTGGATGGTCGTCTTCCTGGAAGAAGGGCTGGTTGACGTGCTTTGGAAAGAGATTCTCCGCAATCCTGGTGTGAGGAATCAAGACGATGGGAGGGTTTGCCCAGTCATTAATCAACTGGTCGAAGTCGTAGCGTTTTACAATGAAGTAAAATTCGTCGTCAAACTCGAAGATCTTCCGAATAGAACTCATAGTGGCAGTCTTGGTTCCATAGTCTTTGAGCTTCGCAAACAGACCCACTCCGTGACGTCTGGTATCGCGGCTCCCTTCGCCCTCGCTGGTCATTTCGAGCTTCGCCAGCCAGAGTCTTTTTTTCCGAAAGAAGAGATTTCAAGCCCTCGTCGAACTTCATGTTGCAGAGCTGAGAAAACGGAGGGATGGTGGTTGCCTTAGAGTCGTTTGCGAGGTTGGCGATTACTTGTGTAAACGCAGGAACAGACTCGGTGGGGTTCGTGGACTTTGAATCACTGTCAGCAAGTTCTCTTGGGCCAAATGTGGAATGGATGGGGTGTCTTACCTCAACGATGAGCCATTTCTTTAGATCCCTGATCTGATCCGCATAGACTCGGAAGAAAAGGTTCTCTGCAGCAGGTGCCTGTTTCTTTGAAACTTTCTCCCGACGATGTGCGATTCGAACATCGATGCGGTTCTCATACGGGTCATTGTGGAAAAAGAAGTGCAGAAGGACGGCTGGGACCTCTTCGTTGTTATCCGAATCTCCAACCGCATTGCCCTCACTGTCCAGGAGTACAATTCGGGCTTTCACATTGATGTCAGCCATTCTTTCGACTGATGATGTTCTGCGAGGTTAGCAAAATTCAAAATGAAGTGGTCAAGTGACGAACCTGAAGAGGATGAAAAGGATGTAACTATGGTGAGAGGTAGTGAGGAGTGATGAGAGGTAGAAGTGGTGAAAGGTGGTGGGAAATAGTAAAAGGTGGAAGATGGTGATAGTGGAAGATGGGTTGACCATAAATAAATGTTGTTTGACTACCCTTGACGGGTGGATTTAATGATGGCGGGGAGAAAAGAAGAGAGAGTTCGAGAGCAGGATTCAGGGTGCTTTTATATTCCTTCCTCCACCGTCTGTCTCGTTGATTGATCTGAAGTCCACTAGTCCGTAGTTTCCTACTCCTAAACAGCTAGATGGGAACAGCACAAACACATAACAATGGCTTATTCATCCAAAGTTTATAATCACCGTGATATAGAGAATAAAGCACTAGAGCTGTGTGGATGAGAGAGGTAGATCAACCATCGTACTGTGTATAATTTAGTATACAGTTGATTTCCTGTGATATACTCGGATAGACACAATCTATTGGTAAGGACCATTCTCGGCTCTAACCGATTGGCCAGTCCCACAGTCTGTAACCTTAATTGACAATCCATTGTTGTTCTCCTATTGTCCTTGGTATTGTCCTTGTCAATTTCAGCATACCTGCTACGGCAGTGCAATGGCAGGGTGTCTAGGTATGATATGACTGGTGGGGATGACGGCTATTAGCTTCCAAGGTTCTTCCATCAAAAATCATCATGATGAAGATGAGGATGTCTCGAGGACAGTCTTGAGTACTTGTAAAGCTTACCTTTTGCTTCAATAAGAACGCTTTTTCCTCCTCCCTCGCTATATAGAGGCCTGTAGAAAAGCTTTAACTTTAGAAGTAGATAATGTAGCCCAACATACCGAGGATCAGAGGGATAAAATTTGTATCATCTTCTGCCATCTTGATAGCAACATCATGGGTCAGAGGAAGATGCGCAGATGAAGGGAAATCGAACATGAGGGTTCATTTGGACCCGAGGATAATCACTCTGCTCCTCGGCTCGTTGGCTGATTGCCACGAGAAGAGGCCAAAGTCACAGATATGGGAATGCTTCAAAGCTTCGGGCCAAACTCATCGTCAGAAAGCAATCATCCGCCTAATGGAGGAGACATACAATATTATTAACAATATTTTTGATAATTCAACTATTATATTAAATAATTTTCTCTTCTGATATTAAATTTCTACAACAATAAAAGATTTCAGAAAGCAAATATTATAGTTGTAAATATAGAAATATAGATATACATTCTACAGAACTTGTCTCTAAGTAGACCCGAAGTATTACCAATTTTCCATTTACTGGAAAGGAGAGATCGTGAATCCCAACCGTGGCGGGTGGATACGCGCTGTCACGTGATGTGTATCAAGATGCGGCTCTTTTGGACGCGGGGATATTGAAGTGATTGGAGTTACTGGGAGATAATTGGGAGATTTGGGCTCAGTGTCTGTAGAAATCGATTCCTATGATACATACAGACATCATAAAAAGCACAATCATTATGATCAATTCCGATCTATGCCCGACCTAAGGTCCACCGGTCCACTCCGATAAAACAAAAGTCATAGAATCCATATGTATGCCGTGGGAGCTCCCGCTGGGAAGATCCTGATTATGCACGCTCAAAAATAGCAGGACATGGTAAGACTGTAGTAGAGCAAGGCGAAGAGACCCAGAATGTGACTCTCCGTGAAGAAAATTCGTTGCGTTCGTGATCCAGCACTTCGGACCAGAGAAAGGTGAGACGGGACCCAGAGGCCACTAAAACTCGAAAATGGCGCTCTTGACAGACCCTTCAGATTCAACCTCTTCTGACACCCTAGGAAAACCACACTTTTACTCAGTGGACTTGGGAGAGGTAGAGGCAGGGGCAGGGGCAGAGGCATCACCAGAGCCATTGCCAGCACCAGGGGCACCACGTCCACGACCACGTCCACCACGACCACGACCCTCTCCACCACGGGAGCGACCGCCGCGGCCACGGCCTTCGCGCGGGCCTTGCTGTCCCTCGCGAGGGGGTTGGTCACCCTGCTGAGCCTTGGAGCCCTCGCGCTTGCCCTGGCCCTCACGAGGCTTCTGGCCCTCACGGGGACCCTGCTGACCCTCACGCTGTCCGTCCCGGGGGGCACGGTGGTTGCGGCGACGGCCACCAGATTTCTTCGCCACGGTCTCTTGTCCACCGGCGTTAGTCGCGTCGGCGCCCACAGAGCCGTTGGTCAAGCCCGCATCGGCGCTTGCTGGGGTAGCTTGCAGGCCGGTCTCGGTCTCGGCCGGGTTCCGGGGAACCTCAGCCCACTCACTGTCTCCGGAAATAGCGCCGGCATTCTGCTCCGCGACCTCATTGGCAGCATCGGTGACGACAGTTTGCGCAGGAGGGGCCAGCTGGTCGGCTTGGGAGGCGGCAGGCGCATCGTGGGTCAAAGCAGTGTCTTGAAGCTCGGTCAAACCGGCGTTGGCAATAGTAGGGTCGGAGGCGGGAATGGTCTCGGTACTAGCTTCAGATCCCTCCTCAGAAGGCGCAAATCGTTCACAGGCTTGCTTCAGGTCCGCGTCTAGAAGAAAAAAAGCTCAAGTCAGCAAGCGCATACAATCATCTGATGGGGTTACCACTCACAGGTAAAGTCCAGCACATTGCCCTCCACAGCAGTAATCTTCTCATCCACTCCATCAATAATCTTCAGCATGTTGCTGACGGACTCCTGGCTCCCACCGTAGACCTGGTACAAGACCCCCTCAAAGGCCTGGGATTCAGTGTTGACCACCTCGTCGCGTCGCATCGTGGCGGCACCACACAGGAACTTGGTCATGGTGTGGAGCTGAGTGCGCAGTGCTTTCTTCGCGGCCTCGGTAGCATCGGCGATAGCGTTTGCACGGACAGCTTCCAATTCCTCCTCGCGATCCTTGGTCAAGTCAGATTTCTGAGCCGCCAGACGCTCCTCATACTGGGCAGCAAACTGCTTGTAGATGGCGATCTGTTCTTCGATTTGAGCAGCGGCCTCTTGAAGGGAAGCCTTTCGCTCGTATTGGGCCTTCTGGTCACTGTTGATCTTCTTATCCGCGACCAGCTCATCGAGCGTCTTATCTTTGTTCTCGGCGAGGATGGCATCGACCTTGGTGCAGGCATTCTAAAAGGAAGATGTCAGTGAAAGATCGCAGAGGAATCCCCAAATGGGAGAGTTGTTTCGATGGGGGAACTGCTTACAAGCTTCTTGGTGGTGTTGCGGAGGGACCTAGGATTGTTAGTGAATACTCTGCGCATTCCTAGCGCCACAGACACCGAGTTCATTCCGCACTTACTTTTGCAGTTCCTTAAGGTGATTGTTCTCAGCTCCATCGGAGTGACTCTCGGTCTTGGAGACACTTGAAGCTCGAGACAGACCAGTCTCGGCCTTCAGCTTTTCGGTGGTAGCAGGCATCGTGAATTAAAACACAGATTATTATTTTTTTCGCTTTTGAGAGCCTGTACAGGGCAAAGTGATGATTGTGGTTGTTGACGGGGGGGGAGGGTGGGAAGAGGAAGAATATGCGGGTCCCGCTGTCGGTGTGTTCGTTTACGATCTTCCGCGGCCTTCTACTTGTACTTATTTGTCGTGAGATGTTTAGATCGCGGAGAATTGCTAGGATGAGATTTGGCTGGTCTGATCTTCACTCTTCATTCTCTTCATTCTTTGTAGCTGCTATCGAATCACTAATAGCAGTGTGAAACTGAGGGTATCTTATTTCCTATTCCCCAATGCGCCAACGCCGTTCCCTGAGTTCAACAATCAAAGCCCAAATATCAAGTACATTATTCCCCTTCATCGAGCTGAGTTCCATGCTTGATCACCATGTCATCCTTTTCCAGCTTGGGGATTGTAGGTCTCGTCCTCTTCCTATCCTTGGAACTTCCGAAGTGTCTTCTGCAACCACACATGTCTGTTAGCTGTGTCCTCACTGTCAAATCAGATACACATACCTCGGTGACCTTGCGCACTGTGTTGGCGGAGATATTCTTCTCTCCAGATCGCTGGGACCGGATGGACGCTTCGCGCATTAACCTGGACACTATGTGAGCCCATTTTCTATTTCGTGATCACCAAGCCAGCTGGCTCAGAACTGGGAAAGTGATGCGATCAGACGCGATCCGCGCGTGGACATACTCTTGCATAAATAGCATGTAATCGAGGAAGATCTATCAGAAATCAGCAGAGCAATGCGGAGGTGAGGAGCACCACGAACCAGGATATCGGCATTCTTGCTCACAGTTCGATTGGACTGGGCTTTAACAATGCGCTTGACAGTACCGCGGGGGTACAGTTTCTGAGTCGCCGCCATGGGTTCAGATGCTGAGATGTGTTCTCGAGTGGTTGTTTACTCCGTCCAAATCCGTATTCTGTATCAGGTTCTGACGTAATCTGGTATTGGTATTTACCACTTCTAATACTTTAATACAATACTTTAATGCTTTCTATACTCCTCTTCCTCTGTCTCTCTCTCTCAGCGTAGCTTTCGAAGCAGACGCCATGCATATATACCCGCAACAGAGCCAATGGCCACCCGCCAGGCAAGGAACACCCAGATGGCCATTCGCAATCGAGTATAATACCCCCGGAGCATGATCCCCACTGCATATGATTGTCCATCTGCCTGATCTGAGGCACCGTAATATCTCCCTACGCCAAGACCTCCTATCCCCACTTCATTATGATTATGGTCGCTAGGGCTGGATAACTTGGGAGTCCCTTCGCCCGCAGAGGTGAGGTCCCGGGGACGAGCTCCCACCTTCACATTGCGGGTATTGCGCTTCCGCAGGTGGTACGTTACAACGCTTACAATCAGGCGCAAATCGGGCACCGTAAATGTTGGGTATTTCCACAGCTGGACTGCGTTGTGGGGAGGGAGCATATCCAGGAAATCAGCGAGGATCCCGAGGGTGAGGCCCCACAGAAGCAGTGGGCGGCCAGTCTCGTGAGACTCTGCTTGATTACTGAGACACCAGCCTTTGAAGCGCTGGGCCAGGGAAGGCTGGGGCTTGTCTTCGGGGAGAAAGCCTGCGGTGGTGGTGCATTGTTGGGTCTCGGAGGGCAAAAGGTGAACCGCCGAGAATTGCATCCAGCCCATTAAAGACCGAACCGCAAGACGAGTGAAGAAACCACCCTGTCGCGCGAATCGCTGCGACATATCCACATATTCCACGGTTCTTTGGGACGGCGATAAGAGGGCGCGCAAAGGAATCCAATGTGTCGATGCTACCTCCGTGGGCTGCAGTCGCAGGGTTGGAGAGTCGCTGCGGGTCGTAAGGAACACAAAAGGCGAGAGAACCATCAACCTGTTCCTGGCGTTATTTCACCTGTGCAACAATCCCGAGGTATGACTTACGGTTCGGATCCCCAGCTGGTGGTGACCACCCGTTCGGGGAGATTGCCCACACTGATACAATCGTCCGTGGTCAAGTCCAATCCAATTTCCTCCGAGGCTTCCCTGATTGCGGCAGCCTGATCGTCTGCGTCTTCGGGATCTCGCTTCCCGCCGGGCAAGGCAACGTGACCGGTCCATCGGTCCCCTACTCGCGAAGCACGTTTGATGAAGAGAACCTCCGGTTCCCCATGTTGTACCCAATCCTGTGAGAAGAATCCATTCAGACGTTCTTGCACCGATTGTGAGGCATCACTGGGTTGTTCCGCGCCGGGCCAATGTTCATATGTCGGCCGGACCCGAATAATCAAAGCAACCGAGGCTCGTTTTTTGCAAGTGGGCGGATTAGGAACATGGGGATACGGACGACGATTTAGTTCTGCTAACACGTCATGCAGATTATGGGACAAGCCATTGTTGGAGGTCATGGTCTGAGATGTGTGAATATGAGACCATAGTAGAGTCCGGAGTATGGAGTCCTCCGATCATATCAGTTCTCCTATCGCCGAATTGCCGCACAGGCCACTTGGTAGTCTGTGGCAGTGGGCGGTCTAGCCCCTGTAAAAACCGTCACCGACAGGAGTAATAAAACAATAATCAAAGGGTAATGAGTGGTAATTAATACCGTGTCAATACTGGCAGTGACAGGTCCTCGGTCCTTTGATGATCCGGATAGCTGTCTGCTTTCGAGTCTCTGATTGGCTGTCCCAGTCAGCACGTGCGTCTATCGCTGGCTCTGGACGGTTTCGTCTTCACCTCCGTCGCTTAGAGTCGAAGCTAATTGTCTGTTGATATTCTGTGAGAGACCTTGCACAGTTTCTGCAGACTGTCGTTTTTTTTTGCCTTTGCATTGCATCTTTGCACTTGGGCAGCATCGAGAATCCCTTCAATTGCCCTTGTTCCAATCACAGTCACCTGAGTAACAACTGCACAACGTTCACAACCAGGCTGACTCAATATGCGGTTTGGGAAAACCCTCCGCAATGCGGTGTACCCTCCCTGGAAAGGGAAGTACATTGACTACACCAAGCTCAAGACCCTGTTAAGGGAGAATGATGTCACCGGAGAAGACGCCAGTGACTCGGAAGACAACGAATGGACCGAGCAGGATGAGGAGGCATTTGTGCAGGAGCTGCTCAATGTGCAGTTGGAGAGAGTGAATTCCTTCCAGGCAGAGACCTCGCAACAACTCCGAGAACGGACCACCGCCTGTGAAGCTAAATTGCGACCCTTGGCATCCGATGCCGAACAAGAAGAGCCCGCCCTCGACGATCAGAAGAAGCGCTCCGTGGCCTCGGAGGTGCTCCAGGAGCTGGACAGCATCACCAAGGAAGTCAGTGCGTTGGAGAAATACAGTCGGATCAACTTCACCGGATTCCTCAAGGCCGCCAAGAAGCACGACCGCAAGCGAGGAGCGCGGTACCGGGTGAAACCGTTGCTCCAGGTGCGACTGTCGCAGTTGCCGTTCAACTCGGAGGACTATTCGCCGCTGGTACATCAACTCTCGGTGATGTACTCATTTGTTCGCGAGACCCTCAGTCATGACATCGTGCAACCGAAGGAGACGGAGCGTGGCTCTGGGCGGGAGACCTATTCATCATACAAATTCTGGGTTCATGCGGACAATGTTTTGGAGGTGAAGACGCATATTTTGCGACGGTTGCCGGTTCTAATTTACAACCCGGGAACCTCGAAACACATTGATACCGTCACCGATGACCCCACCATTACCTCTCTATACTTCGACAACCCCCAATTCGACCTTTACAACCAAAAGGTGGCACGAGCCCCCGAGGCCGGATCTTTACGGCTGCGATGGACCGGATCCCTCAAGGACAAGCCGTCCATCTTCTTGGAAAAGAAAGTCGTCACCGACGACGACGAAAGTCGACAGGTGAAAGTGCAACTGAAGGACAAGCACGTCAAGGAATTTTTGGACGGAGAATATCACTTTGACAAGAAGTTGCTCCGCATGGAAGACCCCAACAATGGAGACGCCGCTGCCGCCGAGGCGTTCAAACGGGACGTCGATGAGGTGCAGTCATTCATCAAAGACAACGACTTACAGCCTATGCTCCGGGCCAACTATACCCGCACCGCGTTCCAAATCCCCGGAAATGATCGTATCCGGGTCTCCCTCGACACCAACCTGGCTCTGATCCGGGAAGATTCACTTGACAGCGAGCGCCCATGCCGTGATGCAGCCAAGTGGCACCGCGATGACCTGGACGATGCCGATATGACATATCCCTTTGATGGCGTCCGGACTGGAGAAATCACCCGTTTCCCCCACGCCTTGCTCGAAATTCAGCTTCGAGGCAAAGCTCACAACACCGAATGGGTCAATGACCTGATGGTCTCCCACTTGGTCAAGGACGCCCCCCGTTTCTCCAAATTCGTCCACGGTGTGGCCTCATTGTTTGAGGACCATGTCAACAGCTTCCCCTTCTGGCTCAGTGGCCTCGAGGGTGATATTCGCCGTGACCCGGAGACCGCCTTCCACGAGGAACAAGAGCGACTCGCGAGGCGCGCCGAGGAGGACATGGCTGTGGGCAGCTTCATGGGCGGCGCTGGTAGCCCCAGTGCCCGCCCTCTTGTTGGATCTTCTTTCCAGCAGTTCTCTGCGGGCTCTCCTTCTACAGTGCGACGGCCCTCTGGCGTCACCGAGCCTTCATCTCGACCTCGTCCCTCCATTCCTGCCCCCGAGCGTCGTGATACCGAAGTTGTGTCCGAAGTTGACGAAGAGCCCGCGCCCCCCAGCCGCCTGGAGACCATTATCACGTCCCTGGGGCTTTCCCCCGAGCGCTGGCTGGGCAAGGAGTCTGTCTCTCTGCCCCCTGGAGTCCGACACCCAGGGTACTGGATCAAGGACGTGGGCCCGGTTCGCGTCGAGAGCAAGGTTTATCTTGCTAATCAGCGCACCTTCATCAAATGGTTGCACATCAGTATTCTGCTGTCCAGTTTATCCTTGGGTCTTTACAATGCTGCTGGCAAGCACAACCAGGTGGCCCAGGCCCTGGCAGTCGTCTACACCTTCTTTGCCATCTTTGCCGCGGTCTGGGGATGGGCTATGTATGAGCGACGGGCTCGCCTCATCCGCCAGCGCAGCGGAAAGGATCTCGACAACATGTTTGGCCCTATTGTGGTTTGTATTGGTTTGGCCATTGCCTTGGTTCTGAACTTTGTCTTCAAGGTAAGAGTTTTGAGTGATTGACATTGAATCCTACTGACAGATGTATACAGTACTCCTCGGCGTTGGAACAAAGCCGCAATCATCCGCTTCCCGCTGTCCCTGACCACTCGAATTCCTCTATTTCTGGAGTCACTTGGAGCCAGAACCCAGCCCAGCAAGTGTTGTAGTCTGAATATGTGATTATGAAAAGTCGGGGAAATTGCATCCATGGCGTTTATTGTACATTTTTGTCTATATTTTGAGACCAATTTCATCTTTTTGGTGACAGATCTATCAGTATATTTAGTAGAGGTCTACTTCAGTACTCCCCGAGGATACACAGACTCTTCACTTCGTCCGTCTTCCTTTCCGCTGACAAATCGACTATATTTTATTTCACTACTCTATACTCTTGATTTTTATTCTCTATTCTCTATTCTATACTCCTATATTCTTCATTCTATACATCCAAAATGACCAACTTCCAAATCCAAATCATCTCCGACACCATCTGCCCCGTAAGTCCAACCACCAACCAAACCACTCAAACTAACAGCCAAAGTGGTGCTATGTGGGCTACCGCCGACTCTCCCGGGCAATCACCACCCACCAAGCCCTGCACCCAGCAGACACATTCAACATCCACTGGAAAGCCTTCTACCTCAACCCTGCCGGTGCCGCCTATCCCGGCGTGAACAAAGCCGAGATGTACAGCCAAAAGTTCGGCGCAGGCCGCACAGAAGCCATATTCGCGCGGATGGGTACTGTCGGCGAAGGCGAGGGCATCAAGTTTAGTTTTGGGGGCAATTCGGGATCAACTAGGGACTCGCATCGACTGCTGTGGTATGCGGGACAGCAGGAGAAGTTGGGTGGTGGTGCGGGTGATGGGTTGATTGGGGGAGTGCAGACTCGGGTTGCGGAACAGTTGTTCCGGGCTTATTTTGAGGAGGAGAAGAATATTACTGATTTGAAGGTTTTGGTGGAGGCGGGTGTTGGGGGTGGGTTGGATCGGGAGGAGGTGAAAAGGGTGTTGAATGAGGATGTTGGAGCTGAAGAGGTGGATTTGGAGGCGAAGACGGCGGCGAGTCGGTTGGTCTCGGGGGTGCCGTATATTACAGTGCAGGGGAAGTATCATGTTGAAGGGGCGGATGAGCCGGAGACTTTCTTGGAGATCTTTAAGAAGATTAAAGAGTAGTCTTACACGCTGGACGGACATTTTATATGAGAATGGGAATTGGCTTGAGCTGCCTGAATTGGCTATGAAAACTGTCTAGAGCAAGTACAAAGCTGTGGTGTATGTGCCCGAATGTGCGAGTTTCAATACTACCAGTACAAGCCCCCTAGGATAAGAATGTAACGCCGTGAATGCAGCAAAGCGAGATTGGGAAACATGGGCAACAGAAGGAAAGTAACCATTGATAATACACAATCAAGACCCTGGGGAAAACAAGAAAGAGAATCATAAGAGGCGAAGCGAGGAACAAAAAAGCAAAGAAAAAAGAACACAGCAACAGCAAGGATGCAATGGAAGTACCACAGACCAGGTACTTCCAGAAAAAAGTCATGGTAAATTCGTAGCACGTCGAGATCCGGACCATTCAAATTTAATGGGTAGTCAAGGCCTTGACCTGGCGCAATTCATAGTCGGGCAGGTAGTCGAACCAGTCGGTCTCGGTGTTGTATCGGTAGGCCTTGAAGTCGACCCCATAAGGCTTAGGCTCCAGCATGTACAGGACACCCATGGGGACATCCAGGTCGGCGACCTCGTCACGCTTCAGACCACGGAAGTAGGCCAGGAGCACACGGGCAACAGAGCGATGGCCCACCAGAAGCACATGGTCGGTAGTCCGCTCGACTTCAACGATCACGGCTCGGGATCGATTGATGATGTCGAGATAGCTTTCTCCACCGGGGCCGGGGTAGCGGTAGAAGAGTTTGTCCTTCTTGCGATGGGCATACTCATCGGGATACTGCTCTTGAATCTGTTTGTAGGTCATGCCTTCCATTTTACCGGAGTGGATTTCGTCCAGCATCCTCATCTGCTTGACATCGTAATCCTCCTCGTCAAAGTACTCGGCAGTCTGGACCGAGCGCCGCATCATCGAAGACCACACGCAGAAGTTGCGCGGACCTTCCCGAGGGATGTAAGATGGGTTGGGAGGAGTGCTGTCACCAGGGCGCGGAGGGAAGTGGGCGAGAAGGTCCTTCTGTCGCTGGTAGTTCTCCCACTGCTTCCGTTGATGGTCAACAAAGCGGGCCAGCGCCTTGGCGTACTTGCGGCCGTTCGGGCTGAGATCGGAATCACCTCCGATGCGGCCAGCGGCATCGTCGTTGCTTTCGCCATGGCGGGTGATCCAGATCTGGCGGGGGGAAAGATTAAAGTTGAGCAAGTAGTAGACAACTTGCGAGGATAGGAAGCCATGAGTCTGGTGAGCAACCACCTTACGGCCGACATCGATCATCTGGATGTATGCCATGCGGTTCTTTTCTTCGTACTCGCCGAGTGGCACGTAGGATTTCTCGTAGAGAGCCACACGCTTCTTGAAATCGATCAGTGCCTCGGTAGGATCCTGGCCCTTGTAATCGGGACCAGAGAGCTTCAGGCGCATGTTAGCCTCAAGCAAATCTTGGTCGACACAGGAACTTTCGAGGAACAGGATGTTAAGCTCGCTGCCGGCGCGTTCCCGAATGTGATCGACAATGGCCTTGCGGCGTTCCATGGTGCTGTTGGTCGCATCCAGGATACCAATGCTACCGCCCTCATCGAGGATGTAATCAAGCAGCTCATCCAGGGTGTCCAGGGCGACTTGTTCTCTCATCTTGACGGCACGCTGGTTCTGGGGGTCAAAGAAGTTGGCGGTTTGGTCCATGGGCTCGGGAGAAGCTTCAGTGATCGCTTCTTCATTCCGTGATTGGGCCGGGCCTGCGTCGGTTGACGTCACCACAGTACTTCCATTCTGGGAGACTTGGTCGGGTTCCTGCCCGTTCACCAGGATCTTGGCGGGCACCACAGGAGGGGGGAGTGGCGCATCTTCAGTCTCCGGTGGGGAGGTTTCCTTCGGGTTCAAGGTGGTACCGACGCTGACACTCAGTCGACGGACCGAATCCACCAGATCCTTGTGAACAGTACTTGGCTTCCGCTCATGTGGGATGGGCGACGGGGACTTGCCCGCCGCCACACGACGGCGCTGTCCGACGTTGAAGATTTCGGTATCATGCTGCAACCAGTTCAGGTAACGGGCCAGCTTCTTGGTGATGTAACTCTTGCCTCGAGCCGGAAGGCCGACCATGACAATGACCAGTTTCGCACCGACATCACGCTGGGCGATGCGACCATCTGGCGAGACCTTGGACTTGGTAAGGCCCGGAATGTCGAGGGTCGTAGCTCGGATCCGATTGGGAGTTCCGATGGGCTGTTTCTGGCCCAAGCTGCAGGGATCATGTTAGCTCACGTTCGCCAAGCGTAATAGCAAAAGCCACGAGATCCATTGAGCCGGGTCTGGGGGAGTCCCCAGATAAGCTCAGGAATAAGGCTGAAACAGAGCCGGGGAACACAGCATGACCCGAGGTGCATAGCAGTGTCGATCGAGGCTCTGATAGGCTCCACGCGGACGAAAAGACTCAAGAAGGGGAAAAGACTCACATCTGTGGAGACGGGGGTGCGGTAGAAACCGGAGTGTCTGTCAGGGCAGTTCCGACTCCGCCCTTGGGCGGCTGCGACGATTTGTGGGAATCGGAATGCAAGTCATTACCTAGCGCTCGGTTGACCACAGTCTTCGGAGGCATAAGAGTCCCTTCTTTTCCTGACTCTGAGCCACCGTTCATATTCTTCTGGTCCGCTCGTTGCTCTGGCGAAGTGGCGGATGTCAGGATGGCTGACCGGGCGATATTGGAGTGCTGCGCCATCCCCGCTAGGCCCGGGGGGTTCTCAGGGTTGCTGATAATTTAAAAGTAGTTGCTCTTCTCGAGCTCTCGTTTTGAGTCAATCAGAACGCGTCTTTTGGAGCCCAAAAGCGAGGTGGTTTTCTTGACTGAGAGGGGGGAGGAGAGAAAAGTGGGAGGTCGGATGAGTCAGGCAAAAAAACGTCACTTCAGTCGTGGGGCAACGTTCACTTTCTCTCTTCAGGATGTTTTTTACTAGAGCTTTCATGTGCTCTTGACTTCAGACTCTGTTATGAATAGCACGGAGGGCCTCGGAATCGATGAGATCACCTTGCAGATTCGGCACTTGGGGTGGATCGATGGCTTGCAGGATCGCCTGGATGATGTCAAAGAGATGGGAAAGCAGAGGGGGTAGTTGACAGGGGTTTGTTCGGTGCAGAGTACTCCGTTTAGAAAATAGAGTAGAATGTGAGATGCAATAAGGATAAGATATACAAATACTGAGCAACTATCTTATGCGGTATACAGAGTACCTAGGTACACATAAGAGGTCTCACATATCATGCAATGTCCAGGCCTATCTTCAATAGAGAATGCTTGGCTAAAGTACGAGTAGTTAGGAGAACACGAGTCACCTCACCCCCTGCTGTGCCTTGATTCACATTCCGGTGGGATGCTCGGTGGGATGCTCCAGAGCCTATTCAACCTTTTTGTGAGGGTTCGATTAGGCCGTAACAACCGTAGAGTGAGTCGGTTCGTTCCCTTTCTCGGTCACTTTCTCTTTCTCGGTTCGATTAGGCCGTAACAACCGCAAAGTGAGTCCTTCCATTCTTTGGGGGAGACCATCATCGCCATTCGGAAACCGCAGATGTACCTAAGGCGCAACAAAGGTCAGCATACACATAGATTTCGGTGCCGTGGGAATAGCGAATTTACTCACATTGACCCAGATACAGGGTCGTATATCAAGTTCGATGGCCCACAGGAGACTGTCTCGATTCCGCAAGGCAAGAATTTCCTGCTCGATAGGTTAATTCCAATTTCATTGAAAACAGGGCTGGAACGTACTCGAAGACTTCGCGGAACTTGCCACGGATGGCATCACGAGCATCACGGTCTAGGCCCCAGAAATAATCTAGTGACAATGAATCCCCAGGCACTTTGTCCCATATGATGCAAATAGAAAAACCCCCTGGGACAGGACCATAATCCCCTTGTGGTGCTTCACTGTAAGCGAGGAGCTCGGGGGTCACTGAGCAGCGCAGAAGCTTCAGTCGCCGAAAAGTCTCCAGCTCATCATTCTCTTGGTTTGGAATGGCTTGGAGTGCTCTCACTGTTGGGCGGTCGTACTCTGTGCCTATAGTGGGGAGCTGACGGTACAGTCTCATGAATGCAGGCTTTCGAGTAGAGTCGTCCTTTCTGTAGCAAAGTTTCTTTGCTACAGTTTGGGGTGGGCCACGACGGCTCACTTCCTCTTTTCTCATTAAATTGGCATCTTCCTCCAGGTGTTGAGTAATAACCCAAGTAGTAGGGGACCAGTTGAATTCTGGAACAGCATCTGTTGTGATCTCTTCACCTTCCAGACTTGCTGAGAACGGATATGTGATTTGCTGCATAGTGGACTGATAGGAAGCTTTGCAGAGTAAGGGACAAAGTTGATGAAATATGTCGGAGTTGAAGATGAGTGATGAGTGATGACGGGATTCTTATGCAGACAGAAAAACCTCCTGGAACAGGATCATAGTCCCCTTGTGCTTCGGTGCCACCGTAGGAATAGCGAAATTACTCACATTGACCAAGGTTTGTAGGATGTTCGATGTAATGGTCTTGTTCTATACATCTTTCAGCTTGGGAGCTGGGAGCCTCAGTGGGAGGGCCTTCTCATCGCCTGGAGGTTGAGGAGGTGGGGAGCTGGCGAGCTCCAAGTAATGTTGCCGTCTATTGCGATGTCTGCCATCGTTCTTTTTTCGAAACTTGGAGAAAAGAGAAAAAGAGGGTTGTTGTAGTTGTAGTTGTTGTAGTTATTATCGTCCTGAGAGCTCTTGCCCCCGTCCGACCTCCTTAGGGTAGTGCAACTAAATCTAATACTGTTATTTTCAATGCTATTGCATACAATGGATTGATTTCTATGAAGTATTGAAAAAACCAAGACTTGTTAATTGATGTAATCTTGTTATTATGTGATTGTTATATTTGTGACAAAATCTAGCCCAAATAAACCAAGTCGGAGTGAGGCTGCGTTGGACAAAGCCCAGTGGTGTGACCCGAGTCTCATACTCGGCTTTGACTCAACAGATCTCCGACCAACTGTAGATGCCCGTTGCCGCTGATCCTCCGGAAGGGGGGGGACCCATCTCCTATGGTTTGCGGAATCCTTGGCGCTTGGCGGTCACGCAGGGGGGAAAGATAACAGACTCGGGGGGTATCTGGGATCTTGAATGGGATGTTGAAGTGTAATTTGGTGAACGGGGCTCATCAGGTGCTCAGGTTCAAGGTCAAGCCAATCAAGCACGCGTATGCCGCGATACTCAGTGCTGTCAAGACCAGCACTGCATTTCCACTGGTCCGGAATTTATGGCGATGGATTCCATCCTCCCCGACTTCAGCAAAGAACTGTTTGTTGCCTTGAGAGCGTCGAAAGAGTCCGATGATCAGGACCCCCGTGCCGTAGATGGCGAACAGGGCCCCGATACTGTAGAACTCGGCGGTGAAGATCTTGAATACCACCAAGGCGAAGGAGAACTGGGAGAGTGCAGTTCGGACATAGGCCCCTTCAAAGGTTCGTTGGGCCGCGCGCACCTCCACAATTTCATCTGAGGTGAGCACCGCCGAGCGTGCGCGGTGCATTCGCAGGCGGTAACGATCCCCTGCGCGGCGCTGCGGGAGTCAGCAGTGATGCGGATATTGAGTGGGGAATCTTACCTCGAACATCTTGTAGTCTACCAGTACCGAGTGCCGGTAATTCAGGTAATTCAGATAAGTCCAGTAAGTCCAGGAAAAAGGAAGTCAAGAGTCAAAAGAGTCATGGGGAAGTTGAATTCCGGGATCAGATAACACGCGTGACATCTCACACCGCACTATTCTGCACTTTGTGTTTACTTTGTGTTTACTTTGTATATTTGAGTAAGTATTATATAGAAAGAAATATCAAGATACAATATAGAGTAGTAGAATAGAGGAAATAAGGAATGTAAAATAGGGTCTACAGAGACAGTCACAGAACAGCCAATTGTATCGCCGCAATACTAATAGCCAGTCGGCAATCGCCCAATCGGGAAATATCCACTGCCGACTCTTCTCCGCACTCCAACGCCTTCTTTAGACATCTTTCTTGATACTCTGTACTACTCTTCCTCTCCATTCTCTCTCTGTCTCTCTCTCTCTCCCCCTCTCCCCTATCCCCTCTACTTAGCTGTGATTGACCATGGCAAAGGTTTTCAATGCGACAGAAGGTATCTCATTGTGATCATGACCCCCCACGTCGCGCGGGATGGACTAACCGAGGAAATAGTCGCAAAACACAACACTCGGGAGAGTTGTTGGGTCGTGCTATATGGCAAGGTCTACGATGTAAGAGCTCCATCAGGTTTGGCTTGCAATCTATCCGTCTAATGCAATGTAGGTCACCGACTTCCTGGGTAGCCACCCCGGTGGTGCAAAGATCATTTTGAAGCTTGCAGGTCAAGATGCCACCGAGGAATATGACCCAATTCATCCTCCAGGTATCCTGGAAGAGGAACTCAAGCCAGAGGCATGTCTGGGAACAATCGATCCCAGCACATTACCACAGGAAACTGCCCCAGAGCCTGAACAAGAGGTCGAGGGCCCACCACCAATGGAGAACATTCTCAATTTGGACGAAATGGAAGAGATTGCGGCAAAGCAAATCAGCAAGAAGGCTTGGGCCTACTACTACTCAGCATCCGACGACATGTTCAGCAAATCCTTCAACAACGCAGTATACCGCTCTATTCTTCTGCGACCTAGAGTGTTTGTGGACTGCACCAAGTGCGACCTAGATACTACCGTTCTCGGGTATAACTTGAAAACACCCATCTACGTTTCCCCCGCGGCAATGGCCCGTCTCGGGCATCCATCTGGTGAAGCCGGCATTGCAGAGGCATGTCGGAAGTTTGGAGCCATGCAGATAATCTCCAACAATGCCTCCATGACCCCGGAGCAGATTGTCAAGGATGCCTCGCCAGATCAGGTCTTTGGCTGGCAGCTATATGCGCAAATTGACCGCAAAAAGAGCGAGGCGATGCTGGCCCGCATCAACAAGCTCAAGGCCATCAAGTTCATCGTTCTCACACTTGATGCGCCCATTCCAGGCAAGCGTGAGGACGATGAGCGAACCGGAATGACAGGGCGCAAGGCAGCCGTGCCGAGCGGCATCAAGGCCGCCGAGCGCTCTGCAGACGATACCCCCAACCCAACCGAGGGTTCTGGGGGTGTTGGACAGCAGCTGTTCGCCGGCACCGATCCTTCCCTCACCTGGACTAAGACCCTCGCGTGGCTGGCCACGCAGACCGACCTGCCCATTATTTTGAAGGGTCTGCAGACCCATGAAGATGCCTACCTGGCCTCGCTACACGCACCCCAGGTCAAGGGAATCATTCTCTCCAACCACGGTGGGCGGGCCATGGATACTGCGCCCCCGGCCGTGCACACACTGCTGGAGATCCGCAAATACTGCCCCGAGGTCTTTGATAAGATTGAGGTCCATGTAGATGGCGGCATTCGCCGGGGCACAGATGCCGTCAAGGCTCTGTGTCTGGGTGCGAAGTCTGTTGGTCTTGGGCGCGCAGCACTCTACGGTCTTGCGGCTGGAGGTGTTGAGGGTGTCAGCCGGACATTGCAGAGTAAGTTGTTCGATCCTTGGACGGGGGATCTTGTTGCTAACACACCTGTAGTTCTGAACGACGAGATGAAGACCTGTATGCGTCTTCTTGGTGTGGAGAGAGTTGATCAATTGGGGCTCCAACATGTATGCATCCTTCATCTCCTCCTGGTGTCTCTACTGACTGGTTTACAGATCAACACCCGTGTGACGGAGCAGCAGATCTATGACGGCCCTGCTGCCCTTGAACCCTTACGGCGCGAGTTCCGCTCTAAGTTGTAGATTGTTACTATAAATAAAATCGAGTTTCTACATACAAACAAGAAAAAAAAAAGTAACATTCCTCAAGTACCTTTTGTATGGAGTAGACTAACAAAAATACATCCGAAGTGTTCAAAACACAAAAAAATAGTTTCGCTGGGAATCGAACCCAGAACCTTTCCGGAACACTCGCCTGTAAGGCAATTGTTAACGGAAAATCATAACCGCTAGACCACGAAACTGTTCGATGGAAACCTGAGCATTTTGTGGCTCTATGAGGATTTGGCTATGGGCAACGGTTTTTGGTCTACTTCATCCACACGGAGTAAATATCAAATGGTTGTTTTGATTTAAGTATTGGACACTACCCTGGAAGTAAGCAGATTTCTAATTTCTACCTCCACTAACACTATTGGAAATTACTATCACAATTGTACTTTGAGCTGTTCTGACGCTGTAAAAGCACCTACACAAATAGTGCCGGATATATAAGCTGACGAACTATATACATCCGAGCTTCAACCGTTTGCTTCTCCCCTCTTTCATAAATTGAATTAGTTCATATACACCATGCTACCAGAGTCATCCACCCCGTTCATTGCGAATGCTCCAATGTTCGGCTTTGCCGACGTCAAGCTCGCAACCGCCGTATCCCAAGCCGGCGGATTCGGTATGCCCCTCAAACCACCACGCAAACCAAACTAATCACCTCCAGGCTTCATCGGCGGAGGCTTCGACTTCCGACCCGAGTCCACTCAGCTCTCGAGTCTAGATCGCCAACTGACCGAAGCTCGCTCCATCCTCGGCCTGGCCGATGGGCCACTGCCGCTTGGAGTGGGCTTCATCACTTTCCAATCCAGTGGATTCATCGAGAATGCTATTCCAATTCTGCGAAAGCATCGAGTAGCAGCCGTTTGGCTTTCATTTCCCCAGGCGGATGTTGATCATGATGCCATGGTACAGGCTATTCGGGAGCCCCGGGATTGGGATACCAAGGTATTTGTCCAGGTTGGGACCGTTGCGGCTGCAAAGGAGGCGATTCGGCAGGGGGTGGATGTGCTTGTGGTTCAGGGGACGGATGCTGGAGGACATCAGTGGGCTCATGGGGCGAGTTTGATCTCGCTTTTGCCTGAGGTGCGAGATGTTCTGTCCGCTGCCCAGAATACGACGACCGCTATCCTGGCGGCGGGGGGTATTGTCGATGGGAGGGGTTGTGTTGCTGCTCTTGGTCTGGGTGAGTTATAGTGGATGTTCGAAGCTGGTTACTACCCAGGCGACTTATGATATGACCGACTGACTATGACATGTAGGAGCCGATGGAATTGTCATGGGCACGAGAGTGAGTCATTATAGCTCAGCTCTGTCAACTTCTATGCTAACTACGTCCAGTTTGTTTCGACGTTTGAATGTCCCGCGCCGTCTGCAATGAAGCAGACTATCGTGTCTAGTACCGACGGTGGAGTCTCGACGGTCAAGTCTGTCCAGCATGACGTTTTCCAGTCAACCGATGTATTCCCCAGACAGTACGATGGAAGAGCTGTGATTGGAATCAGCTATGAAGATTCCCAGACCGGTGTTAGTAACGACGAAGTTATCCGGCGGTACAATGAGGCTCGACAGGCTGGAGAGGACCAACGACGGACAGTGTGGGCGTGAGTATGCAAGTCTTTCTCTATCGTTCTTTGCTGATCATTTGATTCAATAGTGGTGCGAGTGTTGGAAGCATTAATGCCGTTCTCTCCGTCGACGATGTCCTCACAACTACTCGGCAAGAAGCAAGGGCGATCTTGGAGCGCATGAGGACAGTGCTATAATGCTCGAGTTCAAGTGGCCTCTTGGCGAGATGTCTAAATATACTTAACTAGTACTTCACCTTGGACATAGCACTGATTAGCCCAAATATACATCTATATACACTGGAGTATACATAGGCACCGTGCAATTACTTAAGTACTATACAGACTAACATAAAAACATACATCCACAGAAGATCAACACAACATATTTAACCCTTTAATTGTCAATTGAAATTTTTTAAAAAAATGGGTAGGCGGTCCGAATTGAGCATCTCAAACTCCCCCTCTTTCGTCTGTCCGTCTCTCTCTTCTCTCTACTTTTCCACCCGTCACCATTTACCCTCAAATTCGGTCAGCTTTGCAGCTGGGAACTCGCTGCTCCCATCCGAGCCGTTGGTATCTGGCCCGCGCGCCAATTCTCGACTCACCATTTACCCGCCATCAATCCACCATGAACCACACTACGCCCTCCCCGAGTCCAATCCCCAAAGCCTCGAGACCTTCCGCCTCGCCAAATGCCGGTACAAAGCGAAAGAGAAACGCGGCCAAATACTATGCCGTGAAGAAAGGTCATAAACCCGGAATATACGCGGGATGGAACGACTGTTTGGCTCAAGTAACCGGGTTCAAAGGGGCAATCTGTGAGTGCGCGTGAAGGGAATTATGCGCGTCGAAGGCTGAGACAGAAGCACCACAGTCCAATCATTCCCCACTGAAGAAGCAGCCGACGCCTTTATGAAGGGCGTGAAGCCCGTAACTGCAGACGGCTCCGATGGTACACGATTCTATGGAATCCAAAGAGGACGGATCCCTGGGGTATACACAGATTGGACCAAAGCGCAAGAACAGATTCGCGGGGTTCAGCGACCTCGGTATCGCAAGTTCTCATCGCGCAAAGAGGCCGAAGAATTTGTACGAGAAGGACGGACCGAGGGCGCTTCGTTCGGGGTGGCACAGGGTCCAGCTGCGCCCAGTGGGACCATGAATGAAATACCTAAAAACGCAGATGGCATTGAGTTCGCACCCGGTGACGCACCATTACCCCCAGGGGCCGAGGATGGGTTTGACCCCAATGTTCTCCTGGACCCGACGACAGGAAAAGTGGTTTACAAGACGGCTCCCCAGAAGGAAGCGACCAAGTCTCAAACAACGGGGATCCCCGGGACGCTGCGCATATACACCGATGGGAGTTCATTACGGAATGGGACGCCGTTAGCATCCGCGGGAGTTGGGGTATACTTTGGTCCTGGCGATTCAAGGTTCGTGCTATTTCTCCCTCTTTGCGACCAGTCCTTCTAACTACCATCACTTGTCCCAGCAGAAACGTCTCCGAGCCACTGAAAGGCAGTCGTCAGACCAACCAGCGCGCCGAGCTGACAGCGATCCTCCGGGCGATCGATATTGCGCCTCGACATCGCCATGTCACCATTGTCACCGATAGTCGATATGCGATTGATTGTGTGACGGTGTGGTTTGTCAATTGGCGGCGCAACAACTGGATGACCCGCGACAACAAGCCGGTTGAGAACAAAGACCTGGTCGAGTCGATCCTGGTCAAAATCGAGGAGCGCAATGACCTCAAGGTTCGGACTGTGTTTGAATGGGTCAAGGGCCACAACAAGGATCATGGCAATGAGGAGGCCGACAAGTTGGCAGTCAATGGTGCCCAACGCGGTGTCTCTGCAAAGACCGAGGCGCTGGAAGTCGCCCAACAGGTGCCCGAGTTCTTTGATGAGGATTTTTAGTAATAACGAATTTAAATGTCTTATGAATATATAAGTCTAGTAGATCAATATAGTAGATCAAAATAGTATAAGTGTATGGAATATAGTGTACTAACTAAAGTAACTAAGTAAAGAGTATAAAGACGCCAAGAGTTGAGATCCTCCGCACTCGGCACTTTGCTCTCTGCAACTCTGCAACTCTGCATCTCTGCATCGCTGCACTCTGCATTGAATCCTGCATCGCTGCATCCTGCTTAGAACTGGTCTTTTACAGCGCTCCTCTTGAGCTTTCTATATTCGCACTCTTTTCCATGATCTCGCCGTACAACACTCAGCAACTCCGAATGATGATTGAATAACATTCGCTTGCCGTCGATTTGTTTGATATACAGACACCACTGGACCTGTGTATCCAAAGCAATAGTCTTCGACTCTTAACTGCAACGTCCCAGATCTTATTTGAGCTGTGACAAGAACTCCACGATGCCCACATTAGCCCCGATCAACTTCAACATTGTCTGCACGACACTGGGAGGCTTCATCTCACTCTTTGGACTGGTATCCTACCTGTGCAAAGAACAATTCTACCTCTCAGAAGCATGTAAGAACACCCCGATCCCACAAAAGCACAATGACCAACCAAACAGTGATCTCCCTCATCGCCGGCGTGATATTCTCACCTCACGCCGCAAACTTAATCAGACCCGAGGACTATGCTCTGCACTCGCAGCAAAACCTCGAGGCAATCACCTTGCACTTCACCCGTCTAGTTCTAGGCGTGCAGCTAGTCCTCGCAGGAGTCCAACTCCCAAAACGATATCTGCAAATCGAATGGCGCAGCCTGGGACTTCTTCTGGGGCCTGGCATGGCTGCAATGTGGATGTGTAGCAGTTTAGTGATCTGGGCAATGGTTCCGAACTTGAAGTTCCTGCACGCTCTGATCGTGGGTGCTTGTGTGACTCCCACTGACCCTGTACTGTCGAACTCGATTGTCAAGGGGAAATTTGCCGATAAGCATGTTCCACGGGGACTGCAGAGGATCATTATTGCCGAGTCTGGTGCTAATGATGGTCTTGGATACCCCTTTCTCTTCTTCGGTATCTATCTCCTCCAGTATACTGGCATGGGAGCGCAGAGCTACAGTGGTGGTGCGGGGAAAGCAATGTGGCTGTGGTTCTATGAGACATGGGCATATACGATTCTTCTTAGTGTTGCGTACGGCACTGTTGTTGGATGGATTGCGAGAAAGCTCTTGCATTGGGCGGAGGAGAAGCACTACGTTGACCGGGAGAGTTTCTTGGTATTTGCCATTGCCCTGGCGGTAAGTTGATTCACTGAAGCCAAGGTGTTCTATACTGATCCAACCCCCAGCTGTTTGTTGTAGGAAGTTGTGGTTTAATAGGAACAGATGATCTGCTTGCCTGTTTCATTGCTGGAAATGTGTTCACACAAGAGTAAGTCTCTTTCAATGCATCCCCACACGTATACTGACAATGCCAGCGACTGGTTCCGTCTCGAAACAATGGACGATTCACTTCAACCAACAATTGACATGCTCCTCAACCTGTCTGTGTTCATGTGGTTTGGAGCCGTGTGTCCATGGTCATCATTCCTGAACAACAGCGTCATTCCAATCCACAGGCTGATATTCCTGGGAATCCTCATCCTGCTAGTCCGCAGACTCCCCATAGTCTTCGCCATGCACAAATGGATCCAACAAATCGAACTAGTCTCCCAAGCCGCATTTGTCGGCTTCTTCGGCCCCATCGGAGTTGGTGCCATTTTCTACCTATCCATCAGTCTGGAATTTCTCCGCCAAATCCAAGTCAACGGCGAAACCCCAGAAGATGTGAAACATGTCATGGAAACAATCCAAATAGTAGTGTGGTTCCTAGTCATCTGCAGCATCGTCAGTCATCCCACACTTATCTCTTTACCTATCTACTAACCAACAACAGGTTGTGCATGGCCTCTCAGTCCCCCTGGGAAAAGCAGGGTATCATCTCCCACGCACAATCTCCAGCGTAATCAGCACCAGCCACGAGGAACAAGAACCAGTTCCAATCTCCAATATCAGACACACTCACAGCACAGCGACTCCCCTGACCGTGGAGGATTCCAGCTACCGAACCCGTAAGCGTGGGTTTCGGTTCCGAAGCGCAACGCCGCACCCACCCCTCTTTCGTATTGGTGGCTCGGTGATTCCTGATCGCTCGCCTTCTCAACTGGGTGTGGGTGAGTCTGATGAACCTGAGAGACCTGTTCATTTGGTGCATCAGTCGAGAGGTGAGACCTAGCTCTGGCTTGTGGTGATTGTGCTTGGGCCATGATGGGCGATATATGCTATATTGCTAGTTATGACCCTTGCTTGGGATGGAGATGCAGCTTGATTGTCATGCTCAAGCTTGTTTATTTTTTATTGATATTTGACGACAATATTGGTGAGTGTTGTTGTCGGTATATTATCTGTATATAGATCCATTGGAGAGTACAATTTGTACTCAGTAATAATTGGATCAGACTGTCGGATGTAGACATGAACCTGTCAAGCTACTTGAATCATCAGTCCAATACTCAATTACAGTATGCTCAGGAGATTAGCAGTCAAAGTAGAGCAAGAAATAATACTACACATCCTATCCAGCTACACCATTGAGAATACCGACGAAATCAAATACAAGATGGTCTGCATTGGTATCATAAAGCCGCATGTTTCATTAACCTAAAGAAACCCTCATGCTCGTAAATGATAGCCATGAAAAATGTCATGCAAACCTGAGAGACAACTAATCATTCCGTGTTCTTCATATCGTAGCATATCATACTGGGAACAAATTGCAGGCAAAAAGCCCATACCAATGTCGAAAAGCCCGTTGTAAAGGCGTAGACCCTAGTCAATCGAAAGTGCATCTAGCTCAGATTGGTGCTCAGATTGGTGATCAGGTCACGGGCACGACGAGCAAGGGGTGCGATGAGACGCAGGATGGGATCATGCGGGTTGCGCTCGACGACATTCATGTACAGGTTGTTCAGGCGCTGACTCATGATATCAAGAATTCGTGGAGCGACTTCACGGAGGTCGGTATCCTGCGAGGGATTGTTAGAAAGATATTGGGGCCGAAAAGAGGTGAATAGACGACATACCCTGGGGTCCACGTTCTGAAGAACAACCTCGAGCCAATGCAGGCGCTGGCCAATGTTGGTTGCCAGAGTAGAGGTAACAGCCACGGCTACAGAGAGCATGACAATTGCAGAGAGTCGGGACAAATAATTGGGTGATACGTGAACGAAGAAGTTGTCGAACAGATCAGCTTGCTGGTGTGATTGGAGCCACTGATATTTATGTTAGCCGAAAGTCCACGGCATAGTTTTCAGAACCCTCTTCGGGCAGGAATAATGGAACTGACCTTGATAGTTCCCTCCTCATAAAGACCACCGTTGATCAGATGCACAATTTCCGCGAGTTCAGCTTCTTCGGGCGACCGAGGCACAGGCGCAGGGACAGGGATAGGAGCCGGAGCTTGCACGGGAATGGGGACAGCCTGAGACTGAGCCAGAGGCTGGGGCTGAGTCACCTGGGGCACACGCATCTGGCTATCAGCTGGACGCCCAACAGAGGCTCGTTGGTGGTGGACCGTAGGCTCTTGAGGGGGAGCTTGATTTGGAGGGGTCTGGCTTTGGCGAAGTTGTTGGTTCTGGTTGGTAGACAGGACAGAAACTTGCTGGGTCAGATCCCGCAGGACAGCGGCCATCTCCTCCATTTTAGCATTGTCAATTTGGCGCTGAGCCTCGTATTTTTTGACCTGAGATTGGAAATGACGTTCCATTTCTTTCTCAACCTTTTGGGTGGTACGTCCCAAGGACTCCAGCATAGGAGCAATCGAGGTCTGCAAAACGCGGGTGATTCCGGTCTCGATGCGAGGAGCAAGTTTCTGCGCAATATGCTCAGTCACAGCCTTCAGCACAAGAGGCTCTTGAATTGCGTGAATAACAGCCTTGGGGAGTGACTGGCGCAACTCCTCGTTGATGGCACCTCCCAGTTGCTGAGAGATGGCACCACTAAGTTGCTTGCTGACCGCGGCGGAAGTGGCGTCAGTGATGATCGGAATCACATCGGTCTGGATGCTGCTTGAAACAATGCGAGTCAAGTTCTTCTCAACGTTGTCAGAAAGGGTGCTGGAAACCAAGCGCAGCACTTGATCCTGCTTGGCCGACGAGGCAGCGTCCCAGTTCTGGCGTTCTTCGTCAAAGCGACGGTGCAGGTTCTCGAATTCTTGGCCAAGGCTCTTGTTGAATTCGCTCTGAACACTGCCCTGCAGAGTCTGGATGTGCTTGTTCAAGGCTTCACTTGACAGGCCCATGCCAGGCAGACTGGTAGGCAGTGAGTGGTCAGCAGCTTGGGTCGCACCCATTGTCGCGGTAGAAGAAGCAATGGTATCAATATCCCTAGAAGCAAGGGAGCCTGTGGGGATAGGCTCCACACTCGAGGTAGCGACAGGTTCCTTTGCAGCCTTCTTCTTCTTCTTCTTTTCAGACTTGTCGACAGTGATGGGTGTAGCTGCAAGTTCACTAGGCTCCTCGGAAATCTTCTTCTTCGCCAACTTGGTAGGCGAGGCGTTGCGCGAGGGGGCAACGCCAGAAGCAGCCTCCCCAATGTCAGCCTTCTTGACTGGCTCCTTGGTAGCAGCACGAGACATGGTCGAAGCAGTATCGCCATTGATGGATGGCTCATCAGTCGCGTAGCTTGGGAAAGTCTGCAAGTCACTGATTTCAATCAAGTTATGCTCCAAAGCATCGACGGGGCGGATGACCTTGTTATCGGCTGTCCAGCCCAAGTCCTCCTTCTTAATGTTCAGACATGTGACACCGCGTGAGTGCATGACATACAACTCGAACAAGGGGGTCTCTTCGACGCCGTTCTTGTCGGAAGCTGGTTTCGTGACAGGCAAGAGCTCCAAGCTGCGCAGTTGGCCCTTGGCACCGAGAGAAATCTCTCGAATTCCACTCAGGCAAGCAGTGGATTCCGGCTTGGGGAGAGTGTTATCCTTATCGTTGAGATCACGAATGTAGGCGGCCTGGGACATCTGCGGCAGATTGTATCGGGGGGCCGAAAGATGGGCGAAGTAAATTGAGTTACGGGTGGGGTGTCCAACAACGATGACACCGGAAGATGGGTGGTAAGCGACGCTGCAAATAGCATCGGACTCATTCTCATGAGGGAACTTCAACTCCTGCACAGCCTTGCCGAGCCCAATATCCCAGAGCTGCAAGGTGTGGTTCTGCTTGAGTCCAACCAAAACGTAGCGAAGCGCCATGGAGCGCGAGTAGGCACGAAGCTTATCAAGGAAAAGAACCGAGGTAGGCCAAGACTTCTCGGTAGGGGAGCCAGTGACAAAGGTAGTCAAGGGGACCTTGATTTCAGCAGGAGGAGGGCCTTCAACCAGGCTGGAATCGTCCAGCATGTCGTTGATGTCCCAAAAGCGCAGACGACCAGTCTTATCCAAAGATGCAATGACGGAGTCATCGTCACTGAAGGCAAAGTCCTTTCCGGCCTTACCAGTAGAGATCTTCAAGGCACGTTCCTTGAAGAATTTCTCGGTGTTGACGGTGCGCTGGGTTCCGGAAACGCCGTAGGCAGGGTTCATCGCCGCCTTGGGAGAAACGACGTAGATGTTCTTACCCCGACCAATGGCAAACAGGTTGGTGTGACGAGTGCTTCGCTTGGCCCGCGTTTTCAGCTGGCCACCAGAAGTGTTCTCATCCGAAGCCGGGAAAGGCGGGAAGATCAGACTCTCACTTTCCAAGGCATCCATATCAAAGAAGTCCTTGCCAGAACGTGAGATCAAAGCCCAGTAAACAGAGCCACTGACTCCAATGCCAAGAATGGCCTGGACTTCAGAGTCACCAGCAGCAGAGGGGGCTGTGCAAAGAGCGACATTGAACACCCGATCACGAGTGGAACGGAAGACCTGTCGATCACTACCGTCATCTTGTCGGATGATTCTGATGCCACCGGTTTTAGCGAGCGCGTACACAATGTACTCCGATGTAGCGGCGGTCAGGGATCGGTCGAGCTGGTCGAATTCCTTCTTCAGGCGAGCAATGTCCATCACATCATCGTCACGGAAGACGTTAAGCTTTCCAGATGTAGCCTTCACGGCAATGGAAATGAATGGCTTCATGGGGAAGTTGTGAACAGAGACAACTCGTTCCTCCTCCTTTTCGGCACTGTCTTCCGCACTTTCCCAACTGTCAGCCAAGGCCTCGGTGTTGTCAGCCACCTTCAGGGTCACAGGGACTGCAGGGGTTTCCACCACAGTCTCCTTCGCAACTTCATCGACCTTGAGAGAGTTGACAACGTCTTCGGCTACAGCAGCGGTGTCGTTCAACTGGTCGGCGATTGATGAAAGAACTGCCTCGGAGGGTTCCTCCTTGACATTAGAGACTGCAGCATTTGCCGCAGCTTCGGTCCGCGCCTCTTCAGCACTGAGGGAGCGGCCAATCTCATCTACAAGACGGCCAACAACATCATTCACCGCTTCTCTCTGTCCTTCACTCAAGATGGGTGATCGGGGCTCCTGTTTGAGGGCCACTGGCTCGGGTGCAGAGCGCTCAAGTGTTGCGGAAACATTGATCTTTTGCTTCTGCATCACTTCAACAGCAGGACTTTGTTGACCCGAGGAAGGCTGTTTCGGAGTAGTGTTGCGAGGAGAGATAGCAGCCAACTGGTCGAAGGGGTTGACGTAGGTGAACATCGAGTCCTTGGAGTTAGGCGACACGACCGTTTCCGGGTTCGCAGGAGCCAAAGGACTTTCATCCACATACTCCATGAAGTTGTTGGTAGCCTCGCCGTGAGGCTCATCTGAAAGAGTCTGCACAAATGGTGCCTGCTGGTTTGGAGCGGGAGCCGGAGACCTTGGCACAGAAGAGCCAGACTGAGAACGGTTGAGAAGGCGAAGTAACATGTCCTGGGTGTTTTCATTGGGGCCTTCGGGGTGTCCAGATTGGAAACCTGGAGGCACAGCAGGCGGGGCAGCTGGGGGAGCTACATTGCCTGCGGTCTGGTTACCAAACAAAGAAGCAACCAAGTCAGAGGCGGAGATGTTCCGTCCGTGTGATGGGTGAGCTTCGTGACCTGACGGGGCCTGCAAATGCTCGGGTGGAGGAGCAGGAGCCTGGGGCTGGGGAGCACCGCCGGGACGCTGACTGAATCGCAAAAGGTTCAGAAGGTCATTGGAACCCGGGTTGCTGTGCTGTTGAGGTGGCGCCGGTTGGTGCCATTCACCTCGGGGGGTTGACATGTTTGGGCTCAAAATGTCAGAACCCCGGTGAGGGGGAGTGTTCATTGGCGCAGGACTTTGGATGGTAGAGGATACCGATGGGTGCTGGTAATCGTGTGGTTGAGGATGATGGTAGCTCTGGCCGTCGTAAGACTGCTGCTGGTGCGGCGGGAACATGCCTTGCTGATAATACGCCTGGCGCTGGGCCTGGGTATTATCTTGGCCAGGAGTGTTTGAAGGGGAAGGACGAGGCCGAATGCTGGCCAGGAGAGCCTGGAGATCAGTGGGGGTGGACATTTCTGCCGTCACGCCTTGAGATTGGCGACCACCGAAGATTCCAAGCTTTGAACAGCTCTCAGGAGCTCTCTTTCGAGAGGCTGAAAACAGAAAAGAGGTATCGCAGAGGCTAGAAGAAATGAAAGAGCGAATCAGAGATAAGAGCACGCGAAAGAAAGATGGAATTGAGGAATGTAAGAGGGTGAAGAAGGGTGAAGGAAGAACTCTCGGGAATATTGAGGTGGGTGTGGCGCAGGCTGCCGAGCTCTGTGGCGCTGTGGCTGGAAGTTTTTGCCCGACTCGCGTCATTGTTGCTTCTCATCATGAGAAGTCCAGAGTGAGGACAAAGTAAAGAGACTTCTACATTCTCAATACTCAGAGCACCTTCCCGGTCAAGGACAACCTGATACTCCATACCAGCACCCTTCGCCTATAAGGCAAGCGCAGGCCCCGCTCATCATGTTCTGTCTACGAAGGTGCGAGACCCAACTACTGATCCTCCAGTGATCTCCAACTAATAGTCCATTCTGTACTTTAGTTGGTTACCTCTCCTCTTCATCCCAACCAATGCCTCACCACTGTTCATCATCTCCTTTGTCGCCTTGACATACATCATCCACCGACCATGTATATACTGTTCAGCACTGCTCCTGATCCTCTTTGTCTCCTCATGCCACTGGTCAGACCGCTGCATCTTTGATCTCCGCAGTAACTGGTTTGCTCCACGATACAGTGCAGAGCCCAACTACAGTTACTCTGGGAACACCACCGAGGCAACAGTACCCACTGAGGGACTCACAGACTTTGTCTTCGACACTGTCAACTCAACTGCCAAGGCATTGGCTGGTGCTGCCTTGGAGGGTGTGCAGCAACACTTTGCTCCGAGTGGAATGGATTCTAAGCACGATGAGTGGACCGGGGTGGGATTAGAATGGATGCGCAACCTCTTGGGCAGGCGTGAGTGGACACTTCCCTGTGTGGATGTCAAAGTGCGACTATAGAAATCTCGAATTGAGGCATAACCATTTCGGATGTCCTGTTTTTGTACTTTCCAGCTTCATGTCTTCATTTTGGGCGGCGCCTTTGACTGGTGCAGCGAATTTTGATGTCCTTTTACGCTTATGACCACCTCCTGTACATAGATTGTGAAATATTAATTGGCTGGCTTGAGACTGATGCATTGGATTTAACAGTCAGAGCTTGAGAATAAAGTTACTGGCCAAGACTCTTATGCAGGGTGGTAAGTGAAACGTAGAGGTCCCTGTCACTGGCGAATGAGGCTTGGAGAACTAGCTCCAGCCAGAAATTCTATATAGCTACATCTATAGATGACGCAAGAAGTTTAGAACTTGAGAATGGTTCAATCCTTCATTTCAGATGCTACCATACTACTTGAGCTCAAACACTAACACAGCACCAATTTAAAAGCCATCAGCTCTTGATATTCAATCCCAAGACATCCGAGAACTTTGTAGATATCAAATCACGTCGCAGGGTGTTTCACTTCCCCATCAGGCGTACCATTAGGGGGAGGTGACACTGGACAGACCCCAAGAGCTGTGAGAACATTGTTCAGGGCCGGGATGCAAGCAATGCAGGAGCAGATCTGAAGAAGTGATGAGTTTCCACATCTGTGTAGGAAGATCGAGCCATACCTGAGACATGGAAGTTGTCAGGCACTTCTGCAGTGCAGTGGGATCGCCATTGGCAACTGCATTTGCAATGCAGGTAAGTTGGGCAGTGACGTTCAGGCAGGCGGCGAGGCTGCACTCTGCTGGAAGCTGGGGGACAAGGGAGAGATTTTCATGTAAAACTAGAAGCTTGATCAGTATGTTAGACTCGACAATTGCGCAGGAGGTTAGTACAGGCGCTCTGGGCTTTTGTGCTGTTAGCTAGCGGATTTGCTGCGACAGCCAAGGCCGAAGCCAGGATGAGAGCGATGTGGAAACGCATGGTGTCAAACTGTATTCGATATTTGGAACAGTGATGAGATCAAGAGGGAAATCACGCCACAGCCATATCTACTTTTATATCTCTCTAGAGCCAAAGCAAGAGCCAGAGCTTTGAGAGAACGAGACAGGGAACTATTGTTCTGACCGAATGTCACATTCATGCCCGTGAGCAGAGATAGAGTGCCAACTGCCCAGGTGATCGAGTCGTACCAAGTCGCACGAGAAGCTTGTCTTTCCCCCAAAGGAAATGGGGGAAAGTAAGTAGGATTGAATGTCACCCGATCCAGAGACAGGGCCCCGAAGAAGAATTTTGGGAGGAAACCTGACATAAATTGACATGGATTACATTTAAGTACAAGGCGAGGAGGTATCTGACAAGAAAACACACATATGCGGGAGGGCAGTCTCAAGACTGAAACCCTCCAGTATTTCCAAGAGAGAGCAAAAGCTAGAACGAGTCAGAACGCATGACATGATAACCACCGGGGGGAATAAAGGAGAGATGGCAGGTGAATCGTGAAACATGACAAGGTGTGGTATCACGGCAATCCGTGGTCAAGAGCTTCGTCACAGGACCGAGAGAAGACATGCTTATGTATAAAGAGATTAGAAGAACCGAAGACGCAAGATAGCAAGACAAACGTAGCAGATGGCATAAAGATCAGATCAGTTGTAACCGCCACTGCCACCGACGGGCAGAGGCCAGTCATCTTCCGTGATACTGCTCCAGAAGGTCCAGATGCCGAGCACAGCGAGAAGAGTGAACAGGGTTTCGAATAATGCCCCGTTGATCTTCCCGTCGGTGGCATTGCACAGGTGGATGCTGATCACATAGTTGAAGATTTGACCAATGGCAAACAGCAGTGCGGCACCCGTGAGATAGACTGTTACACGGTCAGTATATTGTCATGAGAAGAAGAAGACAAAAAAAGTCCTAGGGAGATCGGGAGGGGTACTGACACATTGGCCGGAACTCGCCCAAGACTCGAAGGACCAGCACGGCCTCTAGGACGTAGAACAAGAACACGCAGACGAGCGGAACAAGTTGATACAGAACATAGAGGGCGATGTTTCGATTTGGGGAGTCGAGACTTGACTCGAAATGGCCGGTCCAGGTGAATGCAGTGTCTAGAGCAATGTAGCCCGTGCCGATAAACAGAGCCGTCGCCGAGGCACAGATTAATCCGAGAGAAGCTGGAGTCCCATCGTCCAGTAGCTGGAAGCCAACGAGGGCATTCATCAGAAGAACCCAACAAGTCGAGGTGATTGCAGCGATATGAACCGCCGTAAAGCCCTGTTTCCGGTCAGCGCAAGCTCTGTCGCGTCCAGACCACCCTTACCTTCCGAACCGCGTCGTTCAACGGGAATCCGCCCACAGTAAAGATCTCACAGATCTCAATGATGATAAATCCCAGTAGGAACAATTGCATTTCCCTATCCACGCCGTCAGCGACCGTTCTGCCATTGTATTCCCATGCATTCGTACCGTCTGCCCACCGCCGCATGCTTCTTATCCGACCTCCAAATCATGCCCACAGTCAAGATAATGGCAATGAAAGCCAAGAGAATCGAACCTATCACAGATCAGCGGTTTCATCTCGTTTCAATTTCCGGGGGTGTCGGACCTAGGTTTCGAAGGTATCGATCCTCCCCACTCAGCGGGATACCCGTCAACTCGCATACGTTCGCAGTCCCATTGGCGGTGCCATTGGCGAAAAGCTAAAACTGTCAGTATCGCTGTTCCTTGGGCCCGTTGGTCTCACGTACATTGCACACCGGTAGCGTCGAGTCGCGACAGAAGTCCTGTCATACGGTCAGTATTTGCTCCATTGGAGTCTCTCGGTGGACTCACATGGAAGTTTCCGAACTGCGTCGACCCCATGGTGGCAGTTTGTAGAGTTGTCAGGGAAGAACCTGACCCGCGCGGGCTCAAAGATCGTCGAAGGTATGTACGGAGGCACGGAGGAGGTACGGGAGTAGCGAAGATGGGAAGTTCCCAAGTTGGCGCTAGTGAGGCGCTAGACGCAAAAGACTTTCTAATTTCCCCAGAACAGAAATACGAGAAAATGCGACCACAGCGAGAAATACTGGAATGTTGAAATGTTGAAATGCTGAAATGCTGAAATTCGAGAAGAAAAAACGGGGAGGTTCCGAGGCTAAGAATAGCCCGTACCTCGCAGTGATTTTCCAAGCACAGACGATCTTAAGATGTTTATGGTCCTTACATAGATCGGTCGCCAGGTCGACCAGTCTACTATACCATACAACTACTATGTCTTGGATAATACTTATAAACTCAATGGCTAGTAATATTGCTTTCCTAACACACATCCTCAATAACCTGCTTTTGACCGTCATGCTCCCCCAAGTCCAACTTGAGCGTGCGACCAAACAGCTCGAGCAACATCTCAAAGCAAACCTTGGTAATAGCCGGATCATAACGACCCTTGCTGAGTTCATCGCGAATAAAGGCATCTAGTTGCATTAGCCATTGACTCCAGACCAAGTCCAAGGGAAACTCACGCTGAGCCCAGGCAGCCTCGTAGAAGCCAAACAAGACCCCCTTCTCATGCAGGGTCTTGCGAATCAGATCACGTCCCTCGGGCGGAACATGGTTATCATTTTTACCGAAGATCTGGTCTCAATGAGCGACTCTGGACTTGTGGCAAACACAAAAAAAGAAAACATACCATCAACATCTCTCCCTTGATATCACCCGCCCGCGCAAGACTGTCATCATTCTTACCCAGGGCGAGGGTTCTGCTGTGAATATCCGTGGCAAAGTAACACACACTAGCCTTGACCCGGGCATCCAAGGCACAGCGATAGGCCAAATGACCCCCAAGACACATACCGGTAGCACCGACACGGCCATTGCATGTGGGCAGGGACAGAAGATAGTCCACACTCAAGCTGGCGTCTTCGTCGTAAGCCGCCAATTTCTAAAAATCATTAGTAGGTAATCCTGTCCACATCCATACTCCATGCATATACATATGGAGCCCAGCCATGTGGAGCGCTCTGTACATACCTTGCCGATCTTCCATGCATTTCCCTTATCCGTATCCTCTGCGTCATACTTGAGTGCTTCGGGACCCGTGAATTCATGGTAGCTGGAGGGTGCTGCGCAGATGTAGCCCTGGCCGGCGATCTGGCGGGCGAAGCGGGCAACGGGACCAGTGACTGTTGGGTTAGCGGGGCTTGGGAGGATGGGAATTGGTCTTACCTTGGTAGATCTCGCTGAAGACGACTACTCCGGGGAAGCGGGCTTTCGGGTAGCCTGGAATGGTTGGGTGGAAGACATAGATACCTGCATGGTGTTAGTGTTGATAGTGATAGTGATGGTAGGGTTCATACGCATGGTCCCCTGGCCATCTGCCGTGGTGGGCACATCGTGGTAAGACTCCTGGATCAGCATTGTTCTGAATTACTCCAAATATCCGGAGTATTCAAAATGTCTGAAGCAATTGGGTTATCGATACGCGGGGCAGTCATGTGCTGATATGGAGCTCTAAGCTCCGTGGCCCACTTTTGACTGCTTCGACTACTTCGGGACACTTCAGTTCAGACTGGACTTCTCAAATTCGCCCGGCATTGCATTATCAGAACTAATTATCTATTTCACGTTTTATACAGAGAAGTGAAGGGTTAAAAAAAAAGAGGTCCCAAAGGACAAGAGAAAATCCCCGCTTCCAAGAGAGCTCCTGAAAGCCCAGGGAAAAAAAGGCAGCAAGCTGCAATTAGAAGACATACTGTGGAGGGGTCAACGGGAGATCAAAAAGAAAATAAGTCAGGGACTACTCACAGGAATGAACAGGTAAGGCACCTGGCGCTCATACTCGAGCCAAGTCTCACCGTACTTGGTGCGACAACGCTGGATATCACGAAGAGCGCGGTGGCTGATCATGCAAGCGAAGAAGAGCGGGTAGAACCAGGGGAAGGGGCTGGAGAAGCCGGTAATCAAACCCCAGTTCAGAGCGAAGTACAGATCGCACGAGTAGTGGATCTTGCGGGCCTTGCCATCTATACGCGGGAGGTTAGTTCTGAATGGTGGAAAACGGCACATAGACTTACACCACCCATCCACAAGAATCTTGGAGCCATCGGCGGCAGTCAGAGTCTTGGGGTTCTTCACGGTTTGCCAGGGCAGCTGGGGGAAGGTGTTGCGGGCCACCATGGTGCCACGCTCCTGCTGGCGGAAACGGTTCTTCTGGCTGTTGGTGGTATCCCACACCCAGTAGACGAACAGGTAGGCAATGTAGAGGAATGCAAGGAAGACACGGTTCCAGCGGTATTCAGCGGGGTCGTGGTTGGCCAAGTAAATAGTGCAGTGGCAGTAACTGAGAGGCACACCGGCCAAGTTCCAGAAAATCAACATGAAACCCCACTTCTCGTAGTACATATCCCTGTGAAATGTTAGTTGAGGCTCCTATCGGGAGATACGCAATTTCCTTACCAAGTGGACACAATGCACTCCTCACCCTTGGAGCAGGCATTGGCGTAAAGGAAGTGAGCCATGACAAGGAACATGACTTCGCCAGACACGTAGCCATAAATCTCCCACTGACGAGCGGCAGCACCCATGGACAGGAACAACAGAATATACCAAGGAAGGCGAACCTCGAAGAACATCTTGAAATCCAGGATGTTGAACATACGGGGGTTCAGCTCGGCACCCATGAAGAAGTCGTAGATAGGGTAGCCGGTCATGCGGTGCTGGGCACCACGCGCCAAAGCCGAGAAGTAGGCGACGAAAGAGACAATGAATCCCGAGATAATAGCAACGCTCAGCAAGGGGCCAAATTCGTCAATGATGGTGTACAGCTTGAAGAGTCCAGTGACGTGCGCAACCAGGGCCAAAATAATGCTGGTGTAGAAAGACCACACAGCAGAGCAATAGTAGGGCAGTTGCTTGCCACCCATGTGCGGCAGGGGACGACCGGACACGCTCACACCGGGAAGCAGCACGTAGCAGGCACCCTCGAAGATGAAGAAAACCCAATAGATAGTCCACGCCTTCAAGGAAGGGAACGCGCCAGTGTAGACCAAGTTTACCAAGTGTGCGAAAAAGTCGCCGTAGCTCTCGCCCTCCGCGGGACGAGGGAATTTGCCCTCATAATAAGTGGCGCCAATCCACATGTAGTACATGAGCATTGGGAAGCCGATCATCATGGCGAGCACACCGCACGAGCCACCAAATTCATAGTGACCGCTGTAGTCGATCTTGGGATCCAGACCGGGCTCCCAACCATCCACCATGCGCGACTTGGACGGCTTCTTGGGGGTCGCGGTCTTGCCATTGACCTCCACCTTCACCGGCGCATCCTCCACCTTGACCTTTTCAGACACGCGCCGACGGGTGGACGACTTGGACCCTTCGGAGGGGGAATTGGAGCCCTCGTTCTCGCTGCCATCGACGACGGAGCTGTTGCGGGTAGCACGACGGCCGGGAGTCTCGATAAAACCAGGGCGGTCCATTTTCCTACTGAATTAGCTTGACGAACTTGGAGGGATGGGCACAATATAACCACGGATGTGGATACGTCGCAAGAATCACTCACTTGGGGGTCTTCCCCGTCTGGGAGCGGGTTAGAGTCATGGTATTGCAATTGAGAGGTAAAAAGGAGCGAGGGAGAAAAAAAAACAAGAATGTCCTGAGTGTTTACTTGGTGTTCTACGGCTTACATAATTGAACTTGATTTTGAACTTTTGAAGCTCAAGATAATATTGGAAACATTGGCATGGTCATGGTTTCTAGGAGAGTCGCATTGAGTGATTTGTACCTGAATATTCCACATATTTGATCTATCTCTTATAATATCCTATAAAGAAGACCAAAAAGGAGAATAGTGAGGCATTGGCCCTTATTCGGTTTGTAGTGCAATTGCATAGATCGACAAGAAAAAAGGGGCTACTGAATGTAAGTAATACCAAAAATACATTGACATTGCAGTGTGCAGAGTGCCTAATACCCATACAATACTCTAATACCATAACTCATTTCGATGTCATGGCCTCGCTGTCAACTTCCGTTTTGCCAACTTGGCTATTTACTAGTCTACTCCGTACAGTAACATCATTTAAGACCCAATTAACCCCACTAAAGATACTGAACCAAGTTAATTACTTAAGTACTAGTAGAACAGAAAAAATATATCCAATTCCAAGGTCGTGGACAGAACTGAGATCATACTTCTTCACTTCCTAATTGGGAAACATATTCGGATACTTCCGTACATAGGTGGCCTCAATATGAAAGAAATTAGTTTAGCTATGGAATATTGTAGACTAAATTCAACATGGGATGCAACATCATATTTCAAGTCAGGGTTGGTTCATATATACTAGAGGCATGGAGAAGGAGAAAAAAAAAAGAAAACAAAACTCCCAAGCATGCTCGCCTAGATCCCATGAAACTGAATACAGATCTCCGAAGAGGATATATCTCTCAGATGCAGCCAGAGTAATGCTGGAGGGAAATGAGATTCTGTCCCCTTGGTCCCCTGCGATAAGCTCCCGAAGTCAACATCATAACCTGAAGATCTATGCCCCTCTTTGGCTGTTTGTCGCCATCAAGGTAATCTTTTGTTTGGGTTTCTTCTTTTTCTTGCCAGCGGGAGCCTGCGCAGAAGGCTCCAACGTGGTCTGGGCCAGAAGCTCAGATTCTTGCTGAGCGAACAGCTCATCTTCCCAGCCCTGTCGCCACCCATCACCTACACGAGCGCCCTGAGCCTCGAGGCTGGGTGACAGAGAGCCCACGGCGGTGGTGCCCCAAACGGTGCGGGTGCCCGGGGGACTGGTAGAGGGCGACGCTAGGGCCCCGAATCCAGAAGCAGAGCGTGGAGGAGAGGCAGACGAAGTGCCCGCATCGAATACGGGATCACTGTTGCTGGGAAGGGGTTGGAAATCACGGGCATGGAACGGTGCCTCACTAGCACTGGCGGCACCAATACTGGGCCGCTTGCGTCGAGCAGCTGCCCATCGTTTATCATCCTCTTCTTTCTCAGCGCGAACGCGATCCTTTTCCTCTCGGGCTTCCTTTTCCCGATTCCGCTTCCGTCGTCGATCAGTCTCGGATCGGAAGCGGTTCAAAACCTCGGGAACAACCACGTCTCGCCAGTCACACTCCAGGAAATTCACTTCACATCCCTGGGGCAGATGGCCGAGATATTTCACTCGTTTGCGAAGTTCATCGTCAACAATATGCCCCGTGGAGATGTGCTCCACTCGAGGTAGGATGGTGGCCGGGAAAAGGGCATATTCCTCAAAGGCAGCCTTCAGGATACGGATATCCAACGAGGAAAGATAAAATTGGGGTAGGGCTTGGTAGAAGTGGTAGGGGTGATCTGACTCGGGAGGGGGCTGCGGTAATTTGCCGCGGCCTTTATCTTTCGATCTGGCGTTGGGCTCAGAGTCGATTTGGACTTCACTGAACGCCTGAGAAAGGTCTTCCACTTTGACAGGTCGCACTTCGGGTGGATTGCCAATGCCTTTCAGCTTCTCCTTGGCATCCAAAATCGAGTTGATAGCTTTCCGGGTCCACGTATTTTCATCACCAAACATGAGTTCGTCTTCGGCCTCCTGTTGGCGGAGGTTTTCGATTTCGGTGTCATGCTGAGCACACATATAGTCTTCACCCCCTTTCATGATTCGTGCATAGTCGGCCACCTCTGCAACGTGGTACCATGGGACATCTTCCCCCGGACCAAGCGGTCCAGATCCATCACGAGGCAAGGCAAGAGTACTACCGGACTCTCGCTTCACTAGTCTTAGCACAACATCGCCACCTTCGACAGGCAAGTCGCCTTCTTGGCCACGGAACCACCGAACCGGTCGAGTCTCTGAGCTGTAAATCGAGTCCCAGCAGATAGGGCATTTCTTCCAACGATGCTTCTTTTCTGGAATCTGATTGTCGTCGTCAGACGCGTGCATGTATCGAATCAGACATGGAAGACAGAATATATGACCGCAGCGTGCCATACGAGGCGCCACAGGAGTGCAAAGACATATGGGACAGCTGGCTGCCTGGGTTTGAGCCGACACTAAGACTTGTAAAACCGAAGCCCAGTCGAGGTGGACATCGGCATTGGCGGCTTGGGCGTGGAAGTTCTGGTTCGGCATCACGATAAACCGATAGTTGGCATGAACATAGCGCGCTTTGTCCACTGTACCTGCACCCCAGGATGTATACCGTCGCACATTGCGAGGGGGAGGTTGGTACTGTGGACGCGGCGGGAGGGAAAAGTTCATCAAGTGAGTAATGGACGTCTGTCCCTTACGGCTGGTAGTTGATTTCATGGCGGCCTAAACATCGGAGTTCAGGGGTCAGCAGGCGCCTCTTGACCAAGAAAACCTGATAACCCACCGATTCGTTATACTCGTCATCATCCAACAGCCGAGGTTTTCTCTGTCGGTTGTGTTGATTCTTCCGAGCTTGATTATTCCTTGCAGTAGCCGCAGTCCTGGAAGATACCCCTGTTCGCGCGCTTCCCGAACCACCTACGCGCCTTTGCCCGCTGTTCTCTGTGAGAGTTGTATGGTGGAATGGCGAAGATGAGGCTGAAGCATTCGGGATGTTTACCGCTTTCGTCGGGGGCGGGTTCTGTCCTGGATTGGATGACATGTCCTGGATGGAATCCAACAAGTTCATATGAGATCAGAGTCACTTCAATTCACTCCCCCGAACACCGAGGTCGGAACTCGTGAAGATTGAGGGGACCTATGCGGACTGGAGATCAAGATCACTGATAAGATGATGCGCCAACTCGATCCACCAGCCAAGTGAAGACCACCGATCCAACCGTAGTCAGAGACAGAAGTCAAAACAATGTAAAGAAAATATCTTATGTAGAGGGACGGCCCTCAGGGTGCCAGTTGAAGTTGTCAGGGCCGAGAGGTTCGCCCCGCCGGTTACAAATCGCCCTCACGTGACCCAAGTCATCCACCCAATTCGGGCGTCCAGCTCATTTCATCGGTTGATAGAGGCTTCCTACACCCTCATCTTTTTCCCTTTCCCTTTTGCCTTGGCTCATCACTTTCCCTCATTGATCGAGGGTCTGGATTTGTATAATCTTCTTTCTGTCTTTCAGTTGGGTTTCGCCTTTCTCCTTCCCACGCGACCTCAAAAGCTCTCCACATCCTCCCAACCACCGCACAACCCGCATCTGTCATCTAGCTCAGGATGGTTGCTTAAATGCGCAAGCAGCCACAGAATTTTTCGCCCTTCAACTTGACTGCGATCGCGCATGGCTCTCCGTTGAGATAACGCGTGACCGAAAGTCAAGGCATATTTCTCCATCCCGGTCAAAATGAACCACCACCTGCCGGTGATGCCGCATGGGCAGCCACCTATGCCTCCCTCCAGACGGCAGCAGGACTTTGGCTACAACTCTATCCCTCCCAACATGCGCTCCCCTCAGTACATTGGGTATCCGCCACACATGAATGGCCACATGCCCCAACCTTACCACCAACCATATGGCCAGTGGTACCCGCCCTATGGACATACCATGCAGCCACCTCCGCGGCCACAGTATCAACAGCCGCATTATGGACCTATGATCGTATCTTCCTATCCTCACGTGCAGCCTGTCATGGCGCCAACCCACCTTCCGCCCCATTCCATGCATATGCAACAAAGAACTTCGACTCCCCAACAGCCCATCATGACTCCGCCCGTCATGATGCCCGCAATGTCGCCCATGCAGCCAGAAATGCAGGCACCTCCACCTCCTCTGCCTCATCCGGTTCAAGGATATCCCGTCGCCTCTCCATCGCCACGATGGGAGCCCAAAACAACCGCTCCGCCCAAGCCTGCTTTCACCCCACCTGTAAGTATTAGTTCCTTGATGTCTCCATTCAGGCAATTTCATTTCTCTTTTCTTCCTTTCAGTTTTCTGACCAGCGAAACAGCTTCCTTGGCTCTCTGTTCCAGAACAATCATTCCCACCTAGAATCCCGCGCAGGCGTCGCAAGGCTCGCGCGATGCAATGCTCTGTTGAGTTGCCTGCTAAAGATGCCAAAAACGTTGCGGAGACCCACGATGAAGAAACCATTGTCTCTCATGCGCCCACCCAAGAGACATCGGAGCCTCAAACTCCAACCACTACCTTCCAACAATCGGACACCGACTCAACGCAGCCCACCACTCCCTCATCAGCCGCAAAATCACAGGCCCAATCTAAACCCTCTAAGCAAGCACCTGCTCCCGTGGTCCCGGCGGTCCCAAATGTGCCAGCGACCCCGCACCGCCACGCCAGAGACAACAGCAGTGTCGCATCTGGAACACCCAAGTCAACAGCCGTTGCCCCTGCTGCCCCGGCCACTGAAACGGACACTGCGTCCAAGTCTGAAGTCAAGAGTCCACCTGCCTCTGCCGTGCCCAAGTCCTGGGCAGACTTGGTCCGGTCAAAGGCTTCAGCAAAGGCAGCTTCGGCTGCAGCAGCTTCGGCTGAATCGACTGGATTACCAGTGCAGAAGAACGAAAACCTTGCTGAAGTTTTGAGTGGACTGGGAGACGATGTGACCCAGTATAGCGACAAAATCGCATTCCTTGAACCTCGGGGTCTGGTCAACACTGGAAATATGTGTTACATGAACTCCGTCTTGCAGATTCTTGTTTCCTGCATTCCATTCTACCAGTTCCTGGACCACCTCGGCCGACGTGCCGCGCACAGCTTCCACAGTGATCTTCCTCTGATTGACGCTATGATCATGTTCATGAAAGAATTCCGTGTTATCGATGCTGCTACTTCGGAGGATCAATTGCGCCTCAGGCTGAAAGCCAATGAGCTTGAGCAGTACGGAGATGCTTTCGCCCCCGAGTTCGTTTACGAAATGGTCCGACAACTGCCACGTTTCAGGGATATGCGACGCGGGCACCAACAGGATGCCCAGGAATTCTTGGGTTTCCTTCTCGAGGAGATGCACGAGGAGTGCGCTCGTGCTGAGAAGTACACTGCGGCAAAGCAGGAGGGAGACGATTCTGCTGTTGATGGCTGGCTGGAAGTTGGTCACAAGCAGAAAGCGGCCGTGACTCAAATTTCCGGCTCCATTTCCAGCGAGTCACCAGTCACACGAATCTTCGGTGGCAAACTTCGATCAGAGTTCAAAGTCCCTGGCAACAAGACTTCTGTTACACTGGAGCCTTACCAGCCTTTGCAACTTGACATTGGGTCGCACGAAGTCCACAACATCCTCGATGCGCTCAAGGGGCTGACTAAACCAGAGAGCATCCAGGGTGATTTCAACTCATCTCGTGGATCGAACGTCACCGCCACTAAGCAAATATTTATCGAAACACTACCCCCCGTCCTGATCCTTCATCTGAAGCGCTTCCAATACGATAGCCTTACTGGAGCAACCCAGAAGATTTGGAAGAAGGTTGGATACCCGCTCGAACTGGACCTTCCCCGTGAAGTTTTCCCTCCCCATCGCCGCAATGCCATGGCTGAGTCTGGCCCACCCAAGTACCGCCTGATGGGAGTTATCTACCACCACGGAAAGAACGCCAGCGGTGGCCATTATACAGTAGACGTTCGGCGCCAAGAAGGCCTGGAATGGATCCGCATGGACGACACTGTCATCCGCCGTGTTCGTAGCGAGGATGTCGCCGAGGCTGGTGGTGAGGAAGACCCCAAGGCTCTTGCAGCCGCTCTGGAGCACCACAAGCACAACAAAACACCCAACGGCAACATTTTCGATCACATCGACCAGGATGACATGGACGCCGACAACGACAAGGGCTGGAGCCAAGTCAACGGCAATGGAGTCAACGGACATGCCAGCAAAAAGTCCGTCAATGGTGTTAACCCCTCCCCTGGTCCTTCTTCTGGAGTGCGTACTCCGCTTGGCCGCTACGGCTCTCGCGACAACAAGGTCGCCTACCTCTTGTTCTACCAGCGCATGGACTGAATGGCACGATCCCATCATCCAACAATGCATTAGCAAAAGAATCATACCCAATATCTTCATCGACTTACGAGCCAACATATCCACGCATTTCAACCCCCACTTGCATGGATCATCTACAGCCTGATATATCGGGCAATACATATCGCCCAGGCGAACCATACCGAGGCTTTCGACAGCTTATCCTTGCACATGCAACGCCAAGAAGATACCATTTGAGAGGCAAACAGTCTAGGGTGCGGCGGCCCCTTCCTGTCCCTCCATGACTTGGAGTTCTTACCGGAGCCATTTCAAGGCTTCAACCATCATATCTCCCTTCTGCCTTGCGAGAGCATTTTCCGAATCTATTTTTTGAATCGTTGCTTTTACTTGCTTTTATGTTTTCTTTTCCCCCCAAATATGTAGCCATGAACAGACATTGCCCTGTGCCCATTGTCTTTGAGCCACTTTTTGTTGTTTTCCAGCCATGGGCTGTACCCAACGGGATATGAACTTCGGTTTATACCCCCATCCGTTTTCCTCGATATCACGGATACTTGATCTTTATTTTTTTTGAATCTCGGCCCCGCAAAAGCGCGGGGCTCAGGAACTTGTGTGTTCCTAACCCTCATGTTCTATCCATGTCCGAGGGCGTGGGTATGGGAGATCCTGTGACGATGTCACGAATTTCCTTTTGACGACTATGTCTTTACATAGATGGTGGAAGGTGTTTCAGGGGAGGAAATGATACAATAGTTTAGAGGGTGTGCATAGCTGAGCGTTGAGATGGATACCACCAGTGGTATATTCAAGAAAAGCCTGTTTTTACTCCCAAAAAAAATTTCAAAGGAATTTTATCTCATGACTGCATTGCTTCGTTGAATATCCTATGTACAGAGTAAAGATCAAGCATGGAAGACAGGCGTATGAGTCTCCACATCGACATCCTCCACGAATTCAAACCCAAGAGCCCGCCAATTCAACTCCTTTCTCCAATGTAGCCCATAGTAACCTCTCTCACAATTAGATCCAGCCTCTGCCGGATCCTCTTCAGCAACGGGTCCAACAACAGGCTCTGAAGCAAGTCCACCACTCTCCAATCGCCCTCCCCGAGGGAAAATCACAGCCCGGAACCGAGAAAGAAGCAACCCCATCGAGCAACAAAGACAGGGCTCATGAGAAAGATATACATCAAGATCTGTACAGAGATAACCACCCTGAGCACGGGTGCGAATGCGCGGCGTTGCAGGCGCAGGGACAGAATGATCAACCGAAGGCGGACCAGGGAGCGGGACATGCAGATCAGATTCATCAACAATATCAGACTCAGTAGGATCCTCATGTTTCCTCTTCAAGGAAGGTGAAAGAGGCACAGGGTCAGGATGATGACGATATAAAAAGTGAGATTCGAGCGGACTCAGGGCATCACATTCCAGTGATGGGTCTTCACGGTCATTTTCTCTACGCCAGCGCGCGACAAGCTCGACTGCGCGCATCAAGGCGTGCAGCTCTGGCCCGCCTTCTAGATCTGCGTTATATGTTTTGCTGGCGGGGTTGGGGGTGATGTCTGGGTGTTGCTGGGCTTGGGATGGGGCACCACCTTCTGGTCGGGAGTATCGTGCGTCACCAGCGACTGCTAGGACTGCTTCGTCCCATTGTTTGGATTCAGAGGTGATTGCTGGATCGACGATTACTGCGCCAACGCCACGGCCTAGGCCTGATTGTTCTGCTTCTTGGGCGACGAGGTGCGCAAGGGATAGGAAGTATCCTGCGTGCGGCTCGATTGATTCTTGGGCACGAGCTAGGGTTTGAGGGGGTGGTGCGACGAAAGAGCGTGGTGCAGCTGGGTTGAAGACGACTGGCCAGAGAGTCTTGGTCCATGTCTCGGCTTGGGTGGTGTTGAAAGGAGGGCACAGCGGGATTTTTACAGGTTGGAGGTGTATTGTTTGGACCGAGGATTCGTCTGCTGCACCATCTGTAGCTGTGGCATTGGGTGTAGCGGGTGCAGGCGCTGGCGCAAATGGGGCAAGGATGGCCTTTAGTTTCTCGACATCGGGTAAAGGCGGGGAGAGAAGGACAAATAATGTTTGACCTGGTGCAGCCGGTGCATTCTGGGCCTCTATTGCCTCTCTCAGTGGTTGTGGGAGCATCTCTCTTTTGGCAAAACGGCGAAGGTGGGATAGTGGGAGGCTTGGGTCTTTTGGAAATGCAGAATCGAGGGCCCTGAGGCTGTTAGCCTCATTGTGATCAAGAGCTCATATTGTTCAGAGCTTGAGCATACTTGATGACCTTTGATGCGGCCTTGACATTGACTTCTGCGACGAAAGCATCGGCTATTTCTTGGTCAGGCTTTGCGTGACATGCCAATGGTGTAAGCCATACCGAATTCTTCCACCGGCCGTGTCTCCTGAACAGTCCGTATAGGCACCACCTGCCCACCAAGGGGGTGCAAGTCTCTAATAGCTTTTTCGATGTCCATATTGGTAGTGATCCTGTTATGCGTGGGGCCTATCCAAATCGCAACATTGACTCCGCTATTCTTGTCAAGCGGTAGCACTGATTGCAAGACAGACGAGAGAAATTCGGCGGAAATCTGTATGCGCGACCCCGCGAGAGGCAATGAATTGAGAAAAAAAAAGTTGGAGCTATACAAAGTTGGATAGACCCGATGCAAACAGTGCAAACACCATCCCACTTACAGTAGGTCATTTTGGGGCAAGGATGTGAGACAAAGAAGTATATAGAAGTATATATCTACAGTTTACTCCGTATTGCGTACAAAGAATCGAGATGAAAAGAGCAGAACCGTATTTTGTATGAATCTAAATGTTGAAATGGGGAATAGGATCATAGGATTCACATGGACATCAAACGCCGAAATCGTTGCCGGTAAAAAGAAAAAAAAGATCGCTGGAAACAAGGAAAGCATCGACCGTTGATATATGCGGAGATAGATCCCTGTTCTATAGCGCCATGCCATCTGATGCGTATGATCCTCGATATTAAAACAAGGAGAGGTGAATCCACAACTCCGAAATGCAAGTGTATGTATTAAATCACGCCAGGCAAATGACGGGAGGCATCCGCTGGACTCGAGACCGGCCCGAGTTGACCAGATATGGAGATGTGTCAATGGGCCAGTCAAGAAGCGGGTGCCATGCCTGTTGGCCCAGTCATCGATCCGCCATTCTCGCAGGGGCGTTCGATTTCAAACCCGTCGCATCGATCGACGAGGCTCTGGTAGTAATCCACAAGCACTTCTGGTTGTGGAACGATGCGCCATTCGACCTTGAACAGGAACTCCAGTTCCAACATTGCTAATTCCGTCATGCCGATTCCGCCTACTCGAGCATACGTCTTGTTGGTCCAGAAGCTGTCGCTGAGGCCCTTGCTGGCGACGGTGGCGCTGGTGATCAAGAATCGATGAATGGTTAGACTGGAAACGGTGAAGGCGGGGTACAGGGCGCATAACCGGTCAATGTAGTAGACCATACTGAGGAGGATAGGCGGCGAGAGGGTGGCGTGGGTGGTCAACCGCTGCAGGTAATCCTGCACGGAGATTCGGGGTGGAGAGCGGGAATGGAAGCGCGTGAGACGCCCTTGGTGCAACGGGATTTTGTCGTTGAATCGGATCAACTCCATGAGCATGCTGGAGATCAGCACGACCATGTCACGGGAGTCAGCTAATTCGTACTGGGCGGGCAGGACTTTGACGTCGGGCTTGGAGGCCCGCAGCCGCTTGGACTGCGACCTCTCCAAGTCCTGACCATCGTAGTCCGCGGGGGTCGCATCCGAGGAATGATGGTCTGTCTGGCTGTGGCGCTTGTTGGAGACTGGGGCGGGCATCGGAGGGGTTGCAGTCGTAGGAACAGAAGGGACGGAGTGCGAGGCCACGGCCGACACCGAAGAAACCTTGCGCTCTGCAGATGCGCGCCCCAAAGTTTCAGGGGAGGGATCGACGGTATGCCGGTTCAAGGCCGACCGGAGTTCTTCAACCATACGTGAGGATCGGGGACTGTTGAAATGTGGAGCAGAGTTCTCAAAATGCGACCCCGAAGGAAGCGGGGAGCGCAAAGCGGCCTGAGAGGGCGAAGGCGAAGACGCCAGCATAATTTAGGAATGTTCACTGAGCATTCACAGCGCAAGGTAGGACCACGTGGGCGCACAGTCTAGCTGACGCCGGAGAGAGTGCACGGCCGGCCTCATCCTTTAGCGGGAGGTTATTGCAAAGATGAAGTTCGACTTGGAACTTGAGGGGTGTTGTAGTGTATTTCAATGAGTAAAAGAGGAGAAAGGGGCGAGACCTCTTTTGAAAATCTTGATTGCTTTTGAGGTAATTAGTGTGAGTGGTCAGTCGTTGACCATACAGTGACCATACCACAGTACCAATACCCACTGGACAGGGCTGAAAATAGCCTGGTCCCGACGGTTTCCTGCCAGTGTCTTTTTTAAAATACGGTCATATGATGGTATTGGAGTATACCTTTGCCGGATACCTACCTTTGGACTACCGATGTATGTATCTATATTAGAGCTACTTAGAGTCATTCTGTAGGGAGTACAGCATATAGACATACTATAGATATATGGGTCGATTTACTCCGTACATATGTATGCGCTGTCTGGTCAGCCCTATATGCGATGCACTTTACCTGTGGACGGAGACTAGTGGCAGAATTGCCAAGGCTTGGGATCATTACGTAATAGTTCACTAGTGGTATATTTAATATATTCAATGTATTCAATATATCCTAGTCGATATGTTGAGCACTATTGGTATTTATATACTTTGCTCATAAAGTGGTTAAGTACTATGCTGGGATGTCACCACATACGAGTACGGAGTATAGTTAGGTTGTTACTCGACTAAAAGAGTGGAACTGCCGCTGTTTGCCGCTTAGAGGCGGTGGATCACTGCAGAACGAAAGTGCGGAGTACACTCCGGCTCGACACTTCCGGCTTCGACTCCGACCATCCCAAAAAAAAAGTATTAAGATTTATTAAAGTTAGCTCTCGACTGATCTCGACCTCATCGAGGCTCTTCCATCACAACTCCTGGCCACTGCGGAAATTCTCACGCCGGGCGTGGCCGCCGGACGATGACGCGAGCTGCCGCACCGCCGATTCTGCTGCAGCTATACAGCGCCGAATCGGTTTCATCGCAAATTAAAGCCCTGCGGACCTTGAAGAACGAACTCATCGGACATGATCAACGGAAGGAGGCATACATCGCCGACGGGATCATCCCGGCGTTGGCACAGGTCTTGACCTCGAACTGGCCAGGCACACTGGAACCCGAGGAGCTGTCATTGCAAGATCGAGCTAGTCGAAAAGAGGAATCTGATGCATGTCTCCAAGCGACTCTCATTGTGGGGAGCTTAGCACAAGGTGGGCATCGACTGCCAGGACCCTGACCGTGGGACCATCGACTGACCGCTGAGCAGGGGGCCCAACGTTCCTCACTCCGCTATTCGCCAGTAACATAATTCCACGCCTACTCTCAATACTATCATCCCCAGATTGCCCCGACGTTTTCTGTCTCCCCATTCTCCGACTGTTGAACACGATTGCCGACCGACTGCCACTACAGAGCCAAGAACAATGGCCCCGAGACACACAACTTGCGGACCTGGTGTTCACTTCTGCGAACATCGGCTTTCTGAGACGGACTCTATCGCAAGATTACAAAACTATGCGCAACCAAGCGGCCATCGAGCTCACCGCTTCTTTGATTGGCAAGCTGTGCTCGGAGGAATCCCATAAGACGGCGTTGGCAGAATCTGGGGTGCTGGACGCCCTGGCACTCAAGATTGCATCCTTTGTCGTGGCGAAGGGCTTCGTGCTACCTGGTGCTGAAGACCATCTTCACGAACCTGGAGCCTTAGAAGAACTCCCCCTTCCCGCGCCACCGTCGGCCCAATTAGCACCCATTTTGCGCGCAGTGGCTGTCATCATTGAACAGTCTAAATGGAGGGCTGAACATTTCTTGTCGTCGCCAGGCATTGTCACAGTGTTTCCCAAGCAGGTGCCTGGGTTCGCTCCGTCTGACATCAGAAAAGCTCCCTGGGGATCCACGTACCTGTCAGGCTCCGCAGTGCCGCGGCATGGCACAAATCCCATGGAGCAGCTCTTACCCTCGGTTCCTTTAGCACACTCAAAGTCTTCATCACACCCGGCCAACTTCCCACCCTTGGGACATGGAGGTTCTCAGCGTCGGTCCAGTCATTCGTTCGCCCAGCCTTTGTCGCTGGCCGGAACGCCTTCCCCGGAGGACGACGAAAATATGATCGTCCCCTGGCTGCTATGCATTCTTCGCTCCGAAAATGGTGTTGTACGGTTAGTGGCGGCGCGTCTTGTCGCAATCCTCTTTCGCCTGGGGTTGGCAAAGAAACACCGAGTCTCAATGTTCAGTTATTTGTTGATTCCAATTCTGGTTCGGATGCTTGACAAAGACTTCCGTTTGACGGATGAAGATAATGCTCACTACGATGGATTGATTTCACCAACTCAGCGGTTGAAGGAAGAAGCACCCGCTGTGCTGGCCAACCTTGTAATGGATGACCAGGAGCTGCAGAGACACGCAGTGGAAGGTAATGCTCTGAAGCGACTATCACAACTCCTCAAAGAAACGTACAACCCCGTCTCTGAGAGCTCTCGCCCCATGTGGCAAGCGGAGGATGGCCCGGCTCTAGATATTGAGAGTCTTTCCCCAGAGTGCCGGCTGGGGCCTTCTGGCTACTCTCCCACCCTGTGCCACGTCATGCGTTATCGAGAAAACATCCTCAAGGCCCTTGCAGCCCTCGTGCCATTTAAAGATGAGTACCGCAAGGCTATATGTGAGCATGGCGTGGTTCCTTACATCATCGACGCTCTCAAGCCAAGGCCCAGCGATGCACTGGCCGATGCTTCGATGCCCCGAAACACTGCCGAGGATGGAAACCCCATTCCTACGATTCTGGCTGCCTGTGGCACCGCTCGAATGCTGACCAGATCGGTGAGCGTGCTGCGGACTAGTCTGATTGATGCCGGTGTCGCCGAGCCGCTTTTCACTCTCCTCCGCCACCCCGACACGGAGGTGCAGATCGCAGCCACGGCAGCAATTTGCAACCTGGCTCTAGACTTCAGCCCTATGAAAGAGGTACGTTTATCCTCGACTATCGTTCCATATGAATTTGCTAACGTCATTAGGCTATTATCTCTGCCAATATCATTCCCATCCTTTGTGAACACGCCCACTCGACCAACACCAAATTGCAAATTGAATCATTATGGGCACTTAAGCATATGGTCTATGATACAGCAAACGACATTAGAATGAACATAGTTCAAACGCTGGGTCCAGAATGGATTATGCAGGTCATTTCCCGGGACCCAGTTCGTGCAGTTGAAAGACCGGGCACGGAAGAAGAGCTCGACGGCAGTGGGATTGCCATGGGTCGATCCAACTCCGCCGGCGAACAAGTTGATATCCTCAACCCAATGGACGATGCCACGGAGTGGGACGAAGATCTCAAAATGACCGACACCATGCCTCCCTCTAAGATGAGTTTGGACATGTTCCTACCCGACGCACGGCGGCGACGCAAACTTGTCCTGCATGGATCCTTGGCGCAAACGACCCAATCCCGCCAAGACGATATCGCCGTCCAAGAACAGACGTTTGATCTCCTGCGCAACATGATCTGCGGCGCGGATGCATCAGAGATGATTGACTATCTCTTCCGAGAGCTGGGCCATAAGGAGCTCCTCGATACCATTGTCGAGACTCTCCAACCTCGAAACATTCAACTTAATCACCGCCGCGAGCCAGCCACCCCCGTCCAAATCCCCTACGAGATCATCAAAGCTGCCACAGGGCTCCTCGTTCACTTGGCAGCAGGACACCCGCGCCACCGCCGGATCGTTGCATTCCGTCGTGATTTGCTGGAGGCGTTGGGTAATTACTTTAATCACTCGCACAAGGATATCCGATCGAATTTTGTTTGGATCGTGATCAACCTCATTTACGAAGAAGATACCAATGATCGCGAGGGATGTCGTGAGCGAGCGGCGCGTCTATGGGAGCTGCACTACACGGCTAAACTGACTAGCCTTGAGGGGGATTCGGAGTTGGATATTGTGGAGCGTACTAAGACTGCTTTGCATTTATTGCACAGATTGGATGATGTATAAAAGGAGGGCATTTTCAATAAAATATACATACTACAAACTTGAAAGTAATTGACTATTAACAGAGTAACAGAGTAACAGAGTAACAGAGTAACAGAGTAACAGAGTAACAGAGTAACAGAGTAACAGAGTAACAGAGTAACGAAGTATAACAGTGGAGTAAATACGTCATAGGTCTATAACATCACTGCCCTGCCCGTCTGCCCATCTGCACATTCCAACTTCAACCTTTCGAAAGCAATTTAGCCCACAATGACAGCAGTCCCAGAGCCAATCCTGCAAGCCCTTGCACTCCCCTCCAAAGCCAGTCTTTCCAAAGGCCTAGGCTCCGGCTTCACAAGCACAGCAACGATCCATGCTCCAGCCCCGGACTCAGACAACCACCGTCAATACTTTGTCAAAACCTCATCCAACGGCACAGCTGCCGAAGAAATGTTCACTGGAGAATCCGAATCCCTCAACGCAATCGCAGCCTCCGTCCCAGGCTTCTGTCCCAAAGCATTAGCCCACGGCGCCCTGGACCAAAAAACACATTTCCTAGCTACCGAATACCTCGACCTAGGAATCCGAGGAAAGTCAACAGGAGAAGCAACACTCGCACAGCGACTGGGGAAATTGCATAGCACGCCTGCGCCTCCAGATCCAGAAACCGGCAAACGCTTCGGCTTCCCTGTACCGACATTCTGCGGCGACACGAAACAACCCAACCGGTTCTGCGATAGCTGGGCTGATTTCTATGCCAATGAGCGTCTGTTGACTGTTCTTGGTACATCTGAAGAGCGAAATGGACCAGATAAAGGATTGAGGGAAGCCGTTGAGCAGATGGCTCATGTGGTTGTGCCGCGGTTACTTGGGGATGGACATTTAGGGTATAAGGATGGGGTGGGAGAAGGGATTATGCCGGTTGTTATTCATGGAGATTTGTGGAGTGGGAATGCGGATCGGGGACGGATTCTTGGGGAAGAGCCTGGGGATGTGGTTTATGATCCTTCGGCTTGTTATGGGCATAGTGAGTTCGAGTTGGGGATTATGAATATGTTTGGTGGGTTTGGGGGCAGATTCTTTGAGGAATATCATGCTATTGTGCCGAAGACGGAGCCTGTGGTGGAGTATAAGGACAGGGTTGAGTTGTATGAGCTGTGAGTTATCTTATTTTTGTTTCTTGGGATTCTGCTAATATGTACAGGTATCACCATTTGAATCATCATGCGATCTTTGGGGGTGGATATCGTTCGGGAGCTATGGCGATTATGGAAGGTCTTATTCGGAAGTATGGGAAGGAGTAGACAATAGGAAGTACTCAATTGTCCTATTATTTACAGTCTGTATCGCTCTGATATCCTCATTCTTGATATTAATACATTGGTGAAAATCTAGAAATACATAAATATTATACATCGAATGCCCAGTTGAGACACCCTCATTATTCCAGGGCTCATTCTTCAAAATCCATCTCCTCGACCCAACTTTCAACCTGGGAACAGGCATCCTCAGGCCGACGCTTGTGTTGCAAGAGAAAGCCCTGTATATCTGCAATACTGAATTGCTTCTCAGGAAGACATTCTGCAAAGCGCACAGCTAGCTCCGTCAACCTTGCTGCCTCTGTCTTTTGCTCATCTGGAGAAAATTGCGGATTCTGATGCACCTCGCTAAACATGCTCAAGAAGAGATCTCGCAGTTCCTCCCGAGACGGAAGCTCGAACTTGATGTGAACATCCACACGACCGGGCCGAATCAAGGCGCGGTCCAATTGCTGCGGTGCATTGGTGGTCATGATCAAGATCCGACCTTCTTGAGAAGAGACACCGTCGATGGCATTGAGAAGACCAGATAGGGACACGGAGGTATTCGTCTTGGTCGATCTTTGGATGAAATCTTCCCCAGGCTCTGTATCCCCCCTGTTCAACCCTGCGGCATCGACATCCTCCAAAAGGACCACGCACCGCGTAGGCACTTCAGAGAACAGTCGGGAGAAGTGTGATTCTGTCATTGATGGATCCAGCAGACTTAACACGTAGATATCCAGACCAAAAACACCCGCAATCGCAGATGCGAGGCTTGTTTTGCCCGTTCCCGGGGGTCCGGAGAAGAGATACCCACGTCGGTAGGGGATACCATGGTTGGCGTACCATTGCCTTGTATGAGGATGCAGGTACTCATTGATATCCCGGAGGATGGTTTGCTTCTTCTGTTTATCAAGGATGACAGTCGAGATATCTCTAGATAACCTCGAAGCAACCGAGCTCCAGCGAACGATATCCGGAGAAAAGGACGTAGTGCGGTAGATTGTGACATTAGACACGGACACTTTACGACCGTAGGCACGAACCTCGTCGAGGAACTTTTTGATAGGAGAAAGTGAGATACTGAGACATTGCAATTTCAAGGGGGGATTTGTATCCAGTTGTGGAGGACCAAAACAGCCGGGACCATTGGCTGCATGACTGAACAGCATCCACGTTTGTCGGAAGCGAAACAGACGAGATCCCCGAAATGGCTTTAACTCCAAAAATGAGTTATCCTCACTCTCTCGGTAGCTGATCAGCCTATCCGGGTCCAATTGCACTGAACATCGCAAGGGCTTCTCTGAATTGTTGTTTGTTTGCGCCAGCACCGAGAGGAAATTCCGACCCCGGAAGGCGTGATCGTTCATCCACCGAACGACATCTTCATAGAGCGGATCTTCGGCTCTCACATGCACCGTGGACAAACAAATGTTTTCGGCATAGGTGTATAACACATTTGCAGCCGAACGAAGGGAGGTGATGAGGCCAACCACCACCAGGCCAGAGTTCACAAAGACCAGAGGATCATGATTGAGTGTCTTGCGGACCAACTCCACCAGAGTGGATATTACACCAGAACGAGTCGACATGAACATTCTGGTGTCTGCATTTTGTTAGAGACATGGCCTTGCTCACCGCCCTTGCTGAGTGGATTGCCTGTTTGGGTCTAGCCAGTCACGTGCATCAAGGTCACTTTCTTGGCTGATTTGATAGATCTCTCTGGCATCGAGGCAAAGAAAATGCCATAGATATTTATACAATCTAAAATCACACTTTCCCTTCTATACATCTACACTTCTACACTTCGGTATATGTTCTCCGTACACATACTGCGTGCGAGAACAAAAAGACCCCACAAGCCGAGTCTCGGCATGTCGTCGAACTTTCTTCCCCATCGGGCAAGATACCACCATCAAATTACCCAATTGGGAATAACGTTCCGAAGTGCGGATAGATCGGGAATGGTGCCCGTCATCTAACCTTGGGACATTCTAGTGATTTTCTCGGTCTCGGCCTGTTCCTGGACGATGGACAATGTACAAAGATGTACATGCATCTTCTAAAGTTGAAACCTGCCGATCACAGATTCAGGCATATGGATCTGACAGGACTAGCTTCGTTAAACGTTCCTGCACAGATCAACAATGTATCAACATACTTGAGTACTTAAGTACCGAGGCCTGATTGTAGTCTATGTTCGAGCTGTATTTCCCTTTTCGTCCGGCAATTCGTTATCTATCCACTCAAAGTGGAAACTGCCCTGATTGCTAATACTCCCACAGATTGTAGGCAGAAAGCCGTGTAAAGGCCTCATATGAAACAGTTTACCCGGATATACTTCCGAGCTGTAGCAATCGATCCTGGAAGCCAATCAGACGGTATTCTAGAAGAGTCTGGTAGTTCTTTTGGGACTGATAGCTCCACTATGGAAACTCGGCGTACGTGTCGGCTTTCCTTATGTCTAGATCCTATTCATAGGGACCGGTGGATTAGCAGCGGATGCATTAATCCTAGTAATGAAGGAGAGAAAACCCACAACAGGGGAAGAATTACTGGATCTATAATCTATTCTACCGGATCTGAACCCGGCACACATCTTGCCCCCTTTGCACAATATGCCGCGACCTCCAGACTATAGTAGATATACTTAAGTAAAGCCTTCCCCCCTCGACCAGGGAGCTCTGTCAATATAAACTAATTTGCCTTGGGCCCCTCTCCACTCTAAGCCTCCGTAATGGAAAAACATCCAGACGAGGATTCCTCGCCATTTGAGTCTTCCTCCCACTACAAAAGCGAAGACGAACAAGATCAAAGCCAATTGCCCGTTCAAAGAATCCGCACCCAGGACTTCACCAGTGTCGAAACCCTCCATGTCCCACCCAACATTCGTGAATCGGTCAGCACCGAAACCCTAACTCCCCACGATGCCTCACCCAAAAAGAGCCCCGAATGGAGCATGACACCCCAAGTCATCCGGAATGCAGAGCGTGATGCCGCTGCTGGCTTCAAAAGACGTGAACTCGGCGTCACATGGAAGGACCTGACAGTGGAAGTTCTTGCTGCCGAAGCTGCCGTGAACGAAAACATGATCTCCCAATTCAACATCCCCCAATTAATCAAGGACTTCCGTCGGAAACCACCTGTCAAACCCATCCTGTCGGAAAGCCATGGCTGTGTCAAGCCCGGTGAAATGCTGCTGGTGCTTGGCCGTCCTGGTTCAGGATGTACCACCTTGCTCAAAATGCTGTCTAATCGTCGTGAAGGATATCATTCCGTGTCAGGAGACGTGCGATTTGGAAACATGACCGCCAAGGAAGCCGACAAATATCATGGCCAGATTGTCATGAACACCGAAGAAGAATTATTCTACCCTCGCTTGACAGTCGGTCAAACCATGGACTTCGCCACCAGAATGAAGGTCCCCTTCCATCTCCCAGAAGGCACTCAAAACGCCACCGACTACACGGCGGAAACAAAACAATTCCTTCTCGAGTCTATGGGCATTGCCCATACGGCCGATACAAAGGTTGGAAATGAATTTGTCCGTGGTGTGTCTGGTGGTGAGCGGAAACGAGTGTCGATTATTGAGTGTCTAGCGACTCGAGGATCTGTTTATTCTTGGGATAACAGTACTCGTGGTCTAGATGCCAGTACAGCATTGGAGTGGGCAAAGGCATTGCGTGCTATGACTGATGTCCTTGGTTTGTCTACCATTGTCACGCTATATCAAGCTGGAAATGGAATCTATAATCTATTCGACAAGGTCCTCGTTCTTGACGAGGGCAAGCAGATCTATTATGGACCTGCTGCGGCTGCAAAGCCTTTCATGGAGGATCTGGGATTTGTGTATACCGATGGTGCCAACGTTGGTGAGTTTTTCTCTCCTTCTCCCCTCTTGCTTTCTTTCCTACCTTTGAATCACAACCAATTGGAATAAATCATGAAACTAATAAGTGAATAGGCGACTTCCTCACTGGCTTGACTGTCCCTACCGAGAGAAAGATCAAACCCGGCTTCGAGCATAAATTCCCCCGAAACGCGGACGCAATTCTCGCCGAGTATCAAAAGTCAGGGACTTACCAGCAGATGGTAGCAGCCTATGACTACCCTGATACAGAGACCAGTCGTGAGCGCACCGACGCCTTCAAAGAGTCGGTTGCCTGGGAGAAGTCCAACCACCTTCCCAAGGGAAGCAGTCTGACCACCAGCTTCTGGGCCCAGGTCAACGCTTGTACCAAGCGACAATATCAGATCCTGTGGGGTGAGAAGTCCACCTTCTTGATCAAACAGGTTCTCTCGTGTGTGGCAGCCCTAATTGCAGGATCCTGCTTCTATAACTCCCCCGACACCTCGCAGGGTCTCTTCACCAAGGGAGGTGCTGTCTTCTTCTCGTTGTTGTATAACTGCATTGTGGCCATGTCTGAGGTCACTGAGTCGTTCAAGGGTCGCCCGGTCTTGATCAAACACAAGGGCTTTGCGATGTATCACCCTGCGGCATTTTGTCTCTCGCAGATTACAGCTGATTTCCCCGTCTTGTTGTTCCAATGCTCCATCTTCTCGGTTGTGATCTATTGGATGTCTGGACTGAAACACACCGCTGCTGCCTTCTTCACCTTTTGGATTATTTTGTTTACAACAACCTTGGTGAGTCTATTTCCTTTGCATACGGATCTGGCGCTAACTCTCGTGCTTAGTGTATTACCGCATTGTTCAGATTCATCGGTGCCGCATTCAGTAGCTTTGAAGCAGCCTCCAAGATCTCCGGAACGGCAGTCAAAGGTATTGTCATGTATGCCGGTTACATGATCCCAAAGCCAAAGATGAAGAATTGGTTCCTTGAACTATACTACACCAACCCCTTCGCCTATGCCTTCCAAGCCGCCATGTCTAACGAATTCCACGACCGCCACATTCCCTGCGTTGGGAACAATCTCATTCCCAGTGGCGCCGGCTACGAAGATGTGGGTTCAGCCAACAAGGCTTGTGCCGGCGTGGGTGGTGCTCTGCCGGGCGCCGACTTCGTGACTGGTGATCAGTATCTCGGATCTCTTCACTACAAGGCGAGTCAGATGTGGCGCAACTTTGGTGTTGTCTGGGGATGGTGGGCATTCTTTGCCGGATTGACCATCATATGCACCTGTTATTGGAAGGCTGGAGCTGGTTCTGGTGCTGCTCTTCTGATTCCCCGCGAGAAATTGAAGAACCACCAAGCTGTTCGATCCGATGAAGAAGCCCAGAGGGAGAAGACGACTGCCCATGAGACTACCGACGAGCCTGTTGAAGTTGATGACAATCTTTCCCGGAATACCTCTATCTTCACCTGGAGAAATCTTACCTACACTGTCAAGACTCCTACTGGTGATCGTGTGTTATTGGACAACATCAACGGATGGGTCAAGCCAGGCATGCTCGGTGCCCTGATGGGATCTTCAGGAGCAGGAAAAACAACTCTGCTTGACGTTCTCGCCCAGCGCAAGACAGACGGTACTATCAAGGGATCTATCATGGTCGATGGACGTGCTCTCCCCGTGTCATTCCAGAGAATGGCGGGTTATTGTGAACAATTGGATGTTCATGAGCCCTACGCCACTGTGAGAGAGGCACTCGAGTTCTCTGCTCTTCTGCGCCAGTCTCGCAATACCCCCCGAGCCGAGAAGTTGAAGTATGTTGACACTATTATCGATCTTCTCGAGCTTCATGACTTGGCGGATACCCTGATTGGTACCGTTGGTAATGGACTGAGTGTCGAGCAAAGAAAGCGTGTTACCATTGGTGTGGAGCTCGTGTCGAAGCCTAGCATTCTGATCTTTTTGGATGAGCCTACGTCTGGTTTGGATGGACAGTCGGCTTACAACACTGTCCGATTCCTTCGCAAGTTGGCTGACGTTGGCCAAGCAGTCTTGGTAAGTTTTTCCTCTTCTAATCATCTCATGCAATAGGACTGACTGTCTTCTAGGTCACCATTCATCAACCCTCGGCACAGCTTTTCGCTCAATTCGATACCTTGCTTCTCCTTGCCAAGGGTGGAAAGACGGTCTACTTCGGTGACATTGGCGACAATGCGGCTACGGTGAAGCAGTACTTTGGCCAATATGGAGCTCAATGTCCCACTGATGCCAACGCGGCTGAATTCATGATCGACGTGGTTACTGGCGGTATCGAGTCTGTGAAAGACAAGGACTGGCACCAGATCTGGCTCGACTCCCCGGAACAGACTCGCATGATCACGGATTTGGACAACATGATCTCTGATGCTGCCGCCAAGCCACCCGGCACAGTTGACGATGGATTCGAGTTCTCGATGCCCCTCTGGGAACAGACCAAGATCGTCACTCACCGTATGAATGTGGCACTCTTCCGCAACACCAACTATGTCAACAACAAGTTCTCCCTTCATATCATCTCGGCCCTTCTCAATGGTTTCTCCTTCTGGCGTCCCGGTCCCAGTGTAACCGCATTGAACCTGAAAATGTTCACGATCTTCAACTTCGTCTTCGTCGCCCCCGGTGTCATCAACCAGCTCCAGCCTTTATTCATCCAGCGCCGTGATATCTACGACACCCGCGAGAAGAAATCCAAGATGTATTCCTGGGTCGCCTTTGTCACTGGCCTCATCGTTTCTGAATTCCCCTACCTCTGCATCTGCGCCGTCCTCTACTTCGCCTGCTGGTACTACCCCGTCTGGCGACTCCCCCACGACTCCGACCGATCAGGAGCCATTTTCTTTATCATGTTGATCTACGAGCTGATCTACACGGGTATCGGCCAATTCATCGCCGCCTACTCGCCCAACCCCACCTTCGCCGCCCTAGTCAACCCCCTCATCATCAGTATCCTAGTCCTCTTCTGCGGCGTGTTCGTCCCTTACGAGCAATTGAGCGTCTTCTGGCGATTCTGGATGTACTACCTCAACCCATTCAACTACGTTGTCTCAGGCATGTTGACATTCGGTATCTGGGGTGCCAAGGTAACCTGCAACGAGGGTGAATTCGCCCTCTTCGACCCGACCAATGGTACCTGTGCCGAGTACCTGTCTGATTATATTGCTGGCGATGGTTGGAGAATCAACCTCCTCAACCCAGAGGCTACCTCTGCTTGCAAGGTCTGTCCCTATCGGGATGGCAGTGACTTCCTTTCCACTCTCCACATTGATCATTACTATGTCGGCTGGAGAGATGCGGGTATTTCAGTCATCTTCGCTATTAGTGGATACGCTTTGGTGTTTGGCTTGATGAAGCTGAGGACTAAGGCTTCCAAGAAGGCTGAGTAGTTCGCTCTGCTTCATTTCATCTGGCTTTGTTTCAAAGCTGAATCTCTTACATTCTCTTGTATATTTTGACTGTTTTGACTATTTTCACTGTTTCGATCCTTTGACCATTTCATAGAGTTGCATTTGCATTTTGTTTCTGTCATTGCCGGCGTCTTTTATACTTCATACTTCATTTTTATAGATTCTATAGATTTCTCACATAGACTCGAATCCACAAACTTGATACAATTTAACAGCTCCTATTCTATTTCATCACGATCAATTGAAACTAATTGAAACCATTGAAACAGAACAATTGACCTGAGTCACCTTAATAAGCACAGAGCCGCAGGGCTGAAACACGGGGGCCGGGGGCCATTATGTGTCAAGAGGGGAACCCCTTCTTCTGTTTTCTCCTTTCGCAACACTTTTTGGTTTGTCATTTGTTGGCTTTTCGCTTTTCGCTGTTGGATTTGGCTTTGAGCTCTGCATTGTGCTTGTCCTGTCTTGTCTTTGCTTGTGCCTTGATTGTCTCTACTTACTACCATCTACCCCAACAACCCCACCTGGGTTGCGTCACATCATGCAAAACATGTCGAGGCGATTCGGTCGAATGACAACAAAGTCATCGGCCAACGACAGTCAGATTGCCGTGTTAATGAAAGATTTCGACGATGCAGATCTCCTATTAGGCAAGGTAGGCAGCCAAGATACGACGCGCGTCGCAAGGAACTAACATACTAGATCGTGGAATCAACACAAGCCTGGCGCGATGCCTGGATTTCGATCGCAACATACCAAAGTCGCATGCTGGACGAATTCGACGGCCTATACGGACCCATCATCGGCTCCTCTGAGACACCTTCTAATCACCAGGCTGTGGAAACAGATGCTGTCCGCCTGGGACGAACGAACCGTCTCCGCAAGGAATATGACGAGCTGCGGACCGATTTGGTCGAGGAGCTGGGTGCAGTGGAACTGCGGATGACGCAGCCGGCGGCACGGGCGAAGGAATCTCTGGCGCCGATGAAGAAGACTATTAAGAAGCGGAATAATAAGAAGGTAGGAGGATTTGCGATCGGGGGTAGGCTCTTGCTAATGGGTTGCAGACCGACTTTGAGATCTCCCAGGGTCGTGTGGACAGTCTGCTGAAGAAGCCGAAGCGTTCGGAGCGAGAGAATGTCAATCTGGCCAAAGCTGAAGCGGAATTGGCTACGGCGAAAGAGGTTTGTATTACTGGCCTTATTGTGGAGTTCTCTTCTAATGGTGAACAGATCTATCAAGCTGCCGATGCCGATTTACGGGACCGACTTCCTACATTGGTGGCATTGATCTTTTCTTTGACGCCCTATATCCTCGAGGCGCAGGTGGAAATCCAGAATCGCATGTTGGCGCACTATTATACGGTTCTACACACCTTCTGCGACGAGGAGGGATTCCCTTCTCCCCCACCAGACATGGAACAAATCGTCTACGATTTCGAATTCGCCTTCAACCCGGTGCGAAGCGAGATCGAAGACTTTGGCTGTCTCGACCAAGGCAAAGCCCTGCGTCGTGCCGCTGAAGCCCAAGAGAATAAAAAGCGACCCTCGATCGGTGAAAAACGACCTTCTATCGGTGGGCGCACCGCCAGCAACGCCTCATCCATTTCCCTCCCCAGCTCCCTTCGCCGGGGCTCACAAACCCCTGCATCCAACCAGACGCCCATCTCATGTGTACCTGAATACCCGCCTTCGCCACCCCTGTCTGTGGCCAGTAAACAGGCCATTCCCGTGGGCAACGCGGGGATTTCCCCACCAGCCTCCACTGGTGGAGACTATTTCACTCCAATGATATCCCCTGCCCCTGCCGCTGCTCCTGCTGGGGTGATGTCTTTCTCCCCCGCGGGGCCCAAGATCGACCATTTCCAATCCACTGCTTCCCCTCGGGGTACGCCGTTTGACGTTGCTGCCGCTGGTAAGAAGAAGCCCCCACCTCCACCGGTGCGGGCCGTCTTTGTCACTGCCCTGTATGACTTTGATGGCCAGGGGACGGGGGATCTGGTCTTCCGTGAGGGAGATCGGATTCGTGTGGTGCAGAAGACGGATAGTACAGATGACTGGTGGCAGGGCGAGTTGCGGGGGGTTAAGGGGCCTTTCCCTGCTAATTATGTGGAGTGAATGCAATAGTTAACCTGGAAGGGACTAGTAATGAGTAATGAATTAGGGTTAGATATGGAATTATTTGATTGTGACCTACTTGACTATAACCTATACTATTCTCTACTACTTAAATACTATACTTCTACTTAACTCTTCACTCAGCTATTCGGCCTTTATCAGTTGGACCCGCATAGTATCCCAATTAGGCAAGTCCATCCGTAGTAGATAATGCCTTTGGATACTCCCTCTGAACTCCCCTCTTCCTCTCTCCCCCTCTCTCTCCAACAAATTGCCATTCTCTTATTCTAAACGCAATCATGCCCACACTATCCCCCGAACTAGCTACCTCCATCGCCGACTCTGTCGCGCAAGGATTCAAAGACCAACTCGCCTACACCCAACAACTAGTCCGCACCGGCGGCCAACGAGGCGAAGAACACGCCGTCCAAAAAATAGTCTACGACAACTTCCACTCACGAGGCTACAAAACAACCCAACTAGAAATGCAACAGCAACTCCTATCCCAACACGAAGGCTCCGGCAAATTCAGCGCCGAGCACTCCCAAGCCCCAAACGTGATAGGCATACACGAACCCAAAGCGCAAGCACAAGGTAAAAGCCTAATTCTCAACGCGCACATCGACATAGTCCCCACAGGACCAGTGGATCTCTGGACGCGCAACCCCTACAGCGGTGATATCGAAGGTGATCGACTCTACGGCCGAGGCGGGGCAGATATGCGAGCTGGCAGTGCAGCGAATCTGTATGCATTGGATGCACTGAGACGATTAGGACTGCAGCCTGCATCACGGGTGATTTTGGAATCAGTCGTTGAGGAGGAGTCGACTGGGAATGGGACGCTGATGACGCATTTGGCGGGGTATAGGGCTGATGCGGTGATTATCCCCGAGCCTATGGATGAGAAGCTTGTGCGGGCCAATACGGGGGTATTGTGGTTTCAGGTTGAGGTGAAGGGGATTCCAGTTCATGTTAGGGATATGTCTACAGGGACGAATGCGATTGATGCCTGTTGGAGGGTTGTGGGGGGATTGAGGGAGTTGGAGAAGGAGTGGAATGGGAAGAAGATTGGGAATATTTATTTTGAGAATGAGGGGCATCCATTGAGTATGTGTGATCTTGTTTGAATTTTTGGATTTTGGCTAATTTCGCAGATTTGAATGTCGCCAAGATCAATGCTGGGGATTGGGCTTCGTCGGTTCCATCCTGGTGTCGGATTGATTGTCGGATTGCTATTTTCCCTGGTGTTAGTGCGAAGTCGGCGGCGGAGGAGATCGAGGCTAAGGTGAATGAAGTTGCTTGCAATGATGCGTTCTTGAGCCAGAATATGCCTACGGTGACTTGGAATGGGTTCTTCTCGGAGGGATACATTCTTGAACCGGGAAGTGAGGCTGAGAAGACTTTGCAGTGGGCTCATCAGCAAGCTACTGGAAAGGAGCTGCAGTCTTTCACTACTGCCGCTTATCTTGACACTCGCGTTCATTCCTTGTACGGCAAGATTCCTGCACTGTGCTACGGGCCGATCAGCAGTAACATTCACGGGTTTGATGAGTGGGTGAGCATCAGCAGTCTGCAGCGGGTGACGACTGCTATTGCATTGTACATAGCCGAGTGGTGTGGAGTGGAAGCTGTGTAGATTCTGATGTTCCAAGGTTACAAGCACATATAGCATTGTCTGAATCAGCATTTAACTATTTATGAACTATTTCTGAAGTCAGACACTGGGGTACAGTTATTTCTGTCGGTTTGTAGAGCCAACCAGGTCTGCATACTTCAATGTGTTCATTGTAGCTGCATACTGATCTGCTGCCGGCGAAACAGTCACGATGATTGACGACTGAGAATCAGTGGATGCTTCAAAATGCTGACGCAACACCATAGTCAATGGAGAAGATCTATATGGAATCCGCGTTTGACCAAGAGATCGGGCCCGGATAACTTCTTTCAACGCAAGAAGATCCGTATTGATTTGCTTCCCCTGCTGTTTCTCCTGGGGTGATTGCTTGAGCCCTGCAGCCATCCCAAGGAATTCAGCCCCAGCCAAATCCACAAAAACAAGTCTTCCACCAACACAAGAATGAATTTGAGCAATCTCAGCAAAGACTTTAGCTTCAAACTTCTCTGCCTCTTCCACACGAAGCTCAACCCCAGCCTTTTTAGCCTCCGCAGCATCCACACGCTCTTGATCCACCACATAATCCGGATTAGGAACATATTTCCCATCTTCCATCTTCACAGCCCTCAGCTGTTCCTCAATATAAACATCCGTAGCATATTTTCCAACAGGAACCAACTCAGACTGCCTCTCAACCACACAATCACGGGCACAGAGAAGATCGGCAGTAACAATCTCCATTTCAATAATCGCATGCGTGCGCGAACTTTGATCATGGACCGTCGACCTCGCAGTCTGTCGATGTTTCAGACCTCCCCTTAGCTCGCTCAATAGATTTTCAAAACTCCAACAAGCTTTCGTAGCAATTGGCCGAACTCTGACTTTCCCATTCTCCAGGATCTCCGTCTCGCCTCGGATATGAACACGACCATCAGAGCCTTCACGGACAAAACATTCAGTCCTACCATTCAAAAGATCAAATGCGCTATTTTTACGCATTTCGTACATCCGCAGACCAATGCCGAATTGAATATCCGTGATTTCAGTCAATGCAGTAACCAGCTGACGTGCCGCTGCTAGACAAAGACCGTATTCGGCATCATTTTCGAAATCGTATCCAATCATTGTATGTGTTTTCCCACTTCCTGAATGGCCGTATGCGAAGAAATTGCTGCATTGGCCGCGTAGCACGTCGGGAATGATTGGTGCTACTAGGCCATTGTATACAATGTCGTTGGTTTCGTTTGGTTCGATGATTCCGTTGAATGTGTGTCTGCTTTTCCAGGACTTCTCACGGGCTGGTAGTTGGGTTTGGGCGGTGATTGAGATCTGATGCTGGCTTTGGTTGGAGTTGGATTCGCGTGTGATTTCTTCGTTTGGGGATTCTGTGGATTTGAGAGGGCGCCATCTTGCCCAGACTTTGAGGGTCATTCTGGCTGGTTGATGGAGAAAAGAGAAGAGAATATGGAGGGGAGAAGATGAAGAGAACACAGTCGGAATAAATGGGGTTGAGGTCGAGAATAATCAAATGCACTCAGAAGTCAATGGAGACATGGAGAGGATAGTTCTGATTGGTCCAGGGAAGCATTGTGCAAAATGGGGCCACTCGTAAACACCCAAAATGGGATTAGTGCATGCAGTAACCATGGATCCATATACGGACCCAAGTCTACCCCATTTCCTGATCATCAAGCTTGGAAATCTACAGCTTGTACTTATAGCACAATATATACTTTGAAATGCTCGTTGTCTACGAATATACTTACCTCGCCTACTGCTATAATGCTCCCAAGGTCTTTCTGGTGTAGCATTTTCCAGGAAACCGAAAATTGTAATATTTCAATCAACCAAGACAGTGAAAGATATTTCTTGACTATACAAGATTGAGGAGAAGAGAAATCGAAACGATCGGCAAGGAGAGAGAGGATGAAGAAGCAACCTCACGTTCCTGATATCGTGTGTCAAGACTGTGAGTACAACGTAAATGCCATTCGAGGGCTATGACAGTGTGACCATAAAATGACGTGGCGGATGCTCAGGGCTCCCTGTCATAGGTATGTTCTTCTGTAAAAGTGTTACACTTAGCACATAGCCAATCTCTCTGGTCCTCACTGTCTGGCCGCCTTTCTGTCTATCAAATTGAGCAGAAATATTGAAATCCTTCTCACTGAAATCCACAGCCCAGTCACTACCGGCTCCGTTGCCGACAAGTTTATCAAATTGAACAGAGCCCACATGAGGATCCAGTCTTGCGACTTCCACCAAAGCAGCCCGGAAAGAACCCATTTTTCCCTGGGCGTGTTCTTCGGGACTTAGATTCACTCCTGAAGAGGTAGACTTTAACAAAGAGCTCGTAGTTTTCAGGATAAAACTTACCCTTGTGGTAGAAGGCTTGGCTGTAAGGTGTTTGATACTGCACCTCAGACATGATGTTGACTTAGGATGAGAAATAGCTCGGAGGTAATTTGTCTGGTAGTCATTACTTGGTGTCTCTTTTCCTTTAGTGAGACTAAGGAAGCACCCATTCAATGACAGAGGAAGGGTATCTTCAGAGATCGAATTGTTCCCGTCCACAGGTATGACGTGTAATGACAAAGTAACCAGTACAGTCTCATCCTGCTCACTGACGAAGTAGTGACGAGTATAGATCGCCACAGTAAATAGTAATGGTAAAATCTATACAATTGCTTCCGGCCAAGGGAAAGGGAAAGCGCTCGATACTGTGGTCGGATCTGGTAGAAAGAGTTCTAGAAAGAGATCAAGAGAGAGCTCAAGAGAGAGCTCAAGAAACGCCTATCGCGCACGGGTGGTATCCTTCACCGAGCATACACCGAGGGTAGACCGATCTTACTGTTACAGAAGAAGGCCAAGGCAGAAGAACTTTAGAAGATGATATTGATACGTAACATGCAGGGTCACATTCAGCAATGTTCATGTCCATATCTTCAGGTCCCGCCCACTGTGAGCTTCTGCTGAGGTTTCTTTCGAGTGAGTTTCCCAACTTCAAGAAACCGTCTTAGCCAACCCCGAAATGTATCGGTATGTGTTTCACGTCGTATCGATATCTCATATGTGCGGTGGTGTGGACGATAGAGTTTCCAACATCCGCGTATAGCTAGCATGTCATAGGGGAGCTCAACTGCCTTGAACAGGCTCCAGGGCTGTCGCAGATTCAGCCCGAAGAGAAGCTGACGAGGAATAAGCCCAGTCGCAGACTTTGTGGTGGAAGAGAGTGCCATTTGGACACCTAGGTAAATGGCAGCGCCTCTGGCCAGTCGTTTTTCCGGTGTGTTGCCGCCCACTGGCGGGGTGTGATCTCTCTCTGGTTGGCTCGTTCGGACTGGCCGTCGATTTGGGATTATGCGGCTGTGGATAACAGCAGATGCAGGTTGAATTTGAAGAGTTCACCGCGGAAGCAGCTCGTGAACATAGGATCCCGGTGCGAGACAATTGCCGAAGGCAATTCTCAGCTGCCTTGTCAGAGAGCCTTGAGAAATTCGTCCGCCCACCTCTCCCCCGCCCACGGTACACCAATTGTCATTTCATCGACGGCTAGATTTGCAGTACGGGTTCATCAACATGGCCCGAGCTACGCAATAAACGTCTCTCCGCAGTCTGGATGTTCATTTGCGTCACAAATGAGATCACAACTTGGAGTGATAGACAGTGCCCTTTCGATTTGTCTTGAAGGCTATTGAGATAAATATACTCCGGGCGCCGCCTGGGCAATTAGATATATAGAAACGCAAAAAGATCCCCCCCCCCCCCACAAAGATCTCCCACCGCACAACCCTACTTTTCGACGGCCCTGTCAGGTGCAGAAGACCCAGGATCTCATCAAATGTATATGTCGGGGATAGCAATTGGGCATATGTGATAAGCCTACAGGCGAGAGAACGAAAGAAGAAGACTGACTGATCGATTCACTGCGGGAAGAGAAGGAAGGAAGAAGGAGAGAGAGGCTCGAGAGCGAGGGTCTATCTACAAACAGCAAACGAGGGTTGAGACGAACTTCTCTCTCAACAATATGCAAAGACATATCGTCCAGATGACAGCTTGTTTGTGAAAAATCCTGTGATCCGAACGATTTTCTGCGCTGCTGTACGAACAACGGCACCGGAATTCAGAGTTACACGTTGCAATTGCGTTCTGCTTATGGTTAGACATTGCACTTTCAAGCTGGAGGTTATGTTTTGATTTATCTAATTCACCTGTGCAGATATGAAATCTTGTTAAATCAATATATAAACTGTATTCTAGGCAAGGAGAAGTTAGGCATATTATATTCTTTACCATATGCTTGTCGTAGGAGTTGGATAAAGCAGTGATTGATAGACATTTTGGATAGCTGCAAAGCGATATTCAACTGCCATAATATCTTGGTGGTACACTTAGACCAAAGCTTGATATCCAAGAAAAGCGAAATAGCTCGCTCATAGCCTAACATATTGCTCTCAGAATTATTTCCAACAAACGCCAGATTGGAAAGGTTTGAAAACACCGTTGGATATTCATCGGCTGCCTGTTGAATCACCCGAGTAGCCCCAGGGTCATCATGCTCGTATGCGGCTTCTAAGTACAGTCGGAGCGTGCGGCGAAAACATTCCTCTTGTAGTAAGGTACGTTCTACACCACGGCCGTTGCTTTTGGCAACGAGGGACTTGAAGAATCTGAAACTAGCAGTCAGTATCGTATCACTGTAAGATATCTGGGTATATCTGTAGCTTACCTGTGCTTGTCCTCGCCGGCGAGCATATTGCTGTTCCATGCCACCACTTCGCAGCCCTTGTCTAGAGCCCTTTTTGTTTTTGGGTGGTGGGGGTGGTGGGGGTGGGCCCTCTCCGTTGTCCCCATTTCCCTCTCCGTTGTCCCCATTTCCCCCTCCGTTGTCCCCATTGCCCTCCCCGCTGCCCCCGTTGTCCCCGCTGCCCCCGTTGCCCCCGACATTTCCTCCAGTTGCAGCGCCTGGTGGCGCCTTGTACCAATCCCAAATCTGGATGACTGACCAGAGGGACGCCGGCACAGCCAGCACGAACATAGCAGCCGCAAATGCGACTGTTATCCAGGGGGCTATTCCCGAGGAGCCTTTCAAAAATAGCTGGTTAGTATCTAATATACCAGGTCCCCCTTTGATTACTCCTTACTTGGCTGGAAACTCTGGCAGAGTCTCCCGAGTTTTTCCATGTCAATGTGCCAGTATCCGTCTGCGTCAGGACGGGAAAGAGGCTTGGTCAGGTGGCGACGCCTGAAGAGCCTTTTAAAAAGCCTGTTAGAATCCCACTGAAATATCTGCATACTTGCACTGAAGACAACTTACAAAGAAAGGTAAGAGGAAGTAAGTAGATGAAGAACATAGGTGAAGGAGGTAGGCGAGGAGAAGAATTTGGACGTTGGTCATCGCCTGGTGCAGGCTTTGCCCGGTTCTGAGTTGCATATTTTGAGAGGAGCTGACACTTGAGCAGAATGTAGCAGGAGTCCAGTAGGAAAAATGTTTCTTCAATATCCGTTGAAAGAAGTGAGAGTTGTTGAGGAGAAACTGAGTTGAGTCTGGCGCCTACCTTTTTCGTCGAAACCGCACGGCAGGAGCAACTTCGAATTACATTATGATCGCATTAGAATTACAATTACTTTGAATTTGAATTATAATGTATAGATGTTACATGTTACATGTTATGTAGGATGTATAGAGTAGGTAAACTCTGTGTAAAGGGTCGTCATCATTAGCCCTACTTCAACTCCTTGTATCTCTTTCTTTTTCTCACACTTGCATAGAACCCCTGCAAAATACTTCAGCACACACGTACACCAGTTGTTAGACGAAGTTATCGATATGACGACGCTCGCCTAACTTGCTCCAGAGTTATTGTTGATAATATCGGACTTTCTTCCACTTGTCGATCTCTGTTGTTTTTCTGTTTGCAATATTCGACATTATTGCTTGCTTTCATGGAAAATAAATCCGCGGCTGCCTCTCACACCGACCCAGAAACTGTTGTTATCAACCCGGTTAGCACAAGATACACCATCATACTTCGCATGCACTCGTTGCAATTTGCTCCATCGCTACGATGGATCCGAAAGCTTCGGGCTTAGTGGCTACGCCCGGGAAAGAACCTGTCGACTCCCCTGTGTCCAAACTTGGTTTTCGACAAGGGATACTCTAGTTTTTCATCGATTGGACGCTCTCTGTGTTAAAGAGCTGTCTTTTCTCCACTTATACCTTGCTATGAGAAGGTTCTATCATGGCCCCCAATGTGGAATCAGCACCGATTCTTTGTCACATACACAAGTCTTCGAACATCGTGTACGGGCTACCGCGAACAAGGTGACTTGGCTATTTTCCCGGGATGCACAAATATGCACCGAGCCTCTCGGCCTTTATCTCAGGTTACAGGATATACTGCTTTCTCCAGAATGGTGCGATTTGATTAGCATGGTCTATGATGGAAACGTGAATCCATTGGCAACATGTGCCCACCGTGATAAGGAAGTTCTCCAAGCAGTGACACCCGAACTGTGGTCGCTCGAAAACAAAGAGAAGAACATCACGAAAGCAGATGGCTTTATCGTGTCGTGCTGTGTCTGTAACACAGCCTGCGAGATCGATCTCTGTGAAATCGACGACAAAAAATCTATAGTTATGACAAGATGGTTTAATTTAGGACCTGGTCTAGACGAAACGGACATGATATGGAAGACTAAAACCAATTCGAGTTATGAAGCCATCGCATACCTCGGATTTGACCAAGACTACCCCGTTGAACAATGCCCCAAGACTCGGTACGAAGAGACCGCACCTCAATCATTTGAGAACCTCCTCTTTCACAATCTTTCGTATCTCAGAGACAAGCAGTACAAAAAGGTCATGCGTTATGCATGGGAACGGAAAACCTGGTACGATCCATTCAGAGAACCCTCTAACGACAAAATCGTCAATTTTGGGCGGTCCTTGCAGGCCATTTTTGGATGGTTTCCAAATCCAACATTCAATTAGAAGCCGTCACCTTTGACTCGATGCCTCAACTCTGGAAGAGCCCCTAGCTACTTGAATGCATGGGATTGCAATGCTACGATCAATTGATAGATTTGCTAGGCTGGAATTTACCAGGAGCATAGTTTGCCCCAGAATCCTTTTATGCTTCTGATCGCTAGAATTTTCTCAAGACGATATCTTAGCAGCATTTTCCGATGAAGATGAGCATCTGGCAAAGACCTAGATTGGCAAATCTTCAATACTTCTGTCCCAGTTCAAGTCCAAGAGCCAAGCCATACCATCAAGCGTCACTTCTTTGATCTGGCGGCTATGGCTGGCCGGCCAAGGAGGAGAGACCCAAGCAGTGTGACTTTCACCCTGGAGAATAGAGGTTCTGACTTGTACATTTCCAAGCTTAGAAAGCCATCTGCTATAGATAATAGCGTCATCCCGAAACTGATCAAATTCCCCACCATAAATGAAAACCTTGGGCGGGTGGCATTCAAGAGTCCGACCAGAGAAGCCCAGGTTGATCGTGGAAAACCAAGGCGAGTGCACATCCAGACGGGCCTCCAGATCATGACGCAGTGCATTATTCGTGGCCTTGTCTTCCATCGCCACATCTCTGGACGTGAAGATTTCCTGATACTCCACTGGAAGCATAGCTTCCGTGACCAAAAATGGAAGGCCCGAAAAGATTCCGGTAATGGGACTCTGGAGAGGAGGTAGTCCTGCGAAATCCTCCATCTCAGCTAATATGGCACCCGAAATACTTCCAATGACAGCTGCTACAGCGCCGCCTGAGCTGAGACCCCCGACTACCAACCCACGACGTGGATCCACGCTGACCCCGGTATTCCGCAGCACTCCCTCGTTCAAATTCTGGGCCTCGGACATCCACGCACAAACTTCCCAGGCCATGCGTACGGGCTCTGGAAATGGGCTCATGGGTAGTTGATTGATAGATGGACAGGCCACCACACAAGACAAGAGAGTCGCAAATCCACGGGCTGGTGCTAGGACCAGGTCAGGGCTGCATGTCGAGAGACCGCCGCCGTGGAAATAGATGACTAGGGGGCACTGGAGGGGTGATTCATTCGATGACCGGGGCCAGACTATTTTGGTTCGATTGGATTGGTTCTTGGGTAATGGGATGTCGATCCATTCTTCGCCGAGGTGAGGTGGACATGGACCCAGAAGTTCGAGGCCGGCAGCCTCCAATTCGGCCATGCTTGAGCGTTGCTCATGCATGAATAGGGGCTCGTGACATGTCATTATCAAGGACAAGGTACTTATTGTATGAAAATGCGTTCGAAGTCTGATAATATGAGTAGTGAGATAATGAGAAAGACCGGGGATCTGAGATAAATTAGCACAGGGGAAATGCTCCTTTTATATTCAAAAGCAAAATCAAACAAAATCAACAACTCAAACTCAAGCGAAATTGAGAACTTGATGTGGTAAAATACGATCTTCTATGCGGAGCCTAGGGCACTTCGTAAAACACCCGAAGCGGTTTAGTGCGATTTTCGACTCGGATTCTCCATCTTCGGAGGAAAATTGTCAAAAGAGAAAATATTGCGCGACAGCACATTTTCTACCTCCACACCAATTAGCGTCAACTGGCCAATGTCACTTGGTCTGAAACAATGATAATCCGCTCCGTCGACCTAATTGGGGTGGAAGAGCTTCGGCACGAAGAATATGGCAGATTTCACTGGAGCGCCACATACTTCACGAATGTAAGTTCAAATAAATTTGACATAAATCAGGGCTGATATCTATAGACCAAACTCAAATGTGAACCCAATAAGGCCAAAATCGACGCGCAGGAGTATTCTCAAGACGCGCACAGGCTGCATCACCTGCAAGGCGCGTCATATCAAATGCGATGAGACAAGGCCACACTGCCATAATTGTCTCCGGAGCCGGGGATACTGTGCGGGCTATGCCAATGCAAAGAAAGCATCGGGACCAGTCCAAATATGCTGGGACTCCAAGCAGAATGTTCATCGCGCTGTTCCAAAGATGAACCCGCAGGAGGTGCGTGCGAATGATTTCCATGACTCCATGGGTATGCGGTACTTTGAAGAATTCGTGGGTCTAGTACGAGGTCCGTGGATTTTGGCAGTATCCAACGTAGAATTGTGGCAAGTGAGCCTGCCGCAGCTTGCTCGCAGCAATCAGACACTCCGGTGTATCGCCATAGGGATAGGCGCACTTAGTGTTTGCCCTCATCAAGTTGACGGGTCAAATACCAACAAGCGACCAATGCTTTGTCGCTCGAGATCTGAGAATGATTCGCATTATCAGAATGCTGTGGGATATTACTGCTGGGCCCTGAAGCTTCTGAGGGAAAATACGGTTGTTCAAGATGTGGTCTCTAGCTCAGTTCTGCTACTATTCTTCGAGCTTCTCCGAGGCAATATGAAGACTGCGCTGGATCACCTCAATCACGGCCTATCACTAATGCTGACTCTGTTAACGGATGATGCGGACAACTATCTACATGCTGTGGCGCCGAACCCGAAGCCTTTTTTCGCGTCAATTACCGGCATATTTACACTCCTTGCACCACAGGCCCGCTTCGTTCTCCCCGGGTCCGTAGGTCAAGAACGACCGCTTCCTAATTTCGTCACAGGTCTTGAAGGTAAGGGCATGACAATGGATTCGTTTATAGTCAAGCTGGGCCAGCTATCACGGCAATCTGTGATCAATGACTGCTCATCTGCGTTTGACAGCCTTGGGGAATTTGAGGAGCATTTGGGGCATGTTCGGAGAAGCAATTCTGCAGTCGGCCCAATGGCGGTCGAAATCATACAAAACTCGGGAGTCCTGGGCTCCACAAAAGGAGACGCCATCGATGCTGTATATTGCAATCTTCTTGACAACCCACAGATCAAAGAGTTCTGTGAGCACTCGAGGAAAGCCATGCATACCTTGAGCGATGCATCACTTCCGCTATTTGACAGAATATTCATGTCCGACAGTCAGTCCCCGTTGTACCTCAAAGCCATTCATCTTCGGCTGCAATTTCTCCAGGTCTACGCTTTCGAAAATCCACCACAATACCTCAACATGGAGATTCTATCCTTGCAAACCCCATTATTTCGTGAATACTTGAGTCTAGCAAGGATTGCATTGAAGACTGCCGAGCAGAAAGTCTCAAACTTTCCCTGCCACATCTCACTAGAATGTGCAATCGCATGGCATCTGCTACTCATCGCTTTCTTCTGTCGTGACCCATTAACTCGCGAGGAATCTGTACAGATGCTAAGTGATTATCCATGCCAAGACGGACTATGGAACGTCCAATCTCTCTATATCCTGGCTCTAAAGAGTCAAGATGTGGAACGAAAGAATGCCACCGAAGGCACATCTACAGAGCAGTGGCAAAGACTTTGGCGCCGTGAGTATGTTTTCGAAGACGGCGGCAATCGAGTTGTTTTTCGCTACCAAGATCGAGACGACGACACAGGGGATTGGCGGACGGTGGAGGAATTCACCGTGGCAAGCGAAATCGATACCATAATTTGGACCAGGCGACCTCTCACGGGCTTTGGCGCTTTGACTATGGGAGATTTGGTGCCTCAGCAGACTGGCCCTTGAGCCCATTGCCCGCCGTTTCTTTCCCTTTCGCCAACTGGCGGAGGGGTGGTCACTCGGGGCGTCAACTGGCAACCTCACGTCAACTGGCCAGCGGATCTTCTCTGTCACTCGATTCCATAGATTCAGCCAGGCCTCTTGTTCTCTGTAGTCCATTCGCCCTTCACCAGTCCCTTGGAAATTTATACAACTGCCAACCGTGGACTCCTGTGATGTTTTCCCATCACGAGGTTTGCTGTGTTTGCAATGTTTGCATTGCTTCACAGCCCTGGAGCCTCTCTCTTCTTCCTACGCGTCCTACATCTTGAATAATTTCATGTCTCCAAAAAAGATTGCACTCTCCATTTTCTCTTGCTATTAGAATTTGGCATGCCACATTAAGGATGAATCTCGGAAAAGTCATTTGAGGTGAAAAATGGATGAGCGAGAAGCGGAGTTCACTGATCGATCATATAGGGCAGCAACTTCTCTGCCAATATTCCGTACTCCTTAACTAAAACCTAGGAAACATTTTTTGTCCTTCTGTACCGGAGTACATCAATCTGGGATTGGATAGCAGACAGGACTTTGCCTGCAGGGATCATCATTGTGGTGGGGAACAACTGGGCGCCCCCTGCCAATGATCTTTCAAGGCTCCTCATGTCGCCCCCTGCTACGCTAGGTGTCTAGCACCCGGGCTGAGCTCTGAGGGCTGAGCCTTGAGGGCCGCTGGGGGTTCACCATCGCAATCTTCTGCCCCCGTGAACTGACTGACATCCATTCAGAATTTCTACATTACTCTTCAAGTAAAGATCTTGACACGACAGAATCTTGCAAATATCCAACATGAGCGCGTGGCAGAGCGCGTGCGACAATTTGAGCCCGGATATCAAACAACATCTCATCAGTGTTCAAAACGAGAAAATTGACGTCCTGCATGCACTGCTGAACGAAGCTCGTCGGAAGAAAGAGATATGCTTGCAGAAGAGATGGAGAGTCAGTCTCAACGAAAGAATTATCATTCTCCGAGACATGATTGACAAGATCATTGAATGGGTCAATAGATTCAAAGTCATTGGTGATGTTGCTGTTCAGTTTGACCCAGCGCCTGCTTCACTGGCGTGGGCTGGTGTGCGATTCTTGCTTGCAGTGAGCCAAAGAGAAGACGAACACCCCAAGAAAGTTTAGTATTGACTCTTTGGGATATTTGACAGGTCTCAGTGAGCGACAACGCCTGTTTCGAATCTACAATCAACGGACTGGAGTCTGTTGCCCGATTGATCTCTCGTTACGCTAGCTTCGAGGCACTTTATCTGAAAAAGGGCACTTCGATGTATCCAGAGCTACAAAGCATGCTGGCTACTCTTTACACCCAAGTGTTGCATTTCCTAGCAAATGGGATCAAATACTTCAGCCAGTCTACTGCCAGTAAGTGAATTGGAGTCAAGCGAATGCAAGCGTTGACGTGATACTAGCTCGCCTCATAAAGAATATCTTCCAGACCTCGCAGGGTGAGGAACTCAGACGTATCGCAGAGACAAACGTCGAGATGGAAAGGTTGGCCCGCATGTCGGACACAGAAACTCACCAGGAAAACCAGAGTGATCTACGCGCGACGAAATCTTTGACCGAGTCCTTGCTTGCTCCAATCAACCGCCTCGTTGATGCATCCGTGGTATATGCTAGGGTCATGGAAGAGGAACGATTTCAGCAGTTCTTGTCCTGGCTATCGTGCGTACCTTATATACAGCATCACAGCCGCCATTCGGGATCGAGACTTCCAGGGTCGGTGGAGTGGTTACTCAAGCATCCCCAATACAAAGATTGGAAGGAGAGCAGCTCATCTTCTATCTTACTTTTGACTGGAATCCCAGGGTGTGGCAAAACCAAAGATGTGTCCGCGGTCATCGATGCATTCCTGCATGAACAAGCCGTCAACTCTCTCGCAGCACCTATTGCTTACTTTTACTGCGGTGAAGCAAAGTGCGGGACTGGATACGCAGATGTCAATGAAGTTATACGAAGTCTAACCCGACAACTGGCCGTGATTGACAAATCAAAAAGGAAAGTCCACGAGCAAGTTTGGCTCGGTTATCAGCGGATGACGGCAGAGGCAAAGCTTGATGGCTTCGAAACACCGAAACTGAACGCATCACAATGTGCTGACTTGATCCTTCCAATTCTTGACTCAAATCCCGCAACCATAATCTTGGACGCCATTGACGAGGTGGACGAGGCGAATAGGCACGACCTCTTTTCTTTCATACGGCGGATCACGGATGAGTCTGCGAGTGTCGTGAAGATTTTCATTTCTAGCAGGGAAGACAGCAGTCTCCTTCTTCGTCTGCCACATGCTGCCGTACTGTCCGTAAAGGGCGAAGAGACAAAGACTGACCTTGCCAATTTCGTGAGACATCAGGTGACGTCTTCTATTCAGAAGCAGTCTCTTCTGAACGGAGATGTATCCGCTCATCTGCAAGAAGAAGTTGTGACATTTTTGTTGACTGGATGCAGGGAAATGTTTGTATCTCTTTGCTTTGAATTTCAGTTTTACTGACAATCTTACTTAGGTTCCTTTGGGTGGAACTTCAAATTGAAAAGTTATGTCAGTTGAAGTCTACAGCCAGTGTGGTAGAGATGATTCAGGACCTGCCCGGTGCCTCAAGCAAATCTTTGAACGAAATTTACGCGGATCTTTTGAACCGTACCGCCGAGAAAGATCCTGGCTCTCGGAAATATGCTCATATCGCCTTCTCATGGCTTTTGTGCATGTACGAGCCGTTGTCATCCCAGGCTTTCCTTGCCGCCGTCTCCTCATTTGGGTCCAACAAAAACCGCAGCATTACGCTTCCAGAGCTCCTAAACATGTGCTCAAACTTGGTTGCCGTGAATACCAAGTCTGATACTATTCATTTCATTCATTTTTCCTTCAGACAATATCTTCAGACAAAGCCCGACTTCGACATACCACGTGCTCACGAAGTGGCCGCTAACAGCTGTTTGGAAAAGTGTGGTCAAGACTCCTTACTGCAACTTGAAAGCCCACTCAAACCCGAATCAAATTTCCTCTTGTATTCTGCTTTGTATTGGCCTCGCCATTACCGAGCTGCGGAGCCGTGGGATAAGAAGAGTTCTTTGACAGACAGCTTGAAGAACTTCATATTCTATGATGAGGGTGAAACAAGCTTGCCCTTCTTGGCATGGATTGAGACCGCCAAGGATGCTGCAGATCTACTTTCGCATGAACTTTCACTGAAGATTGAGCTCAATGCTGTACCAAGCTCGAGCATGACCCCTTTCTTTGCAGCATGTGTATACGGACTCACGGACATATTGCCAAGTATCATGGCCTGCGATTCATTTGACATCGACGAAAAGAGCTCTATGGGGCAGACGGGTATTTACCTTGCCGCTGCATTCAATCGCGTTGACACTGTGGATCTACTACTGTCCCACGGGGCCGACATTTCAATCGAAGGTGGGCGTCACAAAACGCCTTTCTTCGCCGGCTGCTCTAATGGCCATGTCAAAGTCGTTGAACTGATTCTCAGCGAAGACAAATACCCCTTGACCCCAGGAACGATCGAGATTGGATTTCAGAGCTCTCTTCGCGCAGGCCATGGTCTGGTTGCGATGCTTCTTCTGCGCAACGGCCTTGCTATTGCTACTCAAGAAGACTATAACAGGATCCTCGAGGATACATACCAAGCAGGTTTATTCAAAGTGGTAGACCACATGATGCAAAATTTCCGAGAGTATGCCAAATCCAGCAAATCTTCGTCCTCAAAACTCCTTGACATGGCGATTCGGAAGGGCCAACCATCATTCTTCCGAAAATATGCTCAGACGGGCTCGATACCGAGTCATGCTCTTGCATTGGCTGCCCTCTTTGGTCAATTGGATATCGCTCAATACTGCTTGGATTCTGGTATTCATATCGAAGAGGAAGGCTTTCTTGGAAGTCCCCTTCGGTGCGCATGTCTGATGGGAAACGAGTCAGTTGTGCGCGTGTTGATCACGCGCGGTGCAGATGTGAACAGATGCGGGCCACTTGGGACAGCTCTGCATGCTGCATCTATGTCTGGGCATCTTTTCATTGTGATGCATCTGATTAATAGCGGGGCAAACGTGAATGGGATCGGTGGTTTTTTCGGAAATGCTCTTCAATCAGCAGCCTACCGTGGTCATTTCGATGTAGCACAGGCTCTTTTGTGTGCTGGTGCTCGTATTGCAGAGGGCGGTCGGTACAGTGACAGCCTACACGCAGCCGTGGAAGGCGGCCACGAAGACATATCGAAGCTATTTGTGGATTCAGGTTTCAAATACCCAATGATATGGAGCCCGCCCATGGCAAGCCGGAGCCGGAGCCTAACACCCTACAAGAACCTATTAAAAGAAGCGTTTGATGCTCGGGTTACAGTTAGCGCTGGCTCGATCATGTGCCCCAGTTTGCACCTTGCTAATTCGACCGATGCTGAGATCTCTGACTTTGATGAGGTTCTCGAAGGCATGCAAGATCTGAGCAAACAAAATGGGTACGCGTTTGAAGGCAGAAGCATGAAACATTCCCCAAATCGGTCCATTGAAATTGAGAAGTCCAGCAGTGACAACGTCTTGCTGAAAGCAGTACTGCAAGGCAAAGCAACCACAGTTCATCTCTTGGTCTCCCATCATGCGAACATACGGCTTCTAGGAAGACATATTATGGAAGGACTTGAGACAGCTTCGGGCCTTGGTAACGTTGCAATGGTCATCGATATTCTGAAGGTCACTCCTAGCTGGGGGTCGATATCGAATGCAGTCAAAGCTGCGTCACGCAATGGTCATCTGGAGGTTCTCAAAGTTTTCACTTCGCATGAGGAGCGCGATCGAGATACTGGACAGCTGGAAGATTTCTATATCTTGTCTATTTTGACACATGGTTGCCGTGACAATCAAGCTTCAGTTGTGATGTATGGTTGGGGACTTGTCATCGGCCAGGAGAGAGAAAGATTCCTGTTTGCAATATTTGCCTCAGGTGCCCACTGTAGATAACCAGCCTAGCTAGCTTAGATCTTCTCTCTCCTCTCAACCCAATCAACTATCGTTCTAAGCAGTGTTCTGTACCCTTCCCCGCTGAAGAGGTTATAAGTCCTTTTGTGCATTAGCTGTCGAATCGCGCGATTTGAAGCTATTCCCAATCCTCACTTTGGTCAGAATTCACTGTTTACTTTCCGGTCATAGTTCACCAGACTACGCGTAATGCGTTTACTTTACCCCTCCCTCACTTACTTGTACTCTTTTGCTTGTTCCTCATCTTCTATTACTATACACATCGCCACTATGTCGTCCGAATCTTCGTTGAAGATTGGTGAACTGATTTCTAAGCTAAAGAATTCTTCGAACTAAAGATTTTGGTATAAGCGAATTGAGAAGTATATACGTATTCAAGATAAGGAGTTCTGGAAGGTATTTATTGGTGCACTTATTCGTTTTGTAGATATTAATACTACGAAAAAAGATAAGATTGTTGCTACGATTCTTAAGTTACAAAACGAATATGACAAAAAGTAGGTTATAAAATTAGCTAACTTTCTTCTAATAAGAAAAGATAACGAAATATATCAAAAAGTATAAATTAATATTGAGATCTTTTTTGGTATAATTAAGTATACTTAAGAAGAATAGAATAAATATAATCTTATTGCTATTATCTATATAGAGGTAATAGTTATAGCAAATATGGTTGTTTATATTAAAAAGTATGCTATTATAAAGAAAGTATATAATTGTTTTTAGTAAATATACGATATCTTTATCTTGAAAGAGGTTGTTTAATACTATGTTAAATGGAGTAATTATTGTTATAAAGACTTCAAACTAGAGGAATTCTTTCAAAAGTAATACTAACTATTTTAAGAACTTTGTAAAATCTATTCTGTGAATAAAAAGTTTAGCTACTAGATATTTTTTCAGTAAATTTAATTAGTAATCTTTAGTATAAAAGAATATAATATGTTTTTTAATATATACTAATATAATTCTAAAATATTCTAGAAAAAGAATTTTAAAAAGTTTGTTGTTATGTTTTGTATATACGAAAATTGTTGTTTAGATTATAATATCGATACTTTTATTTAATAGTTTATAGCTAACTCTGTTATAACTAACATTAGTAGTAATAAAAAAAAGAAGGATAGTAATATTAAGAAGAAAGATAATTCTAATGATAAGAAGAAATTTATTATTAACAAAAAGAATAAGCCTTATTGTGAAAATTATAAATTTTATAGCTATGCTATAAAGGATTGTTAGATAGGGAAAGTAAAGGCTATTCTAATAGTTAAGAATACTAATACTATATAGTTGAATCTTAATACTTCTAACAAATTTAATAAATATAATAAGATACTGTATCTCTTTGTTCTTTATATAAATCCTACAGTTAAGGATACTTCTAATAATAAAAAATATAATTTTAATACTAAGAATAATAACTATATTAATTAGAATCTCGCTATTGAATTACTTTTGAATTCTAATATTGTTTGTAAAAGTATTCTTTCTATAATTAAACTTTTGTTAATTCTAAAACTTATTTATAAGAATAATAAAGTACTTAATTAAACTTTCAAATAGGAAACTAAAGTTAAATTCTCTAAAATAATATTTTCAGATAGAAAGCTTTTTATTATATAAAAAATTAGATCTTTAATAAATAAGGTTCTTTATATATCTGAAGCTACAATAAAGATATATAAAAATAAACGAATATAGATATTCGATTTAGGTTGTTTAGTATATATAATCCTAATTAGAATCTATTTTTTAATATTTATCTTTTACTGTATATCTATTGTGATTGCTATAAATTAGACTTTCTATAGTAAAAGATATAGTTAAGTTTGTATCAATTTAGTTAATAAATATACTTATAGAGAAGACGATAATCTTATATATATAAAAGATATTATTCTAGAGAAGATCTAGTATGCTTTATAGTTAGGTAGTAATTTGTTATTAATCTACAGTTTTGTTAAAGAAAACATTATTAGCATCTTCTATTAAAATTATGTTTTCCTATACTCTGAATTATTATGGAATATAAAGGAATATACAAATTGAAGGAACGGATAGTATTAGTTATATATTTATCTAAATATGTAATTGTATTTGTAAGTATTTACTATTTCTATTATTCTGAATGCTTACAATACTTTAAAAACAGAAAATAAGAATAATAATATATTATTTGTTCTCTTTATTAGTTTTAATAATACTACAGTTGTTATCTAAATAAATTTAATTTACTAACGAACTATTCATATCAATAAGAATAAGATCTAAAAGACTATTTATAACATTAAAGGGTTTACTATTATAAAGGATTCTACTTTTAGTTATCTTTATATACTATATATCTTTGATAAGGGCTATGTTTTACTATTTAAGAAAACGAGGTTTATTTATATAAAACCTAGGAATCTATTTTATTTAAACATTTAGAGCCCTATCTTAATCACTTCGTTGGATAGTTATATCTACTATATGACTTTTATTGATAATATCTTTCGATTTTGTTAGATATTCCTTATCAAAAAGAGGTTAGAAGTTTTTGATCGTTATATTAAGGTTAAGTAATTTTTGAAGACACAACTTAATATTATTGTACTATGTATTATTGATAATAATGCAAAGGAGTTTATCCTACTAGAAGAATATTTAGTCTCGAAGGATACTACTTAGAATCCTGTTTCTATGTATTCTTTAAGTCTAAATAGTATACTAGAAATCCGTAATAAAATATTAATTAAACCACTTATAAATATTATAATTGAGTATGAATTGCTTTGCTATCTCTAGGGCTCCCTCGTTATTGTAATTAATTATATATTAAATCGATTGTAATATTTTAAGATTAATTGTATTCTATTTGAAAAACTTTTCAGATATTAATCTAATCTGTCAAATCTATATATTTTAAGATGCTAATGCTGGTATCTTATTTCTAAAAAGAAGTATAAGACGAAGTTGTATTCCTAGTTTATTAAGGGTCGCTTCATAGGCTACAATAAAGGAAGCTATTAAATATATAATATTAAAACTAAGCAAATTATGATTTTACAGAATGTAGTATTTAATGAGAAGCAAGCTATGCTTTTTATCGTGGCTACTGAAGATCAGGTTGACAGTGGTCTTCTTATGTGAGAGATGATTAACTAGGAAGCATCTCGTTTCGTACTTGTTGAATTCCTTCGTTTGTATATGAATCCTGTATTCACTATAGATAATATTAACGAAGCTATCTTTAATGATACGCCTTCTACTGATGATATACTTTTCGATGATGATATGTTGGCTGCTACTCTTTCTATTCCTTCGATTCCTTTGTTGAGAACCTTATGTTCTAATGATTAAGAAGTTCAATAATGTGTCACACAGACTGGCGATACTGGAGTGGAGGTACAAACTAGGAGGGTTATGGAGGATGAGATTTAGAATTTAGATCTGATGGATTAAGATCTTATACTGTGTATTCTGTTATCTTTATCGAATATCATTTATGAGGAGCAAATTTATGAGGATTCTATGTTTGATGATATTTTAGAATCACTGTTGTTGTTGCATCGATTTATTTGTATTCGAAAGCCTAGTTGTGTAATACTAGAGTACTTTGTTTGCTACTCTGCGATTAGGCCTCGACACGGCCCGCGGGCTACCCATCGTGGGTAGCCCATACCCGGCCCATGGGCGGGCATGGGTATGAAAGTGATACCCATGCGGGTTATGCGGGTTTGATGGGTAGGTCAAACAAGACAAACAGGGAATTTTAAAATACACTATGTTTGAACCCTGTATTTAGACCTTATATATAGGTAATATTTTATCTTTTTAATATATTTATAATATATTAGTATAGATATTTATAAATTACCAACTACAACTCAACTATATAGTTTATTTAATAATTTAAATAAATTACAGATGTTCTATAGAAATTAGAAGGATGGAATGTTGAGAGTGAATATATATTTCTGCAGTCAAATGTTGCAATTTCTTTTTTTGAGAATTCCACATTTTCCTACGGTCGGAATTTGTTCAAAAACTGCATAGTTCTTTCTAACTATCTATTCTATAACTATACAAAATTTAAACCAATTCCGACGGTAGGATATTGTAGAATTAACGAAAAAAAAGAATTTCCATGTTGTCGGAATATCTGATTTTCCGCCCCCGTTTGTGTGGAAATTTTTGATCAAATTCCCATGCAGCCTTTCAATTTTTTGTTTCTTCAATAGAATCTTTTCATACGGTCGTATAGTGTTCAAATTTAGAATATAGACTAATTAGCATAGGATCTATATATGGTGAAATTTTTATTTAAATTGATCCATTAGTAATACAGGAATTACATGCATTATTATTCATCAGGATCATATATCCTAAATAGGAAATTGAGGTTGAAATATGCAAGTTTATGGGTAGCGTGGGTTTGCCAAGAACCCACCACCCGGCCCATGGGTACCCGGCCCATGGGCCGGGTTTCAAAACTGGACCCATGGGCCGGGCATGGGTATGAAAGTGGTACCCATGGCGGGCTTTGTCGAGGTCTATCTGCGATCATTGATCCTAGTATTACAGATATGTTTGTTAAATAAATGACCTTTGAATTTATACTTACTGCATTGGAAAAAGGCCTTCTCTTAGAGATTAAACCACTTTCTACGTTTACTTTATAGAATAAAGGCTATATTCTTATTAGTTGGGTAGATATAATAAACTACGTTAAATGAGAGAAATGGTTTGTTGCTATATATAAAGAGCTACATACTTACAATCGCAATAGAATCTGGAGAGTTGTTAATCGTTCTTCTATAAAGAGAACGCTTTTAATATTCTGCTAGGTATTTACTATTAAGTATAATAGAATGTACA